TTTCCCCACCCACACAGGAAACTGCAGGAGTCCTGACATTTGGAATATTTAACTAGGACATATTGGGTGGATATCCACACTATTTTCGTGGAATGTAGCCTGAAAGAACATGGATTCCTGGAGATCTTGGTTTTTATTAATTACCTTCAAATAAATCCAGTTTCTAGTCCTCATGAGCAAGGACGCTGAGTTTGCAATAAAAACCCACCCTATGGAGGAGGGCTTGCCTGTCCTCACTTAGCCTCCAGCCTTCCAAAGATTATTATTTGGTTGCTTCCCCCCCCCCATAAAAGTGATTAGGGGTGAAATATGATCACCCCACAGCTTAAATACTTGCAAATGGGTGCCCATTGCATCTGCTGAAATGTTCCTTCTTAGAAAATGTGCCTAGTGGGCTGAGTCAAGCCCACTGTGGCCCTAATCCAGACCACAATGAATGTGCCCTAGAGCAGACCCAGCTGGCAAGGAAACTGTCTACATCCCAAAGGAAACATTTCCATTCCCGACATCCAGTGTAACAGATGTGGGGAACCTTTGGCCCTGCAGGTGTTGGTGGACTACAACTCCCATCAGCCCTAGCAAGGTTGGACCAATGGCCAGGGAGGATGGGAACTGTAGTCCATCAACACCTGGAGGATCAAAGGTTCCCCATACCTGCAATAGAAGCTGATGCGATTTCATGTTTATTTCATTTTCCTAACTCCATATAAAGATTTAAGAGGGGGCACACGTAACCATCCTTCCACTGCTGGGATCCTGGGTACAGGATCATGCACTGGGGAGACACCATTCATGTGCCTTATAAGCTCTTTACAAAACTCCATCCTTGTTTATCCTTCCTGTTTTCCATATGGAGAGCTGATCATTCTTGCTTCTTACTTAATGTGAAAGAAGAAGAAGAAAATATTAGGCGATAAATATTTTGTAGTGTGTAGCAACAATCCAACAGCCATTGGCAAGACGATTTAGAACGGGAGATCGCCTCTAGGGCGTAACTTAGCCCAGCTGCCCGGAGGAAGGAAAAATGCAGTCAGTGTTGACAAGAGGAATCGTGTTCGAATCCTCCCTTGTGCCTCTGCCTCATCCCCCCCCCAAGGGAAGGGGGTAGGTGTGCCTTTGCTCGGGAGCTCAAATCTGCACCAGGAGGCCTATTACTCATCTAGCCTCCCCCTGCAGCAAAGAGATGACACAGCCCCACCCAGGCTCCTTCTGCTCCCTGCGGAGAAGAGAGAACAGATTGCCTTGCGCTCCCTCGTTTTGTGTCTAAGAAGAGAGGTTAACTAAGGTTGCCTGCTTGCCAGGAAACAAACAAACAAACAAAAAAACAGCTGCCCTGGTCTGCTCCCGAATTTTTTCTAACCTCCCAAAATCGGCAGGTGAAGCTGGTCATGACGACATGGAGACAACGGCTCACATCTGGGAACATCTGCAGATCGCGTTGCTGTTAAGGGGAGAGCTATGGGGCTGGCTGACAAGTCGAGGCTTGGGGCGGATTTGGAAACCATGTATGGACCGCTCCATCCCTGATGGAGGTTGCCGTGGGTAGCACAGGCTCCCGGTTTTATTGGGGTGAGTGGGTGGGAGGCTATTAAAGCAGGATGCTCTCAGTAAGACCCTCTCTCGGATTACCCTTGGCACTCAAAACTTGCCCTCTTTCTTTGGAGTGCAAGGCAATCACAGCAGGCTGGTCTATCTTGACACGGCTGCCTGCTGATTCCATGCTTGGGGGGTTGGGGTACTAAGGCTGAGACGAGGCTCCAGGACTCAGCAGTGGGGGCCCTGCAGTCCTGAATTTGGAAACCAGGGCCCTGTTGTTACTGACACTGGATAGCTCAGTTGGTTAGGGCATGGTGCTGATAACGCCAAGGTTGCAGGTTCGATTCCTGTATGGGACAGCTGCATATTGATCCTCAGGGTCCCTTCCAATTCTGTGATTCTACATTGATGCTTTCTGGAAAGTCCTGCCACTTTCCGCAGGGAAAACTCGCTCTTTACTGCTGAATCGGAGCAAACATCAACCGGGTTTTCCAGAGATTGATGTTTGCTCCGATTCAGCAGTAAAGATCAAGTTTTCCCAGGTAAAGCAATGGGGCAAATGGAAAACCGGTCTGATCCATGCTTTGCTGCTTCTCACCGAAGCAACCTGTTTGCTCATGAGGTGCCAAGGTTTTAGATTCATTCTCTATCCCATCTTGTACCAGTTTTTCAAAAACTTATCACCCTCATTATCTCCTGGACACTAGGGTGGTCAACTGCCCAGAAAAAAGCCCTGTCTTGCTGTTATGTCTAAAAGCAGTAACCTTGCCCACAAAAAAAACATGGCAGTTAGCATTAACCCCTGCTTACAGCTGCACATTTGAGCTGGGGAAGAGAACCATACTGTCCCAGACACAGCAACGGGAGTTGATTTCAAAGTTGGCAACCTTTGCCAGCTGCCTATTACTGGAAGGCTGCTATCTTTAAAGCAACTCCTATATAATTCAGCCTTTCCCAAGTTAAAGCGCTAACAGGAAGTTTAAATAAAATCTCTGTTATGAAGAAGGCAGCCACAACAGCTCCTCATGCCCCCAGAGGGTGGTGTGTGTGCTTGTATGCGTACCAAACAGTTTGAGGATTTTTCCCCTTCTTCTGCTGCTGTTTGTGTTTTGATTTGCAGCTCTAATTCACTGCCGGCCACCAGAGGGCAGCAGGACATTATTGACTGCAAAAACCACTACATTAAGAAACTATGCTCCCAGGCAGCCTAAAAATAAAATCAAGACGGAAAGGAGGGAGGGAGGGGAGGGGGGGGGGGAGAAGAAGCAAGAGAATATTTTTAAAGTACGTTTATTAAAGCCAGAGGGCAGTAGGTCAGGATAGATGGGAACAGACAGAGCGATGCGTGCATGTGATATCGTGTAAGGAAGGAGCGGTCAGAATGAGAGTCGGCGGCTCAGGATGTTGGGGGCCGGGCTCACCGTTTGACAGCTTTTATAACTGTCTGGAGCGCTGGCCAGGGAGGGAGCATTCGCCCGCCAGCTGCTGCACCTGCCTGTCTCCCTTTTTATTATTATTTGCGTTCGTTTGCATCTTGGAGTTTTAAGATGCAGAAAGGAAAACAGCCATAATCTATTGCAGGCATGTCCAACAGGTAGATCGTGATCTACCAGTAGATCACTGGACATCTGCGGTAGATCACTGGTAGATCATTGGCTGAACAACTGTGGCTCCCCTAAAAGAAGCTCAACATTTTACCTCCTCCCTGAAAAAACTCAACAACTTTGACCCAAACCCCAAAAAAGGGGGTAGATCACTGCCAGTTTTTAGTTCTGTGAGTAAATCACAGTCTCTTGGGAGTTGGCCACCCCTGATCTATTGAAACGCGGCAGCCATTCAGAAGAGCGCTTGGCTGACCTTTTCCCCATTTGCTTTCATTTAGCAAGGGTTTGTTTTCTTCTGTTCTTCAAGGGCCCCAAATTCCTCTTCTCTCTGACAGTGAGAAGCATGTCGCTCCACCCTGCAGGGCCTGTGCTTAGGTCCTGGGGTTGGGGTATTGTGCTGTAGGCATTGGGTCATGGGAAGAGTTGCCACGTTTCCCATCTCCACCCCAGCAGGGTCCCTGTGCCTTTCTAATCTTATGTGTGGCAGGCAGACAACCAACAGGTGAAGCCCTTCAAACTTCTGTGTCCCCATGCTGGGGGAAAGCACCACACCCTGAATGGCTATTTGTTGCAGGAAGGCTCAAGGCCTAAAAGGCAGAAAATTGAAACGTTCGTCCCTGGCTTTGTGAAGCAGACGAGGGGAACCTGTGGCCCTCACAAGGGGAACATCTACATTGCAAACACTTCTTGGTTTGACACCAGTTTCAGCCTGCGCTTCTACTAGCTAGAAGGCAAATGCGGAGGAAGGAGGTGAAGAGAGATTGCATCTCACAAAAGCAGGAAAAGCAAAATAGAGGTTTGCAAACCGCTAAGGTCTCCCCTTTCTCTTTGCAGAGACATTCGCTCTGTGTATAAAATCTCACTTTTTCTCTCTGTGTCCCCCCAAAGCCAATGGAGATATGATGGGCCTGTACAATATTAGGGGGCTGCTGTGCCCCAGAGAACAGAGGGCAGAGGTTCAGAAGAGGAGCACCCCAGTCTCTTGGCAGTCGCTGAGTGGCTTGGCAAACCAGCCAGCAGAAATGCCATTATCTAATCGGATTGCGTGCTAATCGGGTAGGGTGGATAATCCTGGATCGTTAAAGGGAAATCTCGTTAGAACAATCCCATTTCGAATGCTCGGTAAGCCCGCTGTGCGATAACAGCTGGGCAGGCCTAAGCAATCCCCAGCGCTGAGCAGCGGCCTCTGCCTCCTCTGAGATTGCACTCGGAGGCCTTACCTAGACGGGGAAAATATTACAAACTTCCCTTAAGGCAGAGTCGAGGAACCTGTGGTCCTCTCCAGTCGTCACTGTACTCCACCGCCCATCAGTCACAGCAAATATGGCCAATGGTCAGAGACGACGGGAGACTCTGTGTCAGAAGCGAGGAAGTGGGTTGTTAGAGGAAAGAAAAGTACGTTACTTCAGCAATAAAACACGAGAATGAAAATGAAAAGAGGGCAAGAAAAATATTCCTTTGGGGAGGTGTGTGTGTGCACGCTAGGGTCCTTAGAGGAGCAGATCAGTCATTGTTGCTTTTTATTGTATCTTTTTAATAACTGCACATGAACAGAAACTATTAAAAATATATATCAAGAAATGAAGGTGATAAAACTATTGAAGGCGTCAGAATGTTAAAATCCAAGAGGTTTTGAAGCAGGGAGACTTATGAGGAACGGAAGAGGCTTTTAATAATTGAATGATATTCCTGCCACTACAGCTTTGCGCCTCGGTGGAGTTATTGAAAAGCCAGCCATTTGTTTTCAGTCTGGTGAGTTGAAAGGGAACAAGGCTAAGGAAGATATTAAAAGGGGGAAGGAGGGAAGGAGGGGGGGCAGGCAGGCAAGTGGCTGGCTGGGTATCTGTTGGGTCACTGAAACTAGCCAGTCCTCAGCCAAAGAGCAGCTGTTGGGATCTGAGAATGATAGCGAGGAAATATTTTTTCAGAGCAGCGGAGAGAGGGGAAGCCGTGTCTTTCTGCAGATTTTCCTCCCAGGGTTGCTGAGGGGAGAGGTGGGATGCAGAGGGTACTCCTGTCCCAGGCAAGAAAAGAAAGCAAGTCTCTAGTCCTCATAGAACAAAAGTTATGAAGCAGAAATTGCCGTCACCATCATGGCTATTGCTTTGCGAGAGATGAGCCTGCTCCCGCCTTCCAGTGCTTTTAGCCAATGAGAGGAATCAGAGCTGTGATTGATGAGTCCTAGAGAAGAACGTAGAGCCCAACAGAAAACTCTAAAATGGCCCCAGAACTCCAGGCATCGAAGAATCAATTTTCTGGTTAGTTCTGAAGCCGTCTTGGGGTCTTCCTTGATGCGTGCATCACTCTAGGTTTTTTCCTCTGCATTCACACAATGGAGGACTCCCTGGGGCATTTTAAAGCTGTTTTCTGAGTATGGAAGCATTAAACAAATTGCATTGCAAATGCAGATAAGACATCCATGCAAATCTTATGCAGGCTTCTGTCCGACTAGGGCAAGGGGCAGGGGGCCCGACCAAAATACAGTATACCAGGCCCAGAAAGTCCTGAGGGCAGACGTGCTTCATCTCCTTCAATTTGGGGTCTGCTTCCACCCTCCCTATCGAGATCATTGATATCCCAGGATGCAGAAGTGTCCAAGCCTGGCTTCTGACGCCGATCTGCATAATTGCTCTGATTTCTGAATAAATTTATCCTGCCCTTTCCACTATCTTGCATAACATGGATTGTACTTGTGGCCGTCATGGGAGCAGGAAGGAAGTATTCAAGGCACAGAAGCTCCACCGCAGCAGCCCACTGGGGAAACTGCTTCCTGAGCCCTCCTACCAATTTTCTGGCTTCTGAAATTTCAAGCAAGTGTCACCCTCCCGCTTTTGAGCACATGAGGGCTTGCCAAAAGCAGATCTTCTTAGGCACCCATGCAAAAGGAGAATGGACGCAGCCATTCCTTTCCAGCCAAGGTCAACAGTGGAGCCAGACACCTTTTCGAATTATAACTCTCTCCACTGCATCAGAAAACCAGGACCACACATCTGCCCCATTGTTTAGAGTCGGCCGCATGTAGGACTCCCAAGCTTTTGCCCTCCGTTTCCCCTTCCCGGTTCTCATTCTCTCTTCCCCTCCAGTTCACTCTGGCTGGCAGGACGCTTCTCCAAGCATAGCTTGGCTTTCGTGGAGAAGCGCTGAGAGACGGCCCACCTTGACCCAATTCAGCAAGGCGCTTTATCCCATGACCCTCTTTTGCAGTTAGAGTGCTGGTGAAGAATCAGAGAGGACCTGCGTTCAAATCCCCACATAGCCCTGTAGGCCAGTTCACGATCTCTCTGCCTAAGTTACCTCACAGGATTGTGTGGGGATTAAAAAAACGAGAAAGACAGACCACGCATGCTTTCCTGGGCTCTTTGGAGGACGGTAAGATGGGGGGGGGGGAGAGAATATGTCTCAGTTTGAGTTTTGTTTGGGAAAGAGACTGCTGCTGCCTAGGTGACAGTGCCATGAAGGAGGCTGGTGGCAGCTGTCAAACCCCCTTTTCTGCTAGAAATGAGCTTCTTTTGAAGAGGTGAGGGTCTGCCCAATTTGCATTGTTCTCAGCCAGGCTTGGGGAGGAAGGCATCAGCATAATCTGAGCCGGGGACAGTGGCGTGTGAAGACTAAACTGAATTTCTAAATAAACAAATTAGTGCTGTTTTGCATATTTTATATCCTGTGATGCCCCTCTTAAATATTATTTGGCATGAGAAGCAGCTCTAGCTATATCACGGCACCATGTGAAAACAGATTTTGCTACCACCACAAATATTTATTTGTGAATGGAGAAGAATTGTGTCTCCTCCTCGCAGCCTCATTTCCCCTCCTCCACGGAGCAAGGGGCTGCGACTGAGAAAATGGCCTGTGTCCTATGCGTTTGCCCCTTCAAGGTTTCCAGAGCAGTTCAGCAGCCCTTACATTGTGATACCCCGGTCAACTGCTTCCAGGGCCTGCTGGCTTATGACAGGCCTGCCTGGCAAGGGGCTCTTGCATGTAACTTGCAGCTCAGTGCAAGAGGCCATGCCTTGCACTTTGAAGGCTTGGTTCTTCCCTGGCCTCTTCTCTGTGTTTCAAGTCCTCGATGACTTGACTCCCAAATATCAGAAAGGCTGCCTCCTTCCCTAGTAGTCCCTTCCAGGTGTTAAGAATGGCACAGGGGCCCTTCTTGATAGTTTTGCCTCCTCCAGGAGTGTAAGAGGGAGGGTGTCCCTGAAGAGACCATTATTTGTGGAAGCCCCTAAGTTGTGGACTTTCCTTCCCTGCAGAGGCATGTGTGACTTCTTGACTATACAGCTCACTGTACGCTGGCCTTTGAACGTCTGGAATGTATGTTTTCAGGACCCAGCCTATTCTTGCATACCCATCAACTGCCCCAGAAAAGCTGGGACATCTCATTTCCCCCTACAATTTTGGCACCTTGTCCTCATGCAATTTCGGGTCAAGATCTCAACACGCACACCCCAAAGTGTTTTTCCGGGTCTATAATGTTGCACAGCGTGCCAAAATACGTATTTTAGGGGCACCGTTCCCCCAAAAAGTGTTTTTTCTGGCCGTAATGGGGAAGTGCTAGAAAGACCATTCCCTGCCCAAGTCTCACAGAAAACTTGCTGTGGGTCAGGGTCAATGACATGGGGGCTAGATGGACAAAAAAACCTCTTAACCATGAAGCAGTGGGCAAAACTCCTCATTGATATGCCATGTATTAAACTGGATTCACTATGAGGGCTTCACCTTTGCCGGTCACATGTTTTGAGAGGTGTGCTCAACTTCCCTTGAAAGTCACGTGACCTCCAACTTGAGTGGCCATCAGCTTTCCTGGCAAAACCCAAGTCCGATCTGCACAGAATTAAAACCTTGGAACAAGGAGAGAGATAGAGGGAGAGAGAAAGAGGTGGATTGTTTAAGACACACAGAGAGACACAAGGCAGGCAAAAGGTGATACCTTTTTATTAGACCAACTTCCGTTGGCGAGAGCGTGCAAAGCCGTCGAGCATTTGGAAAGGTTTAGCATTTAGTCACTGGCTTTAACTAAGCACATTCGGACAGACATTGAAAAAAAACAAAAACAAAAAAACAAAAAAGACGAAATCAAATCATTATCTCTTCTTAAAAATGAAAAGGACTGTTTGTTGTTGTCTTTTTTTTGGAAAAGGAAAAAAAGACGAAGTAGTCATAGAGCCACACGAACAAATTCGGAAAGAAATCTGGAAAGAAACTTCCCCAGAATAAAAAACACTCAAACCCTCCGAAGTCAGCCAGTTAAAGCGCATTCAGAACAAAACAAACGCAACTTTTTCCACGAAAAAACGGGGGTGAGAGAGAGGAGGAGGAGGAAGGTAAGGGCACCCGTCACGCACAGCAGCTGGTATTTACACACGGAGGCGGGGAAGGAACTATAGAGTGGAGAAAAAATATTCTTGAAAAAGAGGAGGAGGAGGAGGAAGCTAGGAGGTGAGATGGGGAGATGAGTCCTTTGAACCAATTTGGGCCCTGAATCTAGCCAAGATTCACACGGCAACCTAACCTTGCTTTCTTTCCTTGTCGATCTCTCATTCCACAGCATGCCAGGGTTGGCTGTGGGTGCATGAGCCCTGAGACAGACATGGAGCCATGCTCTGCTCTCACACCTGCCTGCCTGCATGTCGCCTGGAGTCAGTGACTCCCACCTCTAAAACCCCCAGGATTATTTCACCTCTCAATTTATTATTTTTTTTTTTTGAGCAGTGGGCACATGTGTCATTCCCTCGTTGGGGGGGGGGGAAGGAGGAGGAGAAATGCTTCCTTTCAACCCTGCTTGAAAGCATTTTCACCTTTATTTTTATTGGCCAGCAATTGCGAAACAAAATGAAATAACATCATTAAAAAATGATAATATGAAGATGGGTGAATTCTGCTGGTCACTCTCAGATGCGCATCGTAAGGCAGCTTTCGGCAACGTAGTGACTTCTAGATGGCTTGGACCAGCCAGTATTTTCATCATGTGTGCTGTAGTCCAAAACATATGGAAGGCACCAGGTTAGCGAAGACTGTTCAAGGGGAAGGTATCAACCGCGAGTTTCATGCTAGCTTAACTGCCATGCCTTGACTACTAAGGAATCTTGGGAACTGTAAGGCAGACGTCCTCTGCGTGTTGCTGATGCACAACTTCCAACAATGCCCCGGCCATGCCTGCTGTAGCCAATGGGAGTTGCAGTTCAGCAACACCATCAAACTAGAATTCCCCAAACTACAGTTCTTTGCATGGAAGGCATAGCGGTTAGACTGGTTTGAAACCAGCTTAAGGTCACAGCACAGAAGTGTCTAAAGCAAAAGATGAGAAAAATCTTGCAAGCAGAAGAGAAGGGCAAGCTAAAAATCCAGAAAATGGGATAGCCTAACTGCGTCCCCAGCAGACTGGTTGAATTAAGAGGAGACAATCAGCTACCCACAGGACCAGGAGGGAATCGGGTCTATGGGCCAATAATTCTAAGATGACATTTTCACATCGTTGCCATTGCCAGGAAAGTGGGGAAGGGAGGTGACTCCTCCCCCTGCACAGGACGAAAAGGAAACACCCCAATTTGCATTAAGGTCTCCTTCCATTTTCACCAGGAAACGCTCCACAGGGAGCGATGGAAGCTGCAAGCGCTGTTTGTGATGACTGGGGGACCATGAAATTGGGGTGGAAGCCACTGCGAGGCTGTCTGACCTGTGTCCTGCCGAAATGAATGGGGGCTGCGCAAGAGCGCATCGCCTTGCACAACCTTTGCTCACTTCGGTGGGGCATGGCTGTGACAGCCTCCCAGGGGACGGCACCCTCAAACACTTGTTCTTAAACAGAGCCGAGTTTTGCTAAGGGCTTTTGCAAAGGGCCCCGAAGGTTGACAGAGCTGGGTTTCCCACTTCAAGTTAAGCAACTGTGTAAATCTTTGGGTGATCAGGGGCTGGCGAGCCCTTCTGACTCCTTGAAAGCACCACATGAGAGGAGGAGGCGGGGGGAGGCGGGGGAAATTATATTTTAAATAGAAAGATGGAGATATATATAGATATATATATATTTCTTTTGTAGAAAAATAAATAAATATTCCCCCCTTTTCTTTTGGACCGAGGAAGCTCTTTCAGCAGGATAAAAATCGTAAAGGAAGCAGGAATGGATATTTTCTCACTCACTGGCAAAAGCGCCAACAAATCTGACGAGTTTCCAACTGGGGATTATATTCCTTTTAACAAACCACCAGCAAGTTGCCTCCCAGCCCCTCGCTCCCCGAATCAAAAGCCTGCTGGGATACATGTATTTCTATGGTATTTGGAGACAGTCCTTGACTTGGAATGATGGTCTTTGGGTTGGCAAAATTCTAGTCCCGGGTTGTCTCTACCTGCATTCAGTATTGTATTAATTTGTGAACAAGCCTAAAGGCACTAGATATGGGGGTTGCGATGTTTTGGAAATAGGAAATAGGAAGATGCATGTCAGAGAACTCATTGCAAAGGGAAAAGACAAATAAGCTCATTTGTTGAGAAAATGCAGGCTTATCTTCAAAAACGAACGAGAGGAGCTGACGTGTAGCTTTTAAGCTGGCGATGTTTTCATAAGGAAACCTCAGAGGGGGGTAGACTCTCCTTCACCGGAGGTTTATAAATGTAAGTTGGATGGTCCATCTGTCAGGGATTATTTAAACTGTGATTAAACAGGGGTTGGACTAGATGACCCCTGGCGTTCCTTCCATCGCCACAAAACTATGATTCTAAGACGCCAATACTGTTAGTTCCTTTTGAAAGATACCTCATGTGGTTTATTTGGAGGGCTTTATTTGCGGGGGGAGGACTCTGGTGTCAAACTATCTGGCTGCTATGGGGAACCGTGGAGTCTAGGCCGCATTATCAAAGTCACAACGGCCTTGGGCTAGTTGCTGCCTCTCAGCCTGACCTACCTCACAGGGTTGTTGTGGGGATTCAATGATGAGAGGGAGAACCATGTAGGGCAACTCGAGCTCCTTGCAGAAAAAAGGTGGGATAGAAATGCAATACAGTCATACCTCGGGTTACAGACGCTTCAGGTTGCGTTTTTTTCGGGTTACGGACGCTCTGAAACCCGGAAGTACCAGAACGGGTTACTTCCGGGTTTCGGAGGTCGCGCATGCGCAGAAGTGCTACATTGCGCTTTGCACATGCTCAGAAGCGCTGAATCGCAACCCACGTGTGTGCAGATGCACCGCCGCGGTTGCGAACATTCATCCCGCACAGATCACATTTGCAACCCGAGTGTCCACTGTAAATAAATAAATAAGAAATAATTAAAAAGGGGGAGGCCCAAGGTTAACAGATCCCACCAGGCCTGTCTCTAGAAGTGGCAGGGTGGGGGAGAGCCAATCTCCTTTTAACATTTGTTTTTATTTCTCCAGATGTGGAAACTCTGACGGGTAAGGAGCTTTTGCGAGTGTTCTCTGCGCATAGATTCCTTTGCAAAACGTGGAAGAGGTCTCCTGCGCTGCAACGAACAGGGAGCCCCATTTATGGAAGAGATTCATCCCTGCACCACACCATGCGTGGATCTCCGAGAGGACTATTAGCTGACCGCCAATCAGATGAACTCCCTCAATCCAAAATCAAATGAAAAACAAAGAAACAAGGAACAGGAAAGAGAGATGACAAAACATTTGTCCCTTAAAAGGACGCTCAGTAACGGCATGGTTTTTATGGGGCAAAGAGGGAAATAGTTTTCTTTTCTCTCTCTTATTTTTTTTCTGTTTGTAAAATGAGTTGATTGGTGAAATGAGGGGAAAGAAGGTATGCCGAGAGTTTGTCCCCCTCTTTTGTGGGTTGGTGGTTTTTTATTTTTATTTTTTAATACCACAGAAGTTCAGCGAAGAAAGCAGAGGGGAATAAAAGAGTCAGGGAAAAGAAGGATATGTCAATGGGAAATAAAGAATGATATTTTCTTGGAAAAAAGGAAGTTTTTTTAAAAGTTGTTGTTTCTTAGCAAATACGCCACAGACTACAATAAACCGCCTACATTGAAACAATACACAGATCAATACCCAAAATGGAAAGTCAAGGGGTTTTCGACACGTTCGTAGGGTTTGTCTTTTTATCTTTGCGTCGTCGTATCTTTTTTTTCCAAACAGTTTTTTGTTGGTTTGTGTGTTATATTGGAATTTTTTTGTAAAAAAGATCAAAAAATCTAAGTTTTCTTTGTTCTTTTTTTCTGGATTTTGATCTCTTTTTATGCAGAGATGACATGATGAAGGCTTTATAAAGAGAAAATAAGGAATGTATGTATGTATTTACACAGAGAAAACACAGTACTGTACAAATATACTCTGGAGTTTACACTGCATTTACCCCCAAACAAAGGTCTCCTTTAAACGCATTTAAACAATGAAATAAAAGCACCCCATGGCAAATGGATAGATTAACCCTGAATGTAAAGGATGATTCTTTGAAGAGACCAAGGCATTCTCACCCTCAAAGAGCAAATAAATCCAACCTCCCAACAGAACAAGAAAAATGCAGTTCACACAAGTATAAGCAGCTTTTCAGGGCAAACCATGTGTGGACTACATCTCCCACCATGCACTGCACACTTAATTTGGGCCAGTCCCGCCTACCGTAATTTCTCTAATAGATGAACCCCAGATATTGAATGGAAACTTTTTGGGCTTGCTTGAGGGTAATTACAGTTCCGTTCACATTTTTAATGTGTGTGTGTGTGTTTGAGTTGAACTGTGTTGGAGTGTGTTTGTGTGTTTTCGTGTGTGTGTGTGTGTGTGTTTATATATACAGACACACAAAAAGATGAGCAGCACACCCACACCGGTAAGTCAGACGTATTTGTTCGATTTGCACGCTTGTGACACACACATTAATATACTGATATAGCTTAGCGGCTGAATTTGCAATGGCTTTTAGATATCCCAACACAATTCAGACCCTGAGCCACTTTGGAGTTAGGATCATGGCAGCCAGTTTCCTACTGGGCTTTCTTGCCTGCTCAGCGATATGGGGGTGGGGAGCGGTGGGGGGTAAACAGATTGCCTCTAAATGCACACATTAGAAACCCATTGCATAGCAAAAACGTGGCCTATACCAGTATATACATAAATGTTATCTCTAGCTCTCCACGATATAATACAGATAAATGGTTCTCAAATTGCCAGCGAGCTACAGCAATGGAACTTCTCCCAAAAGAAGCCAAGGAAAAGACAAAGTTTCCAATTGCCCTCGGAGAAATGTATAGCCGAGATGAGTTTTGAAGGCAGTGTTAATCCTCAGTATTGGCAGCCAACCCAAGGGACAGGGCATGTGACCTGTGGTTTTGTTGAGGGCAGAGAGGGGAGGGGAGAGGTGGTGGGCCTCCCTCCAGCCTCCTGGCCCAATCGAGGGGAATCACAGAAAGGGTTTCATCTCCCCAGCAACTGTTTGCCCTTTCCTTGGTAGACCCACCTAGCACTTTGAGAACCAATCGCATACACACGCACGCACACACACAAATAAATAGTTATAGCGCATAGTATTTAGGCACATTAAAAGCTGGACACAGGCATCAACAGTGTCACGTATGCATGTTAAGCATACTTTGTCATGCCAACAACACGTAACAGACATTTGCCACACTCTGTACTCCAGTTACGTCCCCGCAAGGTCTCGTAAGCATCCTGCGAATGTGAGGATTGTGTTAACCCCGGGTGATTTCTCTTAAGAGTCAAGCTTCGCGATCAGCAGACCTAATGCACTGCTTCGAGCTGCGGGTGGAGGGTGGGCTGTTTGAATGCTTGCTCAAGTACAATATAACTTCCCTCCCTACGCAGAACAAACATATGCCGGCGAAATGGACGGGATTTATAAAGTACAGTATGCAGAAGGGCTCAAGCGCCTGGTCCTCTGCCTGCTGTCTGAAGTCATGTGGGTTCAGCACCAGGAGATAAGTCACACAGATCTGCTGACTGCGTAGCTCAGCTCTAAACAGAATAACTAATAGCGGCATTTTAAAATACGGTGATGGGGGTCCGCTTCTCCGTTGTTGCTGAAGCTAAGGATGGGCAAACCCGTCAATTTCAGTTCCTCTACATTTCTCATTTTCACCAGTCTTTAAGTTCAGTTCTCCATATTTCAGTTTGCAATGGGGGGGGGGGGAGAAGGCTTCATGAAGAGTTGGAGAGCTTCATTACAAAATTCGGAGAAGGGCAAATTTCAAAGGGCAAATTTCAAAGGGCAAATTTCAAATTGTTTTGGGAAGCATGAATTGGGTTGATTCTCGTTTAAATGTAAGCCGAATTACTAAAGGATCAGTGAACTTCCAGTGCATGGTTAGATCAATGTTTGCATTTTCTAGCTACCCTTTGATTCACATAATCAGGGTGGTTAAAATAACATAAAAAGGTGATGGGTTCCCCCAGTTTCCTCTTGTAAGTCTGTGCATTGTATTTGTAATGCAGGTTTCATTTGCAAATAAAGTTTAGAATCGCTACCCTATTAAGCAGTATTTGAAAGATCATTATTTGCTCTTATATAACTGCATTCATTGTTTGTTAATTCTCCATTAATGGTGTGAACTAATCCAGACTGAGTGATCGTGTGAACCCCCTGATCTGACACAAATTTGGTGGTGCTTTAAAAGAAAGAAAGAAAAGTTGCCCATAGAATCTTCCTATAAAGTCTGACAGCAAGGATGCCACATATATGAGGATACTTATACCTAGATCTCAAACCCCCTTACTCTGGAGCAACCTTTGCCCAAATCCCCGCTGAAGTTTAAGGATCTCCTCCTTCTGGAGTAAGCAAGGCAAAGGACTGCCAGTGATCACATGCGGAAAACCAGAAACGTACAGAGTATAACACACAGGCACACCCACACATATGCAAACACACATCACATACTGCTTGAAGTATACAACAAGCGTGTGTTTATATATGTTTACCTATATCCCCATCACCTCCACGCTGAACAAACGCTGAACATATCTACATACAGATATGTATTCACACACACACACACACACACACACACACTTTATAAAATCAGAATCAAAGGTGACGGAAGAAATAGCAGATGCGTGAATGGGTAAGGGAAATGAGAGTTTGGAGGTGGGGGGAAATCACCGTTACCCACCCCAATGGGAAAGTTGTATGGAGGACTCTTTTGTTTAAGAGAGTGAACCCTGGGGAACAGAATTGCAGGTGGAACTGGGCGGGGCCTAACTGGATAGGATCCTGAGCATTACGGAACGATTGGGCATCCTCCCTCTAGAATTGCATTATTTCCTCTAACCAGTCTGGAGTCATTCCACGCTAAAGGTCACCTTCCGCAGCCAAGAGGGTTGGATAATTTCCATCACCGCTTCTGGCTACTTATTCCCATGTGGGCGACTCCTCAAATTTTCCACATTCAATGTGTTTTGAAGCCTGAGGCATCCACGGCTGGAACTTTGGGGGCTGCCCCGTATCTGCCTCCCAGTCCAGATTAGCAGGCTCAGGTAAGCAGGAGGAAATGCTTGGGACATTCGAAAAGGTGCACACACCTAGCTGTCACTGCTAGCGCATCGACAGGAAGTGAAAAAGTCGTGAGGAGATCGATGGCAGGGGTAGCCCATGAAAGGTTGGTGGTGGGGGTCTTTGTGCTTCCCTGACCTCTGTCCCTCACAATCTAGGAAGACCATCAAATGTAGAGCCCACTTCACTTTACACGGCAGCCATGGGAAACGGAAGACGCTTTCAGCGAAGAACAGGTTCGTATGGACCTTGCCATCTTTGATAACTGGTGTGTTGAGGAATTCTGAGAACTGAGAACAGGAGCACAAGAAAGAAAGAAGTTCCCTTTTGTTGGCCCAAATGACCCAGCCGAAAAGGAGGCTGCCCAATGCATCTCTGTGTTCTCGCTACTCAGGCTTTGTCAAATCAACCAGGAATGGGGCATTTCTGCTGAGTCTCTGCATTGGGAGGGACTGGATGACGGTCAAGACAAGACTTAGTAAACTGGCTTCCCCTCAAAGTAGGCAAGCCCAGAACAGGGATTTATGCAAAAACACCGGGTTGGGGTGGGGGACACTTCTTACACGCTCTCAAACATCTCAGACGTAAGAATGCTCCCGAATTTTGAAAAACACTGACCTACATGTTCCTAGAGAAATGTTACATTCTGGAGAAAATAATTTTCATGCTATTCTTTTTTTAAAAAATAATAATACTATTTCCCCCCCAGAATGGTAATTCCACAACACAATCTACTCATATTATTATAATTGGATTGTTGGTACTCACTCCAGGTAATTCCAGATCTACAAAAGCCTACCAAGAAGCAGCTAATGTTCTACTACAAAATCTAATCATTGGGTGTGCTTTTTCTCGCTCTTCTTCTTTTAAATAGAGATGCCATTTAAAGGAGCAAACGTCAACCGAGCACTCCTGAAAAGGATGCATAGTTTGGGTGCTAAGGTTGCTGGCGCAGTTTGCATTGCTCGTTTTATTTTCTCAGAAAGGCAGAAAGCTATTTCACTAAACTCGACACAGGGGCACAGTATTACCTTACTCCGGAATACTGCAGCAACTTTGGTAAGTGGGTTCTTAAATACTGCAGCACATTTGGCAAGGGTCAGAGTGTGGCTTCTTCTAATCGCATCAGGTGCTGTTGTTGCATTCTGCTAAGGATACCGCATCATTAGGATACTCTAGCGATGGAGTACTGTTACTCAGGGGTGTGCATTTTAACACAAATAGGCCAATGGGATAATAATACTTTGCCAGTTTTTAAGAGCTGGGTAATGCGACTGTAGCATGGCCAGAGTATGCTTTCATGGCAATCAGTACCTTAGCACTGCTTCTTATTTCATAGGCACTGATAAAACCGACAGCTAAGCTATACACTGTGCATAATTAGTTCTGTGCATGGAGTTATGATATGGATATGCCTTTGCTTTTGCATTCAGGTGGGTTTGGGCTTTGGGTCTCTTTCCGCATGAGCGACGCTTTGTGCATGCAGAAATTGACCTGAAGATCCTCCCAGGACTTCCGTCTTCCTAGCCTGCGGTAGGGTTTCGCGCTGGTCTTCATGCACAGAAGGCAGAGCGAGGGATCGCCTCTCGTTTATGGCAGCCAGCGAGATCCCACAGCAGCCTAGCTGCTCAGTGTAGATAATGGAAGGTCACAAAAGATGATCACTGGGTCAAGGCAATGCGGCTGGGGGAACAGGGCAGAGGAATCAAAACAAGTAAAAAAACCAACAACCCAGATCCTAAGGCTGTGATTCCAAGTACATGTACCTGAAAGCAAGAGCCACTTCACACATTCAGCAGAACCACGTGGTAAAGCACTTTGTGTGCCAAGCTGGGCTGTGGGTGGAGTTTTCAGCACTCCAAAACTTCTTGCCAAAGAGAAAACAAGCATGTTTCAGGGAGACAGCTAGGCTGACTCTTTACGAGGATTCCGGATTTGAGAAGAAGGGTTTGTTAACACACAACCCCCTATCTCTAATCTGAAGTGGTCCAATGAAAGCTTTCCCTCCTGATTCTGCTGAAATGTAGAGACTGCCCTTAAGAGCCACTATAGGCGGGGGAACAACACACCCCACAAATGTCCCAGAAAAACCGAGGCATCCCATTCTTTTTCTCGTGAGAGAATGGCAGCCATTTTGGGTGCCATGGTCTCTCACAATTTTGTGCCATGATTTCCCCCTGAAAAAAAAGCACGATCTCAGCGGCAACCCAAAATGCAAGGTTTGGGCCACCATGCCCAAAGAAAGCACAGGGCAGGGGAGGGGAATCGTGGCGCGAGATCACGACGCCCAAAATGGTGGCCGTTCTCTCACGAAAAAATATGGGAAGATGGTGTCCTTGTTTTTGCCTTCAAGGTGTTGGAAGGTATGGGACAAATGATATTGCATGTAATGCTATCAAATGCCTGCTGTGTGAATTAAGCCTGTTCTAGTTGATGCATTTGGGATCACCCTTCCAGGGAACCAATTGCCATATAAGTAAGTCTACACTACTGTAGCATCAGCTGACAACTTTAGTATAGTTGAGGCTATTTTCTTCTATTTTGCTACTGATGGTAGCAACAACCTTACTATTTTATTTTATTTTAGTTCCACGTTGAACTGCAGGGAAGAAACCCTGACAGTCCTTCTCCATCAAGTCTGGAAAACTGGAATGTTATTAGAAAAATGAACAAGCCTTCTACTGTTGCCCGTGTCCCTTTCGTTAACGGCTGATTTCTGGCAGTGGATTACTAAGACAGGCGTCTCTGTTTCTGATTCGAAATCGCTCAGAGCTGAACTGCATGTTCAAAAACACCACATCCAGCAAGGCCCCCTGGAGCCATACCATCCATGTCAGCATGCAAGTGAGGGGGCTACGTTCTAGAAGGTTCTCCTCCTGTCAGAATCTCTCTGAAAATAGAAAACGAGCACACCCAGGAGGAGATGAGGTTAAGCTGAAACCTATAAACTAGTTTTCCATTGGCAGGGAAAGTTTTTTTTGGGGGGGGGGGTTTAATGAAGAAGAATTCAAAATGTGAGAACTCCCCTGCAGTCTGACATGGTACACTCTGCATTTTGTGGGACATTTCTAAACAAGCACTGCAGCCCCGAAGGTGGCATTTTTGGCCCACGAAGGGCCAAGGCAGATGCGACATTAGTCATGTGGTGAGCCGTGGCGTGGATGATATTTGAAAATAAACATAAATACTCACTGGGCCAGATAAGGACTATGGCAATGGTTTTGAGTGAAACTGCCCCGCTCCCCACATGTTTGCAATGGGAGGGAAGCACCACTGATCACTGGGCTTTCGTCCTACTGCAGAGAGCAGGCCCTCAAGGCACCTGATTCCAGTGGAGACGGTGGCAGCAGCAAATGGTTAAAGCTCCTTCTCCACAGCCCTGGTCATCCTCCGACACCCCCCTTCCTACTAATAGCTCTTTATGATTTTTCAAAACATCATGCACACCAGGACAAAGTGTACGACTAACGTCACCTCTAGTTGTGGTCCTAATTTGAAGCCCAGAAGAGCGTCGTTTGCTCTGGTTTTCTTTTATTGCCAGATACAAATGAACTGAATTAAGAATCCAGTCCTATGTGCAAAGGCTGGGAGAATGGCAGAGTGGCTGGTCACAGCCATGAGCTAGCAGTAGTTCAGAATTCTATTTTCTGGCGCATGTTGAAACAGGGCGACTGGACGCCACAGTCTCTGTTTTCTAGTCTTGGGTACATTCACATCACAAGTTTTGAGGTAAGAGAGGAGCAAATGCCGCAGCCTTCCTGACGGCTCGACGTGGGAGCATTCCCTTTCCTAGCGCCCCTAAAGCAGATTCCTGGCTGCTGCAAATATTGCTTGATAATACTGTGCTGATATGTGAGCTTTGACACGTTGCTTGCTCCCCGCTGATATGGCAATCTTTTAAAAAGGTGGTCGTTATCAACACACCAATTTAACGTGGCCGTAGTCCACACGGAGTGTCTTTGGAAGCTAGAGCAGCAGGAACTTTTGGACGCAGCGATTCGATTTGCTGCTACCCAAGTGTCCTGGAGCGCCATGATAATCCTTGAAATCTGAGGGGCTGATCCGGTTAGTCTCTTACACGTGCTGCCAGGCGTAGGCAACTTTCTGACAGCGGCAAGGGATGGGGTTGGGGCCTGTGGCAGGAAAGTTCTGCCTGTGGAGCCACACACGAGGTGGGGAAGACGGACAAGGAAGAAGATGCAGCAGATGAACAGATTGTGCCCTGAGAATTGACTCAATTTTTCCAGGTACCTAAGAATGAAAACTTCAGGGTTGTTGTTGTTTGTGTGTGTATCTGTGTGTTTTGGAATACAGTCGAACTTAATCCATTCCGGGAGTCGAAACGGTTCAAAAACCAAGGTGCGGCTTCTGATTGGCTGCAGGAGCTTCAGCAGCCAATTGGAAGCTGCGGAAGCCACGACGGACGTTCGGCTTCCGAAAAGCATTTGCAAACTGGAAAACTCACTTCCGGGTTTGCAGCATTCGGGAGCCAAGACGTCTGAGTACCAAGGCGTTTGAGAACCAAGGCACGACTGTACTTGCAACGAATGCTACTCTTGGAAACGCCTGTTTTCCCCAAGGTTACCCATTGCCAGCTATGAAAAGGGAGTGTCTGTCAGTTGCGCGAGGTGTACCGTTCACCATTCCCTTTCTACAGGCAATGAGGGGGAACCTGAACACGGACCCTAGCCCTGCGTGCAACAGAGTATGTTCCAAACAGCTGTGCGCTAGATCGCGGCCCTCGCTAGTGCCTAGTACTCCAGCATGAATGCTTCCGCCTATTCCCCCCCCTCTCCCTTTCAGGTATCTCTCCTGTCCTAGCACTTTAAACAACGGCCCGTTTAGAGATGACTGCCCGATTCGTGGCCAGGTCCTTTCCCACGCTGAGACGGGAAAAGAGCTCCACGAACCATTTCTTCCCTCAGGGTTAACCATTGATATGAAGGGGGAAATCGCCGGGGTGGGCAGGAATTACACGTTTTGGACCATGGTGGAGGGGAGGGGGAGAGGAGGTGCGGTTACGAGACACCCGGTTGAGGCCCAGAATCTCTGGAAATTCTGGGCAGAACCCTGGTGTCCAGCAAATGAGTAAAAATGGATGAGAAAGATGATGCTGAACAACAAACTTAGATTTGCTGACCCGATAAAGTTGTTTTTATCTATAGGTAGCTGGAACATGTGCTGTTATATCCACTGCATGTACAATTTTTAAATTATTATTATAATATTATTATTATTATTTTTGCTTTAATTTACAACCCAAGCGTGCCCCCAATGGAGGAGGCCAGTACTATACCAAGAACCACACAACAAATTATAATCATAATTTTCTTCTACATTACCCAAGAAAATCCACGAAGCAATACGGAAAAGGAGAGAGAGGAGGGAGGGGAGGAAAGAAAGACAAGCGAGCATTAGTAACAGGCTGTTGTAGGCGAGGCGTTGAGTCTCAAACTGCGGGCCACCATGTTGTGCACTCCTGCACAGTACACAATCGAAGCAACACATTTTCAGCAAGATACAAATGGCTGTGATGCAAGGGAAGCCCACAAACCTCAAAGGAACTGACCGTGGGCTGTAGACCCACCAAGCCAGCCTTCCCTGACCTGTCATCCTCCAGCTGTTTTGGACTACAGCACCCAGGCTGGCTGTGGCTGATGGGAGTTGTAGTCTGAAATCATCAGGTTCTGAAAGGCCTACACCAGGCCATGCACGTGAGTTTGAGTGGCAGCCACCAGAGAATGGACCAGGGTAGAGCTATCCATCACAAATGGTGTTTGATATCACCAACCAAGACAGCAACCAAGAAGTAGACTCCCTCCCTCCCTTCCTCTCTTTGAATGCCTCCTCAAAATACTTAATTTCCATCTTGGCCTTTGGCCATCCTGACTGTGGCGCAATGGGTCAGTGTGTCTGGCTATTAACCAGAAGGTTGGTGGTTTGCGCCCGACCAAGGATGGCTGTGGACAGTATTCCTGCATTGCAAGGAGTTGGACTAGATGACCCTCAGGGTCCCTTCGAGCTCTATGATTCTATGACCATCCCCTTTGTCCTCATTCCCAACCACCATCAGGTTTTCAGTACTTGCCACTGCGTTCATCCATAGGCCAGCCTCCCTTCTCTCTGCACTTGTCAGCTTCCCCCTTGCCTATTTTAGAACAAAAGTTCGTTCCCACCTCTCAGGCTCTGTAAGATGCCATCAACGCCAATGGCTTGGTATCAGACATGGGCCTGGGGAGGGTGGGGAAGATCTGGCTGGTGAGCAAATTCCTTATCTCCCTCACTCCGCATAGGACAAGTTTTATGGGTGGGTGGGGCTGCCCATCTGTCAATCACCTGATATAATAATGATGTCAGATGACCTCTTTTTACCCACATGGTCTGAAACCAAGCTGTGCAAACAAAGGCTGTGATTGCTGGGGTTTGCAAAGCGTCACCAACACAGCTAGGCAAGCCTTGGCGATTGGCCGGTTGGTACCTCCAATCTCAACACTGCCTGCAACCCCCCTTTTCAGACTTTGTTGTCTAAAACATCTGGAGAGTCGCAGGTTGTGATCCACAGGCTGACATTTCTGATAAATGTGTGATTTAGGATGAATATGCAGATTTTAATCAAGGGCTCCTTGCAAGAGCCCTTGTTGATAGCTTTATTGTAAAAGGACCATATTCATAGATTCCTTTAAAAACAACCTTAATCCCAGTTCTGTCCCTATGATAATTGTTAACTGTTTTAATTCTCCGGTGTCTGTGTGCATAAAATTTGATTGCAAATAAAAATTCCTGCAAGGAAGGTCAATCAAGTTGCAGGACGCAAGGGAGAGGACTTTCCTATTGCTGGCCACAAATTTATGAAACTCTTCACCTGTTTATACCTGACCAGCCCTTTCTATTCAGGTTTCTAAAGGAGCTTTTTCTTCTTGTAAAAAAAAAACTTACTCATTCCAACATGCGTTTCCTTGATGATTTCAGGTTGATGCTGTGGAAATGTATTTTTAAATCTTTCGGCCGAGAGCTATAATAAGCTCTTAACTGCTGTCAGTTTGTGGTGTTTAAAATAGTTGCTCGATTTTATAAACAGTTATGTTATGTACTGTCAGATGACTTGCAAGAGAGGCAACCTAGCAATATTATAAGGAATAAATAAGGAACAGAGGGGAAAGAAACCCTTTTGGTTCAGTTACCACAGGGGTGGGGAAGCTATCAAAATTTAATTTTAAAAAACCAAATAAATAAATTTCAGGCTGAGGGCCACATTTCCTCATGGACAGGCTTCTGGGGGCCACCCGTCAGCAGTGGGAGGGGCTAGAGGCAGAAGTGGGAGGAGCAAGACCTACGACTCTTACCTGTCTACAATCGCCTACATGCCATAAGCCAGAGTTTTCTACACAACATGGACACACAACTCACTCCATCCAGGGAAGCAAGAAACAATTGTCGCAGTTCAATGACACATTCCAGGCTGGCAGAAGCAGTCAAGGAGAGAGTGATGCATGGTCAGTGAGGGGCATGGGTGGCCTTGCAAGACTCCTGAGGGTCAGGGCAGATAGGCCTGGAGGGAATTCTCCACCCCTGAGTTATCATCATTTCCATTTAAAAGGCTTTCAGTTAGTATGGCTGTGAAACTCCTCCTTCTGAAGTGTTGGAGTCAGAGGAGATAGTACCAAAAGAGAAGAATAAAAGGTCTGGTTCCAAGTAAGGCAGTTTCACTTAGGTTCAAAATTATAGTCATACCTTGGAAGTCGAACAGAATCTGTTCCGGAAGTCTGTTTGACTTCCAAAACCAAATCATGGCTTCTGATTGGCTGCAGGAAGCTCCTGCAGCCAATCAGAAGCTGCGGAAGCCCTGTCAGACATTTGGGTTCCAAAAGAACGTTCGAAAACCGGAAGAGTCACTTCTGGGTTTGCGGCGTTTAGGAGCCAAAAAGTCCGAGTTCCAGGGCGTTTGAGATCCAAGGTACGACTGTATGTGGCAAATATGCCGCAGAAGCCACTGTACCCACGTTATTTTTCGCTCCCAAACCAACGTTAAGAATCTGGAATCCATAGGTAATTTCCTAATTGTGGAGATTTTCTCTGAGATCTCTCTTTCTTCTGAACTTGGCTTGACTCCTCAGTTTTCCGTTCTCAGCCATGCCTTCTCCAACACATTTTACTCATTCCAGGTTCCTGACTGCCTCTTGCGCCTAGAGGGGAACATTAGCCCTCTCTGCCTTCCTTGCCCCGTGTCCCAACCGCTCCTACTTACCCTCCGAGCCTTGCTCTGGTATTTTACAGCTTTCTTGGTGTCAGAGACGGCTCTTTCCACGTAATCAACGGAGTGCTCGACATTGTATTCAATGCGGTCAATCATCTCCCCCTGAAATGGTAGAAAGCGGCGACTTGTGAAGGTAAGGCGAGTTAATTCGGTCAACGGCTATGGCTGATAATCTGATCATCCTGACCCTCCAAGGTTAACATATCCACAACAACCCTGCGAGGCTCAGGACAACAACTAGCCAGAAACAATTCAATGAGTTTTTATGGCTCCATGGATTTTGAACCCAAGTCTTTTCCAGTTAAAGCCCAAACCTCTGTGCTCATTGATTTGGTTTGTACATGTTTCATGTGAAGTACTCCACACACAAAATAACTCCCAGCCAAGGTTTAACTTGAGCAAAGGGATACAAACATGAAATCCTAGTTGGGGGCAGGGGGGGTTGGCTGTCAGAGCTCAGCTTGGAAAATGTGCTTCTGAACATGTACAAAGTTTTCTTTCTTAGCAAAGAGGAGCCACTCACCTGAGAATACAGGGCAAGGGGTGTGTGTGGTGTGTGTGTGTGTGTGTGTGTGTGTGTGTGAGAGAGAGAGAGAGAGAGAGAGAGAGAGAGAGAAGTTTCCAGGTAACTGAGCCCTGAGACTTCTCATTTTAGAATTTTAGAATTACAGATACTGAAGCTATTATACTGAATCATGGAGATCCCTCTGCACTGACTTCTGAGGGGTGTGTGTGATGAAGTCTGTAGTCCCCAATGAAACTATTTTATTTATTTAATTATAAGCAAGACCTAGAACTGCTGTGTGGAGTGCTCCTGTTCAAAATTCCAGATTTTTATTTTTGCCTTTTTTATTATCACATTGCTTCCAATGGTGGGAGCACCCACGGAAGAGCTTCAGATGGAGACCCCAGAAACGCAGATGAGTCAATGCTGGAGAATGTACCGGAGTCCTAAGCCATACAGGGTGTTAAAGGTAAGGAATAGGGAGCCACTGGAATTGGTTTCCAAGCGGGGTATGATATGATCCCATCTCCTGTTCCCTCTTCATTGTCTAGCTGCTGCGTTGTGAAGTGACTGAGTTACACAGCGTCTTCAAGGACAGCTCCACATTGACCCTGTGGCCGTACCTGGCTCTCCACCAACATAGCCATGTCCACAAACATGTCATGAAGCTCCCGGATGCTGGTTTCCAGTTTGATAATCTCGTTGTGCCGGGTTTCAATCTCGTTCAGGGCCTGCTTCGTCATCTGTGAGTCCATTTTGATCTGAAGGAAACAACACGAGTCAAGACGAAAGAAAGACAGGCAGACAGGCAGACAGAATTCTGCACTAAGGAAAACTCCTGCACTCCAATGCCCCCACAAGCCTCTGGGGAAGCCTCCGTCCCAGTTTTTGAATAAACAATGTAAACTGACAAGCAGTGATACAGATTGAAAGACAGAACCACATAGACTTGTTAAATGTGGCTGTTGTCCTAGGAACCACAGCTTCTGTTGTTGTTGTTGTTGTTAAAGGTTGTATACCACCCTATACCTGTAGGTCTCAGGGTGGTTCACAACATAAAGTTACAATATAAAAGCACAAAATACATAATAGAAATAATTAAAACAATTAACAGTACTATAATGTATACAAACTAATAAAAAGTACACTCCCAACAAAAGCCCCTAAACAATACCCCAGTACACAAATACAAATACAAAGTAACATATAACATTTGAAAACAATTTAAAAGAACCCCATCCCCAAATAAAACAGCACCCACCCAAGTTACAACCCCATCCCTGTTAGAACAATGGACCAAAGAGGTTAAGAGGAGGAACCCGGAGAGCCTGCTTCTTATATGTTAAGAAATGTTGGCAAACTTCTATTCCCTATGACTATGAAGGGAAGCAGGGAAGAACAGGGCATTGTAATATCAGTGGTTGGGGTTTCAGCATCCTGCCTGACATTCTGCCCCTCCTTGAACCTGCTTACTTCATTCCCAGTCTGACCCATAAATTCCAAGGACCCCCAGCGCAGTTTCCTAGCAGAGCACCCCAACCCTGTCATTTCCTAAGCTTGGAACCACAAGACGGCCATGTCTGACATGCTTGGGATACGTACGTCATCGGTGAAGATTGCCAACTTTCCACTCTCCAGCATGTCTTCTAGCTCCTCGTTAGTTGTTGTCCTGCCAGCTGCAAAAAGGGAAGACCGGAGCCATGATGAATCGCCACACTTTATAATACACATTATAATACATCGCCTTATTGCTTCAACAAAGCATTCGCACCCTGGCCTCCCGGTGAGGAAACTGGCACATTGTTTGTTTTGATCTCCTTGTTTCCAGTTTGTATAAAAGTGAGCAGGATCCCTTCCACCAGTGAGGCATGCAACTACCGGCAAGAGGGAGGCAGGAGAATATGCTTTTAGGACAGCCCAGTGGCGTAGCGTGGATTGCTAGCAGCTGGGGTTGCGTGGAAGGGAGGGAAATGGACTGAGTACGGATGTGCATTCAACTGCCTAACGGCGTCCGTGTCGCTCAGGAGATCGCAGTCTCAGAGATAAGAAGAGTCGCTCTGTTGTCTGGAGAGGTCACTTCCTGGTTTGCATGGAGAAGCCATTTTCAATGGAGCCCAGCGATGGAAGCAGGAAGCTGCATCAGACCTTCCACGTATCTTTATTTTCCAGGGACAGTCCAGGATTTACAGAAGCCGTCCCAGTTTCTGATTTGACCCCAGAATGTCCCTATTTTCATGGGAGAAATGTTGAAGGGTATGGACTTATGTGACTCCTGAGCCAAGGAGATAAGTAGCTTTGCAACCTTTAGAAGACATCTGAAAGCAGCCCTGGATAGGGAAGTTTTTAGGGCAACCCAGTTAGATGGGTGGAGTATAGATAATGAAATTATTATTATTATTATTATTATTATTATTATTATTATTATTGAATAGGATGAAAGCACCTAGCTATAGACAGCAGCTCTGCCTTTTAAAAACTCACAGTGGCTACTCGCCCCTATGAGGCAAAGGCAACTGCTACAAAAAAAACAGCCACAACGAAGTATGACTGAGGATGGGTTGGTGTGTGGCGGCTCCTCGCACTTCAGGTTGTAATAGTGCCAGCATTCACGCCTGCTTGAGGTTGTCGTGCGAGCCCAGCCCCCTGATCTCAGATAATAAGAGGCCAGCGGCCATCACAAGGCAGTGAAGAAAAGCCACTCTGCACATGCTCGGTAGGTCTCTTGTCTTCATCATGGAGACCAAAGCTATCAGTAGCTACTATATGTTCTGCCTCCACTGTTGGAGGCAAGATACCTCGGAATACTAGTTGTCAGGAATCGCAAGTGTGGAGAGTTGTCCTCAGGCCCTAACTTGGGTAAAGGTAAAGGGACCCCTGACCATTAGGTCCAGTCGAGGATGACTCTGGGGTTGTGGTGCTCATCTTGCTTTACTGTCCGAGGGAGCCGGCGTACAGCTTCCGGGTCATGTGGCCAGCATGACTAAGCCGCTTCTGGCAAATCAGAGCAGCGCACAGAAACGCTGTTTACCTTCCTGCCGGAGTGGTACCTATTTATCTACTTGCACTTTGATGTGCTTTCGAACAGCTAGGTTGGCAGGAGCAGGGACCGAGCAACGGGAGCTCACCCCGTCGCGGGGATTCGAACCACCAACCTTCTGATCGGCAAGTCCTAGGCTCTGTGGTTTAACCCGCAGCACCACCCGCATCCCAACATAGGGTAGGGTTGCAATATTCCAAAAAGTGAATATCTGGACAGAAAAGTTTTTGAGCTTTTTTTTTGCCATACGTCCAGATTTTTCTGGACATTTTGCCAAGATCCCAAAGGACCAGAGGGAAGTGTTTGTGTATGCTACAATGGCCTCTTGGATGCTACCAGCCCAGAGATGGAACGAAGAGATAACCCCGACCAGAGAAGAATGGCAAATCAAGTTGATGGAATATGCTGAAATGGCAAAACTAACTGGGAAGCTCAGGAATCAAGAAGACAAGGAATTTTAAAAAGAAAGGGAAATGTTTATAATGTATATACAAAATCATTGTAAACAGGTCAAAGCATTAGCAGGATTTTAAACACAATTGTAATGTAACAGAACGTATAGATAATTTAGGAAGATGAAAAATGTGCAAAGTATTGATATGCAGTTGAAAATAGAATCAATAGGATGGGATGGGGGCGGAGTCAGGAGATTCAGAGTAATCTTTATAATTAGATTGGGAATTGTTTTTGTTGTATGTTTATATTTTGGAAAATCAAAAATTTGTTTCAGAGAGAGAGAGAGAGAGAGAGAGAGAGAGAGAGAGAGCGCCTCAGGACTCTTCTTATGTCCTTATCGCTAATGTCATATATTTCAGCTCTTTCCTCACTAGTTACCGGATGAATGCAATTGTAGGATCATAGAACTGCAAAGTTGGAAGGGACATCAAGGGTCATTCTGACCACCCCCAGACAATACAGGAATCACAGCTAAATAATCCCTGGCAGAATGCTACCCGACAGAATGCTACTCCTAGATCGTCAGAGAGTTCTATTTTGGGGGGGAAACGTACCTAACAGGCCAGACCTAAGGAGGGAAGGCAGGGAATATATACAAGAGAGAGAATTAACGTACTTATCTCCAGCTGCCTCTGGATACGGTCCTTGCATCGGTCTCGATATTTGGACTGGGTTGTGTTGTATTCCGTCATCACCTCCACGAACTTGCGGGAAAGGGTCGAGTGCTAGGCAGCGAAATGGGGAGTCAGTCATGTTGGGGCACAGAGGAAGGTACCAAAGAGAGCGGACTGTACCCCTCATTCCCTCTGCTCCCCTGTTTCAATTTAAGACCCAAAACTACCGGTATTTATCACAGACCTTTGGAGTGTGTGTGTGTGTGTGTGTGTGTGTGTGTGTGTATGGGAGGGGAAATTGTTACGCAAATGATCTAAAGCTTCTGGCTGGCTATTGTGAGAACAGAATGCTGGACTGGATGGGCCATTGGCCATTGCAGGCCTCCCCCCAGGGTTTAGATGCATGGATTTAAAAACAATTTGGTCAGCTAAAAGGGCCCCCCCCCCAATTAACCGGGAAGTTTTTTTAAAAAAACAACAACATGCAATTTATTTTAAATATAAGTACTCTGGGGATGAGGGTGGGGGAAGAAGCAGAAGAAATAAGGCGAAATCCAATATATGTGACGAAGACAAGTACCTGCGTTTTCCGGATCCGCAAGTCAGCCGAGGATCGGTTCTGCACCTCTTCCTGCTCGATTCCCTGCTCAATCGCTGTAGAGAGGACAAGGGCAAAGAGATCAGGGCAGCTTTGGCGGAGAGTGAAGAGCTGTCTAGGTCAGAGCCTGGAGTTTCTGGGTTCTTCTCCTGCTGCCTCTAGTGGTGAGCTGCCAAGTTGCAGGTTCAAAGCTACCTAAGGGCTAGGACGGGAGCCAGCAACCTAAGGTCCATGGGCCACAAGCGGCCCATGGAGGTCGTTTAACTGACCCATGGACCCCCACCGCCCGCTCGGTCAGCTCCCGTGCACCACGCTAAAACAGCACGGAGCAGAGCGGGGATCACCTTCCGCAATGCTGTCCGGCTTCCCATTGGCTTGCGATGGTTTGACCTCTTTTCCGTTTTAACAGTACAAATTCTACAAACGCCCTCCATATCTCCTCAGAATCATTTCTCCTGCATATTCCCCGTCCTACTCTATTCCAAACTTAAAAATGGAAAGTGTAATGCTGGTGGTCAACAAAAGAGGTTTAAAGACTGTCTCAAGGCAAATCTAAAAAAAAGTAGTATAAACACTGACAACTGGGAAACACTGGCCTGCGAGTGCTCCAATTGGAGAACAGCCTTCACCAAAGATGTCATGGGCTTTGAAGACACTCAAACTCAGAACGCAAGGGAGAAATGTGCTAAGAGGATGGCATGCTTGGCAAATCCACACTGTGATCAACTCCCACCTGGAAACCAATGCCCCCGCTGTGTAAGAACGTGTGGATCCAGAATTGGCCTCCAAAGTCACTTACGGACTCATTGTTAAAACCATGTTTATGGAAGACAATCTTACTCAGCTATGAGTGATCGCCAAAGTTAAAGAAAGAAAAAGAAGAATGGCACGTGTTAATTCCCACACCTCATTATACCATTCTTCTATTATATATTCTGCTTGCCCCTTCCACTTCTTGGGTATAATAATTTGTGCAGCTGTCAATAAGTTTGTGAGCAAGTCCTCCATAGCCTGCAAACCTCCCACTCCATCGTAAATGGATTAAAATGCTACCTCTGGACTTTCGGTCATATATATATATTAACTTTATGTTGGGGAGACCCAGCTCTTACCTTTCAACTTGGAGCGCACCTTGTTGGCAGTCTTCTTGATGTCAGCTGTGAGATCCTCCAGTTCCTGCTTGGTCTCTACAAGGAAAATGCAAAAATAAATAAATGGAGGGAGTGTTTTGACAGCAGACCTGGGAGATGATTGAACTGTGTCCGTTCCCCCCCCCCCATGCATTGTTTGCCTTCATCCTTGTGCAGGATCTAGAGAGAGAGCCTTGCGCACCCATCTTGGGCAAATTCACGCATGGCGCGGGGCTTGTGCAAGCACCATGGGACAGCATCCCTAGACGTGACCCTCTGGGTGTTCCACTCACTCTCATCTGGGTTGGGGGCAGCCAAGATGGCACTGTGCTGCTTCTTCACCAGTTCCACATCTTCCGAGAGTTTCTCAATGCATCCGCGGATCTCCTCCACCTGGGGAAAGACAGGGAGGCAAGAAGTGAGCATAGGACCTCCCTCCTGTTGTGGTTCCTTGAACGCCCACCGCTAAGTAATTGATACGGTGACCCAGGGCTGCCACGGTCAATACGGGTCCTCTATGCTGCATTTAGCCAATCGTGGAGCCACAGAACTCTTAAGCTTGGAGGAGATTCCATGAAGGAGCCACAGAGGCGGGAAAAGGAGAGAGCGATACACAGGCCTTGTTTCCACATTCCGCCATGTGCAGAGTGAGAGCATCAGGCAGGAGGGGGAAGTACCTCTGTCACCAAACATCTATGGTACACTACCAAGGTCCTTGCATTAATTTACAACACCCTGATCAACTTAGGTCCAGGGTACCTTGGGGACTGCTTGAACCCTTATATCTCAGCTCAGCCACTGAGATAATCTGCAGTAGTCTTGTTAGTTGTTCCCTGAGTTGGTCAGGATCATTTCACAACAAGGAACTGAGATTTTGGTGCCATAGGGCCAGGATCGTGGAATAATCTGCCAATGGAAATACAGTGGGCGCCTTCTGTTTAATTTTAAAAAATAATTAATAATACAACTGCCCATAATATTTAACTGATTTTAAGTTTTTTTTAAAAAATGCTCTTTATGGCATGGTTTTATGTACAATTGTGTAAAACCACTCTGATATTTATTTTTTTAATGAACAACAGTATATAAATATTTTTTATAAATGAATAAAAACAAATATTTCTTTGCACTGACAGTTTTGCTACAGTTCACTGAGACTATGATCTCTTTGGCAGATTGTAATACAAAAACATGCAATGTAAGAGATAAACAAAGCAGCCAATTAAAAAGCAATAGGAATATTGAATGCAGACATGTCACAGAGCAGCTGACTGAAGCTTGGGGACTTCTGGCGGTCCATGAACTACAGTTTGGGAAACTCTGACTTAAATGTTCCCTAAATACCTTTTTGTCGGTCTGATAGAGTAGTTTTCCTCAGTTAAATGACTGTAAGGCCTCAGCATAGCCACCAGGGAGCACTGTGCTGAAGAAAGGAGTTGAAATACGAGCCCGGAGGCAAACTACCAGGAGACGCTCTCCAAGGTCCTGAAATCTGCAGCCGACTCGCCCACGATAGACAATAGCTTTGCTGGCGCCCCTCAATCAAGCATCACAAATCCTGGGCCAGCCCTGCTTCCCTCATGCAGCGGAATCACAGTTTCAGGTTCGATGGGACAGCTGCATATTCCTCAGGGTCCCATCCAAGTCTACACTTCTATGATTCTATGTTGGAACAGAGTGCAGCTTTCGAACTCAAGTCTGCCTCAGTCGTGTATAAAGAGGGGTGTGAACTAAGAGGATTTGTAGGACATATGGAGTTCATGGGTATAAGAATCCCCACCCATTGTTTAACTTCCCCAGAGTTTCTCCCCGTGTGGGCTTTTCCTCCCCTAGAGACCCACTTACAGAGCTAGAGCACAGCTGAGGGAAAATGACTTCATAAATGAGGTTTCAGGGAGGCAGCCACCAATTTAGTAGTTCTCTTTGGGGGAAGCTGCCAGTCTAAGCAGGAGTGGGGCAGGCCCAGGTCTTAAATAGATGGGTCTTCCACTATCATATGTAGCCTGAGCCCAAATGTCCACAAACTGATCCAGTGTGGCGTAGTGGTTAGAGGCTCAGACTAGGACCCGGGAGGCCAGGGTTCGAATCACCACTCTGCCATGCAGCTCGCTGGGTGACCTTGGGCCAGTCACTGCCTGTCAGCCTAATCTACCTCTCAGGGTTGTTGTGGGAATTAAATGGGGGGGGGAGCCTCAAGCTCACTGGAGAGAAAAGGGGGGCCACAAAAGCAATAAATAAGATTGGATCATTAATTACGGGTCTCACTGGTAACTAACTCCCTGATGAGTGCTGAGGCTGATAAGAATCCAGGCACCCACCGGAAAAGACTGCAAGAATGTTTACAATCTTGGGTCAAAGCTACGCAACAACATTTGCTAATTTTGCATGAAATGATGCAATCTGTATGCTTTATTTGAGAGAGGGAGGGTGAGTGGGCTGCAGGTGGTTTTTATTTTTTTAAAATAGAACTTGGAATTCAAAGGAAAGAGAGGCAAGAGCTGTCTGAGGCATGGATTTCCTCCAAGCAGCCACAGCACGCTGCGGAATTGCTTCAGAGAAACGGCAAGATTTCTCTGGGGTGTAGTGCGATGATCTCAGCCACGAGTTGCGACTTGTGAACAAGACCCAACAAGCAAACGTGGATTTCACAGTTGTGGGTGGCTGCCATCCCGGTGGCATCTCTCTGCCTCCCCCCCACTCCAATCCTTCCACCTCTGACGCCTGCGCATCACAGAGGCTGCATAGAATCATTAACAAGATGCTCTTGCATACTAAAAGCCATGCTGCTTGAATATTAATGCGCTCCGCTCTCGTGCAGATCCCAGGCACGTGTTGAAGCAGGAGTTAATTCAGGGCACGGGGGCTCGTGGGCTCTGTCTCCTATGCAAAAGCAGGCTGTGAAGAAGTGGGAAGGAGAGGACCTGGAACAAGGGTGGCCACCTTCTCTAATCCTGGCAGCCATTTGGTTTCCGCACAGCGGTCTGGGAGCTGGAAGTATGTATTGCTGCACAAAACCGACCTCTTTACGGGTTCTCAGACTCTATAATGAAGCAAGAGCTCTCCAGCATGAAAGGACCTCATTGTTCAGAGGCAAATAGGCTCAGGCACGGCTGAGGAATGACGTACCAAACCCAAAACAAGAGGAAACATTAAACTGTAGAATCTCTCCCTCCCTCACACACACAGAGACACCCCTTTCAAAAACTATTTCTTTCCCTTACGCTTTGAAACCTAGGGTTGTATCCAATGCTACTCAAGAGTAGACCCATTGAAATGAATAAACACAACTAACTGAGGTTCGTTAATTTCAGTAAATGTACTCTGAGCATAGGAGCCAACTCCTAGGGGCCGGGGTCCCTTTGGCCCTCCAAATAAAATATCTGAGGGGACCAGGGCCCCGCAAAATTGATGGGCATTGCCATTCAGATGGTGCGCATGTGACATGTCTTTTGATCGATTATGCAGGACAGGGCTTACCTCCCCCCCCCCCAATATTTTATTCAAGTTGGCACCCCTGAATCTGAGGAAATTTAAGTTGGAGATAACCCCTAGATGCTCGTCAGCTGGTCTCCTTAAATCTGTGTCTGCCCTGATCATTAAATAATGTGTTTTGAGTGAGGGGGTTTCATTTTCAGAGGGGGTGTAAGCTTCCCTGCTCACCGTTGACTCCCTTGCAGTCTCTCTTTGACCAAAGGGGAAATGCTTCAGGCGAGGGGCTGTGGGGAAGAAGAAGCAGGCAAGCGGGGGAGGTTAAGCTCCCCTCCCCTCATGCCTCCTCTTCTACTTTTGTGAGAGAGAGAGATTGGGCAAAGTCTAGGTTTAAAGAGGCTGCTATCGTGCCCTTTTCAGGCCTCAGAGAACTTGTTTTTAAAAAGAAATAAACGTGTTTGCTGATTGCCACATGAACGAGACAACAGTATTTAGCAGTACAGTCATACCTTGGTTGATGAACGACTTGCGAGTCAAACGATTTGGCTCCTAAAGGCCACAAACCCAAACATGAGTGTTCCGGTTTGCAAACGTTCTTTTGGAACCCAAACATCTGGCGTGGCTTCTGCAGCTTTTGATTGGCTGTAGGAGCTTCCTGCAGCCAATCGGAAGCCATGCCTTGGTTTTCAAACATTTCAGAAGTCGAACAGACTTCCAGGACAGGTTCCGTTTGGCTTCCAAGGTACAACTGTGTTAAAACAAGTGACAAGTGTAGCCTGCAATATGCCAAATCAGCCATCCCAGTGCCATCCAGATGTTCTGTACTACAACTCCCATTAGTCCTGGAGATGATGGGAGTTGTAGTTCAGAAAAACTGGAGGGCACCGGGTTTGCAAAAGCTAGCCTATAGAGCCATGGGATCTTAAGCTATATTTCAGTGCAACCTCCCTTAGCCATGGCTCAAGAAGTTAAGCTTCTACAGAAAAGGGAGAGGGACCCTTTGCCCTCCAGATGCTGTCGGGCTTCATTTCTCATCAGTCCCAGCCAGCACAGCCAAAGGGCAAGGATGATGGGAACTGTAGTCCAGCATCATCTGGAGTTGCCACAGGTTCTCTGCCACTGGTCAAGATCTCATGACTGTTGAGATAAGCTTCAAAATATATGGACAAAACCTGGGGAGATGTCAGAAGCTGGAAAGGAGTATGATTACTCAAGGGGTAGGACTTGGTACAATATGTAGTGCAGCCTTCACCCCTCCTAGTGTCTTCCAGCTGCTTTGGACTACAACTCCCATCAGCCCCAGCCCTTATGGGAGTTGTAGTCCAAAAAAGCAGGAAGGCACCAGGTTGGCGAACGCTGTTGCAATTCAAGCAGAACACCAGATAAATGAAAGCATAACAACAGACCAAAGAAGAGCCCACACCAAGGTCCATGCCAGGGATGGGGGACCTGCAGCCTTCCAGATGTTGGACCACAACTCTCAGCATCCCTGACCACTGACCATGCTGCTGTGACACCTTCAAGGCTGTCCTTCCTCTTACCTGTTCGAAGAACTCATCCATGAAATGGTCTCGGTCCACGTGCACCACCTCTTCCTCATCGTCGCTGTCTTTGGCCTGCCCAAGAGACAACATTTCCACAGGTTAGGACACCCTCCTGGCTCTGTCCTCATAGATACCCTGATGCTCTCCCCTTCTGTGTGTTTCAAAGCACACATATTATGTAGCCAATTGCCATTTCTTCACTACACAGTGAAAAGTGGGAGGGGGAACCATTTGGGGGAAAGCAGCAAGCTTTTAACCTTTCCCAATTGCCCCTTCTCCCCTATTTAAGCAGATGCACACAGACACTCAGCAGATTCCCCCAACCAGCATTTCAGGCCCTTGTTTCTGTTGCAAATATCCATATTCCTTCCTAGGCCTCATTCTTTCCCACCCTCTTTCTCTCTGATTTGCCTCTTGCATTTACTTCTTGATTCTTTATCTGTATTTCGGTAGAGCAGAGCAGCAGTTTCGTCCTAGCCCATACGGCATCATCAAAAGTAAAGATGCTCGGGATGAATCCCCTCTTCCTAGCCCAAGTAAGAGATGTTGCCAACCATCAGAAAGGAAGAATTAGATAGCCCTGGTTTCTGAAAGGCGCCATTGCTATGAATCTCGTAACACGAAATCGCCATCCTCAGCAGAAAACAAGCCAAGAAAACTTGACTGAAAGGGTATGTGTGAGACTTCACACTTCACACCCTTCAGCAAAAGTTTGTTAGGGAGAAAGGGAATGACCAGGGGAGCCAGGAAAATGACATATATCCAGTGAGAAGGAAGAAAAGGAGCAGTGTTTTTGGTTGCTACATGCTTTGGGTTCATTCCACCTCATTTTTAATTCTGAAGCTCAGCCCTGGAATAAGTGAAGCAATAATGAAGACCTGACTGTAGCTGACCACATGCAAAGATGTCTGCTTTGCTATGGGTTAACCACAACCAGCCCCTATTCATTTATTTAAAAAATATTGCTACCCACCCTTCGTCAACTGATTCCTGTGGAATATACAAAAGTGTGGATGAGGCCCCTAGACATCTGGGATTAAAAACAGGGTGATCGGGGAACACAGAGCATGCTCCCACTAGGCAAATTTGAAATGTCACAACTCACATTTTAAAAATTAAGAACTGTCTAAAACCCCAAGAGGGAGAAGTAACAGATTAATCTCCTCAAACTGGCAACGAAATCCAGGAATCATGCCTTCCTGCTCTAAGAAGCTACACCCATTTCCGGCTCCTAGAGCTGAGGAGAAAACTTGAGGGTCTGTTTTCTAGAAATGCAAGCAGTTTCCTTTGGGATCTAAAAGGAAAACCCAGGAGACCCAGTTCCCCACACTTCCATCCCACAAGGCCTCATTTCCGTTCCAGAGCAGAAGAGTTGGGTTAGAGAACCCAAAAGAAATACCACAAACATTTGCCTCACGCAGGGGGGAAAACTATTTGTGGACCAGACAGGCCCAGTCTCCAAGCTCCTTTTAACTGTGTGGTCATGATGACTTGTGTTCATGATGGCATGGGCTGGTTATTCACAATCTCACTTTCACGACTGTTTGCAGGTGCAGCAGTTTGAGGGCATACATATTGCTTTGTTTCCAGTCTCATAACTTCCTCCTGAAATCCCGTAACGTGTTATTATACCGCCATATTCCGGGAAGTGTGTGTTTGTTATGTCCTGCTTTGCCCCTCCAAATCATGACAATGTGACAGCGCCCAGCAAAGACTAAGGCAAAGGCAAAGGGACCCCTGACCATTAGGTCCAGTCATGACTGACTCTGGGGTTGTGGCGCTCATCTCACTTTATTGGCCAAGGGAGCCGGCGTACAGCTTCCGGGTCATGTGGCTAGCATGACTAAGCCACTTCTGGCGAACCAGAGCAGTGCACGGAAACGCCGTTTTACTTTCCCGCCGGAGCGGTACCTATTTATCTACTTGCACTTTTTGGCGTGCTTTCGAACTGCTAGGTTGGCAGGAGCAGGGACCGAGCAAGGGGAGCTCACCCTGTCGTGGGGATTCAAACCGCCAACCTTCTGATCGTCAAGTCCTAGGCTCTGTGGTTTAACCCACAGCGCCACCTGCGTCCCCCCAGCGCCACCTGCGTCCCCCCAGCAAAGACTACAGGACCACTAATGAATGTATCCTGCCACATGCCATTGATGCATGAGTTGTTCATTGGTGGTGAATGGTCCAAACACCAGTCTGCTTCATTAGCGGTCTAGCAAAGACCCCCCAGCAAAGACTACAGGACCACTAATGAAGCGGACTGGTGTTTGCACAGTCTGGTATAAATTCACCACCAATGAACAACTCATGCATCAATGACATGTGGCAGGATACATTTGCAACACACACACACACACAGACACACACACCCCACCAGACTGGAGGGGCTTTGGATGATCTGAGGGCATCTCGGGGTTGAACATTTCCACATGAGAAAGAAAGAAAAAAACCCTCACACAGAAAACTTCCTTATCAACGAAAGCTAGACAATAACCTTTCTTAACAGCTGGCTTTCTAGGAGCAGAGCATTTCATTTTTTAGTTTAGGAAAGAAAGTCAGTCACGGGTGCTCCACGTAAAGTCCAGAAGTGGTTATCTCCTATGTGAATGGCAGCTTAGCACTAAGAGTTAGATTGTGGTCTGTCTGTCCGTCTCCCCCACCCTTACCTCCCATTCCATATCCCATTGTTCCTTGCAGCAGTTGTCAAGGCCAAAAAAAGCCCTGCCTTCTCAGCCGAGATGCCACATATCTTCTTATATAAGTGCAACCCCAAAAAACTTGATTTAACCTGAGGCGACAAGTCAGAGGGAGATGGGCTCAGCCACTTGGAAGGCAGCACACACACACACCCCGGTTCCCTGCCACTTGCGCTGCTCCACAAGGCAGGAGAAAGCTGGCGATCAGGGCAGTGGGGAAGGAATAGCGATGGAGAAGGCTCTCTGGCCTGGCACCACGGGGAAAGGAATTGGAGAGAGGGATTTGGAGGGAGAAGCTGTGTTTTGGACCAGTGCCTGGCTCCGTCTCCTGGAGGGCAGTTTGTGACGAAGCTCTCTCATCGCATTCTCCTTTCGTCCAAGGTCACAGCTAAGCGAGCTGGAACAGTGACATAATAACACATGCACACAAACAGCCGCTCGCACTTCCAGTGTGCTGGGAATGCGTGTGCACGCAGAGACCGGGCGGGGTGGCCCGGGGGCAGCGCCACATCACCTCGGCAGACTATCAGATTCCTTTTCTCCTTCCAGGAAAACCATCATCCCCAAAATAACCAGCCTGGTCATGGAGGACAAAATAAAATACATAAATAAGAATAAAAATCCTCCCCTCTTCCCTCCCGTCTCCTTTCTTTCCGCAGTACAGTGGTACCTCGAGTTACATATGCTTCAGGTTACATACGATTCAGGTTACAGACTCTGCTAACCCATAAATAGTGCTTCAGGTTAAGAACTTTGCTTCGGGATGAGAACAGAAATTGTGCTCTGGTGGCAGCAGCAGGAGGCCCCATTAGCTAAAGTGGTGCTTCAGGTTAAGAACAGTTTCAGGTTAAGTACGGACCTCCGGAACGAATTAAGTACTTAAGCCGATGTACCACTGTAGAAGGTTCTGTGATAGTTTTAAAGGGTTGGTTTTCCTCAGAAGATGCAACACTGGCCCACAGATGTCAAACCAACCGTGGTCCCTTCTCATGTCCTGTTCCTGCCCCATATCCAACTTCTGAGTAAGGGGCAGGCAGGGGCAGGGGGGCGGGAAGGAACACACAAAAAGAGAGAGGTGTGGAGTTGTGGCGGGATTGGTGTCTGTCTGCTTGTCTGCAGGCCACAGGGAGAATATTTTCCCTTTCCCACTTCTAAACCCATTTAAAGAGTAACAGCTGCCCACCCCATCCTCTCAACTAGGAATGTAAAGAGTGACAGCAAAGCACTGGCAACATTGCCCACTGATTATTAACGTTTTCTTCTATGGTCATGAGGACTAGCAGCTTTTTAAGAAGGAGCAGAAGGAAAAGAAGTCAGGATCACAGCAGGTCCACTGGGGAAATACTACAGGGGAGGTTAGGAGACCACAGTGGGTAAGCATGTTACCGAAACACTGCTAAAGTTTCATTTTACTTAACATTTATTTACTTTTCTGCAGCTGTAGATCCCCAAGGTGGCTGGAGAGGGCCTCCTCGGTGGCTGCTCCCAGACTTTGAAACTCCCTCCCTAGAGAAGTTAGACTTTTAATGAAAGGGCTAGTGCCGTGCTGTTTTTATTGTGATTATCTGTATGTTTTAAATAGATCATATATATAGTGTGTGTGTGTGTGTGTGTTGACTTTATTAGTGTTTAAATTATTTTTAATTATTCCCCCTCTGTTTAGCTGTTTTTATTTTATCTGTAAGATGTCTTGAGCCCCTGTAAAGGAAAAAGGCAGGGAATATAATATAATATAATATAATATAATATAATATAATATAATATAAACATAGGGTTTCATAATAATAATGCACAGGGTTTGAAACCATCCCCTATCCAGGCATGACTAGACCTATATAGTTTCAGCAAGGTTGCTGTTTCATTTGCCTTTACCTTATAGTCCAAGTACAACCAATCATCTCTCCTTTTGTCTTTTATTTGAATATGAGGATTCTATAGTGAGCCTATTGGCTCCTCCAGCCATCTTCCTGTTGGACCATGTGGCTGGATGCTGGGCGTATGACTGGCTCCTTTCCAGAGCCATTTGCACTGATGTTCTGTGTCACTCCTGGCTGGCTCAGGCAATTAACCTACCTTAGCTTTGGATGCTTGGCACCCCCATATATTCTCAAACGCTGCTCAGGTTGCTAATTTGCATGACGAAAGGAGACGCAGGCCAAGGTCATCTCCTGGCAAGAATGGGCAAACATATCAGGCCAGGCAAATGGTTTGTCCCTCTGCAATAGTGGCAAGATCTGGATGATTCAGAAGCAGCCACAGGGCACTTCAGATGCAATCTTGATTCAGAAGGCAGGCTCAAAGTTTGGGAACATTCTGCTCCCTCTGTTTTCAAGGATTCCTAGGCATGTTGATGGGAGGGAAAGATACCCAAGCGATGGAAGGAACGGAATCTATTTATTTAGCCATCACAATTGTAACCCTGTTTAATCCCAAAACTGGTCCTGCGCTGAGGCTACGTTGTGACTTAGAATCTCATAATCTTAGAGTTGGAAGGGACCCTGAGGGTCATCTAGTCCAACCCCCTGCAATGCAGGAATCTCAGCTAAAGCATCCATGGCAGATGGCCATCCAACCTCGGCTCGAAAACCTCCAAAGAAGTAGAGTCCACAACCTCCCGCGGGAGACCGTTCCATGGTCAAACACCTCTTACTGTCAGAAAGTTTTCCCCAATGTTTAGTCAGAATCTCCTTTCTTGTAACTTGAAGCCATGGGTTCGAGTCCTACCCTCTGAAAAAGGAGGAAACAAGCTTGTTCCCTCTTCCATGTGGCAGCCCTTGAGATATTTGAAGACGGCTTGCCCAAGGTGACCCAGAGAACAAAGGATTCAAACCTAGGTCTCCTCTGAATGAAGGAGACACTCAGAAGGACTCAGCTTTCGTTGCTGCCTGCAGCTAACAGACATATATATTTATCTGTTACATACTCAGCAGGGCTTAGCACAGGGCTACCTAAGCATTTTCCCATCCAGGCCCTCAGGAAGCCAAGACTTGCTCAGGTGGGGTGTGTGTGTGTTTTAATGTGCCTTTAGAGTCCGTATTCTTTGCTAGGCATGTCTTTGAGGGTCATCATACATTTAAACGGACGTCAAGGTTATCAAAAGCTTAAAAGGCAGGCAGGAAAATATCACTGTAAACCAGACTATAAAGATAAGCATACACACATCAAAAGCAGGACCTGGAGATGAAAAGTCAGATCCCTAGCAAGATCAGACCTCCTCACCGGAATGAAGGAATGATTTAGCCTTTTATATTGCTTGTCTGCAGGCTACTCAGATTTGATTGGCAGTCCTCCACCCTCCACCAGGTCTCTTGCAAGCCTGCATTCACAGCAGATTGGGCGACTGCTTCGCTTAAAAGATCAGGATTCTCATAGGCTTGCCCTTCCAGCGTGATTGGCTGCTTCTGATACCTTTGTTTGCATGCCTGAAAAGCTCACACCACCAGCCTCCTTCAAGTGTGATTGGCTCTTTGGCCATCAGGCTCGCACTATCCAGAGTGACTAAACTGCTTTCTAGCCAATGAGATTGCAGTAGCAGAGGGCAGAGGGCAGAGACCAGATTGGCTGCAAAGCTGGCCAAAATGGGTTTCATCAACTTAAACATATATATTATGGGGTAAGGTTGTGTGTGTGTATCTGACCACCCCTCTGAGGTTTGAACAAAGACACTACAGGTAAAAAGGTCGACAGGTGAAGCTTTCCCTCTTCATCACCTGCACTTATTGGGAGAGTCACCTGTCATGCAGTTGTTCAAAAGCTGTGCCAGGAAGGGAATGGTGGCAACACTAAAGTCATCCCCACCCCAGATCCATAACTTTTTTTTTTTTAATGTAAGACAAGATTTATACGCTGGTAGGGAGTGACTCTCATCTGCTCAGGATGCGGATGAAAAATAAGTATGCTGTCTGCATAACTATCATTCCAGAGAGTGATAAAGGTGCAGGATTCTGTCCCTCTTCAGCCTTAGTGGGGGTTGCTGGATTCAAAACCAAACCAAGCAGGGCTTTTTCTAGAAACCAGAGGTTATAATCAGGGAAACCAGGACTCTTGGTTTCTTTGTGCGATCGCAAATTCTCAGAAAGCAGAGGGAAGGGTTAAGAGGGGGAAGCTGAGTTGTGAGCCAGTGATCCACCCTCCCCATCTCTCTTATTTAAGCGCGGTCTGGTTTGTTAAGAGGCAGAATGGCTAGGAGCCAGGGCACCAGGTTTAGAGCCTCAGCTGGAAGGACTGGAGTCCAATAAAATCAACAAGAAGGGGGGGAAGCGGGGGGGGGGAGAGCTCCCCTGAGTTCCGGCAAACAACCCTCAAATACAGAGCGACACCAGCAGACGTGGAATCCGGCGAGATTATTATAATGAACATTATTCTTGAACAGAGAGAGAGAGCGCAGACTACTGGCAAGTGCCACGTTCAGCGTCCCCGGCTTCCACTCCGCTCCCCTGGCCGAGGAAAACCCGGCGCAACAGCGTCAAAATAATGGGCTAAAAAAAGACACAGCTGCCCAAATACAGAGCCACTTAGTTTAATGGCTTACGCACGCATCCTTCCCAGCCTCTCCCCGTGGGCCTGCCTCCTCCCTCACCCTCTGGCCTTCGCAGGTCTCGCTGCTTGCTCCCCTTCCTGCAACTGTGAATGCATTCCAGGGTTTTGTTGACCACCGGATGAAAGGCCTCTTGCTGTCCACACTTGGCCTCTTTTTGTAACCCTCCCTCCTCGTTTGCAGTCATAAGAACGTGAGGAGACTGCAGTCACAGCAGGGCTTTGCTTTCCCCAAACACCGCACATTTGGGCTTCTAGATAAATAAGTAAATCTCCCCCCGCCCCCCACAGCCATTTAGACAGGCAGAATATCCTCATTAAGGCAGGGCTACAGTGCAGCAAAGGGGGTGGTGCGTTCTCCTGACAGGTTTCCTGACAGCAAGTGCTGCATAACTATTTTTATTTTGGGTTTGTTTTTTTTTAAAAAAAGAGAGACAGAGAGAGAAAGAGCAAAAGATGCAAAGTGATGAGAACAACAGTGGAATGAGAAATGGAAATGGATGGCGGTGGTAGGAGGCGGAGATTGTGCTCTAGCCAAGAGGTTGAGAAATGAGTTTGGCTGCTTGCGACAGAGGAGCTTGCACCTGTCTCCATTGCTTGTTCCTGGACCGCAGTGACACCTTCCTGCGACCTCCTGGTGGCAGGCAGGCACAGAGGCAACGTGCCTGGTTCCGTCGGCCACCAAAGTACCTCAGTCAAGGTGGGGGAGAAACTTTCACAAAAATAGGCTGCTCTAAGGCCACTGCAAACCACCAGCAGGCAAGCCCATTTCAGTCTGGTCTGAAATGGCTGCAGGGTTTGGGTCTCAAGGCCACCAGCGTCTGAATGGAAGATTTCATGGAAACCACAGGGTTCTATGATGGAAGGAAGGTAGGATGTAAATGTAAGGAAATTAGTAAATAAGTAAATTTCTGGACCCAAGGTGGAAAAATCTAACTGGCACCCTGCGGGGAGGGGGGTCAGCAGTCCCTCCAAGTGTCCCTATTTTCCATGGACAGTCCCAGATTTACACAAGCTGCCCCGATTTCTGATTTGATCCCGGAATGTCCCGCTTTTCCTTAGAACGTCCCTATCTTCATTGGAGAAATGTTGGAGGCAACATCTTTATTTTCATCAAAGAAATGTTGGAGGGTATGGAACAGCCAGAGATTTGCCTGTCTTTAATGGAACATAGGCAGCTGCCTTATGACAAGTGAGATCATTGGTTCATCTACTTCAGTGCTGTTTATACAGACTGGCAGTGGGACTCGAAAGTTTCAGGCAGAAGTCTCTCCCAGTCCTAGGCCTTTCTCCAGGCAAAGAAGAGATTTGGTCCTTTCCCAACAATGTCCCAAAGCAGGAAGTTGAAGCTACTCATGATAAGACCTGGTGCCCACCGGTAAAGTCTACTCTGAATGCTAGAAAACAGTTCCTGTTATACAGCTGACTGTTTTTACCAAGCCATTTAAAAACAAAGAAGCCTTCCTTCCTTCCTTCCTTCCACTTTCAAACTGTCTTTTAGGATACTTAGGGGTTTTTCAGTGTGGGAGTTTTTGCAGTCAAAGCTAACAATGCACATCTATGCTAGTTAGTATGTGAAGGGGTTAAGGACCACAGAGTTCTAAACTACTAGATTAGACTGTGATGTCACATCCCCTCTTTCCAAGGGGAGAGGAAGTAAGGGATGTTTCCTGCTCCGTTCTCTCTCTCTCTCTCTCTCTCTCCCCCTCTCCCTCTCCCTCTCCCTCTCCCTCCCTCCACTATTTGAACCATGTAAGCTGAGCAGACACATGAGATGGGTGCGCTCCATGCCCAGACTCCATGTTTGAAGATACTTTTTGTATTTTGCAACCAATAATACCTGGCCTGTGTTGTTTCAGCTGCAGCATTGAACAATGCATGAGTGAGATCTGTAAGTAAAGCATTTAAACTTACTAAAGTTTGTGGTCTATTCACTCCAAGAGAGGTAGAGGGAACACATTTTAAGAGCTTAATACTGGGACATTTAGACCTATAGCAACCTATATTTCCCACACTTTGCAAACACCGCATAGAACAGTGTTTTAAACTCTGCTGGGGGCTGTTTCGGCTAAAGGGGAGTCAAGCCCTGAACATACTTTTTTGAATTCAGGCAGTCAGCCATTTTTCTTCATAGTTCCCACAAATGTGGGACTTCAGGATTAAATGGTTTTCTCCATTTATTTCCCAGCATTCAGGAGTGCACCAGAATTTCCTCAATGAGAGTGTGGAATGAGATAAAGATGATAAACTTGGTTCTTATGAGGCATTATATGATTACATAGAATTAATTTGTATGTACTTGCTAATTTTGATGCAAGCAACACAACAAAAGCCATCCTGCAGGAGCTCACCCTGTAATATGCTTGAGATTTCTTTGCAACATCTCAGACGTATCCCTTGTCCTACAGAAAGGGGTTTCTGGAAAGGCAAAGGGCTCCCCAAAGTCTGAAAGTTGCTGCTTAAACAAAAAGGAGGTGGAACTTGCCTAGGAATATTCTATGAAGGCGATACTGAAGGAGGCTGTGTTATACAGAAATTATTTAGCAATCTCTTGCCAGCCAGCATCAGGTCAAAAGGTGATGAAGTGGTGCTTTTCTCCTCTGGGTTATATTGAGGCATTTACCTTTTATTGCATAGTGCCCCCTTTGATCGCTGTTCTTTGTGAGGGCATTTCTGGAGATGTGACCCATTGTGTGTGGTAGGGGGAGATTTCCGCTTTAGCCACTGTCCTCCCCAATACGTTATCATACATTGTCAGTTTTCTGCAAGCAACCCCATGCGGGATCTGCTATAGCACTAGATCAAAGCAGCTCTTGTGACAAGATTGCGCACGCCAGGGTGCGTGGCAGCGCACTTGCGGAGCGTGCAATTGCACGCTTCCCCTTCGCATGTCCCTTCAAAAAGAACAGGGCTGTGTCTGGGTGCGAGACAGGGCATTTGGAGATGGTGCAGTTGCAGAAAAGACCATGTTTGTTCTTCTCAAAATGGCAGCATAACAATGGGAGAGGGGGAATTGGGTGTGTTTTGGCAGTTGTTCCTCGTATCCACTGGTGTGTCCACTGCTTGATATCCAAAGTGAGAGGTTCTGGGGTGCAAGCCTAAATTAGGTGTGATACCCTTTAACCCAGAAACCTTCCAGAAAACCCCAGATGCATGGGGAGCTAGATGTGCTCAATGGCACTACAGTGGTACCTCGGGATACAGACGCTTCAGGTTACAGACACTTCAGGTTACAGACTCTGCTAACCCAGAAATAGTACCTCAGGTTAAGAATTTTGCTTCAGGATAAGAACAGAAATCGCGTGGCAGTGGTGCGGGAGGCCCCATTAGCTAAAGTGGTACCTCAGGTTAAGAACAGCTTCTGGTTAAGAACGGACCTCGATAACAAATTAACTTATTAACCCGAAGTACTACTGTATTTCATTCTAGCAAAATGTCTGGTAAATGTTAGTGTGTATGGATATGCGGCCACAAAGACAGCTGTTGTTGAGCAAGCAAGCAAATGCTGATCACTCCGTACCTCTGTATATACTTGTATGTTCTTATCCTGAAGCAAAATTGTTGTTGTTGTTGTTGTTGTTGTATTTATACCCAGAGCTTTTTTTCCTTAAAAAAATTGTTTAGGGGTACTCTTATTTTGACTCTAGAAAACCACAATTTTATAGTTCAAATGGGGGGGTTACAGTAATTGGGCAAAAGTACTAAGATTCAAAAACTGTTTAGGGGTCTGCGTCCCCCCAGAAAAAAACACTGTTTATACCCCACCTATCTAGCTGGGTTTCCCCAGCCGCTCTGGGCAGCTCACAGCATATCTCAGAACATACTAAAACATCAAACATAAAAAGCTTCCCTAAACAGGGCTTCCTTCAGATGTCTTCTAAAAGTCAGATAGTTGTTTATTTCCTTGACATCTGAAGAGAGGGTCTTCCATAGGGCGGGTGCCACTACTGAGAAGGTTCCCTGGTTCCCTTTAACCTCACTTCTCATAGTGAGGGAACTGCCAGAAGGTCCTCGGCACTGGACCTCAGTGTCCAGGCTGAACGGGGGTGGAGGGGTGGGGATATGCTCCTTCTCAACCCTTTGCTTCAAGGCCCATTATAATACAGTAGGTTTTGCCCTAGACATGCAAATAGGTGTGAGGGGATTGGGCGAATAGCTACTGATGTCCCAAAGGCACAATGGATTCCTAAAGTTGTGGCATTTCCCAGTATAGTTCCTAGGAGAAAAGGGTACTGAGAGGTAAGGGGAGAGAATTCCCACTTGGGTGGAAGATTATTTGTTATTATTTATTACATTTATACTGTACCTTTCCTCCAAGGAGCTCAAGGTAGTTCACATGCTTCTCTTCCTCCCCATTTCAGCTTCACAAAAACCGTGTGGGGTACGTTAGGCTGAGGGACCGTGGCTGGCTCAAGGTCACTCACTGAGCTTAATGCAGGGACTTGAGCCCTCATCTAGTTTCTAGACCAACACTAACCACTAGACCTCACTGGCTCTGGTTGCCACAGCCCCTAACATCATTTGCCACCATGGTTGCAGGTCAGGAGAATCCCAGACCCTGAGATTTCAGGGCCAAACCAGCCCCTAGTGATGTCACATGGGGGGGTGTCCTGGTGACGGAGGTTAATTGGGAGAGGGGAGCAGAGGAAGGCAGACAGCCCACTCCCCAGAGTTTCTATGCTATTATTTGCAGCTAGCTCCTGTGGGGCTGCAGCTTGAAAGCTGCATGTACATTATTATTATTATTATTATTATTATTATTATTATACCTCTTGCCCGCAAGGGGCCGGGCAAACCTGGAGACTTCAGCTCAGACCTGGAGATCTGGCAACCCTTTCTATCACCTGCCTCTCCTTCCCAGCTTCCACTGGTAACTCTCCAACTCATACCGACAGGCAGACAGACTTGCAGGGAGGTGCAGGACATTACGCTTGCAATTAATCATAACTAATAACATTTTTTCTTGTTGCCTGACAGAGTCCAAGCACGGATAACTTGGTTGCAGATATTTATATATATCCTGGTTTCGCTTAAACCATCTGAGAGAGAGAGAGATCTAGCTTTCTTAAGCCAGCACTTCAGAGCCCCACGTCACCTCTCACCCCACTGCAGCCCAGCCTCCCGCCTGCAGCCCATAAACCACCCTGGCTGACATGAGTTATAGCATTTGCTGGAAATTGGAAGAAAAAAAGAACCAGGGAGCGAACGAGAGACACGGCGAGCAAAGCCCACGTCCGTCTCCACCACTCACACAATCATTCCTGCATTGCAGCTGTTTTTGGGGAAGGGAAATGCAGGTATTCCAGCCCTAGGAATACATCCACACCCCGTGCAAATACGGGCTCCCACTATATTGCAAGAGGAGCAACCTCCGATCTGACTAGCTGGGGGGGGGGGAGGGAGGAAGGGAGGAATCCCAACAGAATGCTTAATCTTTGGATGCAGGTGGAGGAAAGTAATGGAGAAGAGGAGACCATCAGACTCAGTAGGGTGTGTGTGTGTGTGTGTGTGTGTGTGTGTGTGTGTGTGTTCATGGGGCTGCGGAGACAAAGCAGTATTTATGGGGACAGGTTTGGGCAGAGAGATATTTGCTAGGAGACTGATGGATAGATGGAGCTGGAGACAGACAGGGATGAGAGATATGAATAATGAGCTGGCAAGCAATATTTCAACAATGCCGAGAAAGAAGGGGGTAGCGCCAGGGAGAACAATTGCGGGTGGCTGCAGTTCTAAACACACTTGCTACTGAAGAAACCCCACAGAATGCAGCAGGGCACAAGTGACTCCTGCAGCAAAATGTTGCAGCGTGGCACACTCCCCGTCAGAATTCCAGCCGGCCATGCCCTCCTGTGGGAGATTCCATTCCATACCCCACCCTGGTTTTCTGTTTTCCTCACTGTACCATTTCGTGCCCACTGAGCATGCCCAGACTTTACTGAGCTGTGTGTGCATTTGTGTTTCCCCTTAACGCAGCCTTCACAAACTTGGTGACCTCCAAATGTTCCAGGCCCTGGTAGCTGAGGCTGATGGGAATTGTAGTCCAGAACATGTGGAGAGTACCAGTTGGATGAAAACCACCCTTAGGGGTTTTATTCTAGAAGCTTTCCGTAGTGCTGGAAACTTCAGGGATCCCCCCACCCCAGTTGTGCTGAAGCCCTTCGGTGTGAATGGCACCATTTTGACAGCAAAGGGGATCCATGCTCAGAGAACCTTTGCTATTAATATATAAGACAGGAAGGGTAGGATTGGTGCACCTAAGTGAGATGGGAGAGACCCCCTTCTTGCTGAACCTCAGACTCATGACAATGGCGCCTTTATTCCAGAAGGCATTTTAAGGTCAGGTTTGGGTTTCTGTTTTCATTTTAGGATAATGTTGTTGGTTTATTCTGCGTGGTTTATTTTATGCACACAGCACAGAAATGCAAATGACTGAGCAGCATATAAATGCCTGATGGAACACAGGATTGTATATAACGGCAGAGGGATGAATGGAAGGAGAGCAGGTGAGGGGAAGGACAGATAGACGTGTATGTACAAAACAGAAGTGATTGACAACAACAACAATATATCCCAAAGGAGCCCAGGGTCAAACAAGAAGCGATAAGACAATAAAAGCAACTGAAAAACACATCTTAAACTGAGCCGGAGCTTTTGTCGAGAGCTTAATCGTGGCTCCATAATTGCTTCCAAAGTCAGCCCTGAATATTCATGTTCTCATAAAGAGGTAAAATTCTCTGAGCATGGGCTGAAGGCCTTCCTCTTATGACCAGACCTTGCTGGGGGCCCTCAGTCTTAACGGCATCCGGGCATCCTTGAACCCTGGTTCCCCTTTCTTTGTTGGGGGGAGGAAGCATCCTATACATTTATATTTTGATGTTAGCCGTCCTGAGCCAGGGTCTGGCCAGGGAGGACGGGCGATGGAGTGATCAATGAAGGCAGGAACTGGGGTCTGAGCAGTAAAGCAAGAGTTTTTAAAGTGTTAATCCTAGTTTGGGGGTAGGGACACCGAGGGGCACAGCACCATTCGGCTACTTCAGGAAGGAAGATAACTTTGGTCGCACTTGCCATTAACCACTGGAAAGCCTGTTGGTCTAAGTCAGTGCCCATTTTCTATCATATGTGATCAGATTGGAATCAAAAATTGTTTTTTCTCGCTCTCTCCCTCTCTCTCTCCCACCCCCTACTTCCAACAAATCAGAACTTCATTTAAAAAAATTCCATATAATCAGCGCTGTCGGTCACTGGGAAGAATCTGTAGTGGTTGAATCAACAGAACTGGCAAATTTGCCGAAGAAAAGTAAATCAGCATATCACTTGCAATCAATTCAATATGGTTATCTGCTCAATCGTAAACAGAAGTCACAACTCACAGAGGCCATTTTTGCCTTCGCTATTTCATTCATTGGTCAGGGAAGCCCAAGTACCACGCAGTTTTCAAAAACAAATGCATCTGCTCCTAAGTCCAACCACTTAAAATTTACCATCCCTGAATAATCGGGTGGGGGGCAGTTTTAATCAACTAAAGCAGGAGTTGATTAATCTGCCAATTAAGCAGAGTAAAGCTTGAATCCCCAGAGATAATGCTATTATACGCAGCTCTCCAGAGGAAGCTTGCACAGCCCCTCTTTCTCTCTGAAACAACCATTATTATGAAAAAATGTCTGTTCTGGTGTTCTGAAATATTATTTCCCAGTCATCTGCCTTGCCTTTCAAGGGGAGAAAGCTCTTTCTCTCTCCAGACACCCAGAGGGTATCAAATCTAGTCCCCTATGGAAGGTTGTCTGGAGAGCAAAGAGTTATTAGAGGGCAGTGGAGAACCAGAGAAAAAAGGAGGAATCAGATTTCAATTTCATTTTCAAGACATCTGGGTAAAAGAATCTATTTCAACGGGAGATCAACAGAAGGACTTTGTCAACGTATTTTGCAATTTACAAACCTGGAATGCATTACTGATTTTCATTTGAAATGCACCCACCTATCTTTGGTATGTTTGCTGCTCAAAGCAGGGCTAATGGCATACTAAAAAAATGTCTTGTACTGTAGCTACACTGACCTATTTGGAATGGTGGGACGTCGGCTCCGTGGTGGACAATATGCTTCACATGCAGAAGGCTGCAGGTTCAATCCCTGATTTCTTCGATTCAAAATACTTGCAAGCAGAAGGGCTGAGAAAGGCACATTTCTAAAACTCTGGAGAGCCACTGCCAGTCAAGATTAGATAGTAGTGGGCTCGATGACTCAGCATGAAGCAAACGTCATCTGCACACCTCCCTGGCCCTGATGAGTCTTAGTCACTTGGAGTGGTCATTGATGGGCCGTTAGGCTGCTGAAAAAGCTACTTTGAAATATGACTCACACCCACCTGCCTGAGCACGGGCTGGAAACAATTTGGGTTAAAGTGGGCACAGGAGACACCTGGATTTGAGGAGAGAGAGGATGGAGGTGGTTGGCAAAACTGCTAGAAGGTATCTAGAGGGAAAAGCCAGTTCTGAGACTTTGGAGGACCTTCGGCGATGATCTCTCAGTGAACAAGCATGCCCACACACCTGTAACACCTGGTCAACATGTACATTTAAAATCAATAGCTTTAGCTGATGGGTCTCAAACCCTTGGCATGTTAGGGACTTTGCACGTGCTGTAGAGGGAAGTAAGGAGCATATGGGGCTCCTCACCTGGGAAAGTAGCCCATCTAGGATAAGGGAAACTCTGATCCTAAACCTCTGCTGCCTTTTGGGATATCTTCAGAAGAAAAGTCTCAGGAGTAAACCCTACAAAAATCAGGAGTGGAGTCCCTAAGATGGTTGGATGGTGCCTTGTATAATAATAATAATAATAATAATAATTTATTATTTGTATCCCGCCCATCTGGCTGGGTTTCCCCAGCGGCTTCCAACAAGGATTAAAAATACATCAAAATGTCACACATTAAAAACTTCCCTGAACAGGGCTGTCTTCAGATGTCTTCTAAATGTCAGGTAGTTGTTTATCTCTTTGACATCTGATGGGAGGGCGTTGGACAGTGCCCTGCATGCCTCCTTCCGTCCATTCCTGCAGCCAAGCTGGTGCCAAACCTATTGCTCTGGGCTGCTTTGGGCCACATCCGCGAGACCGAGGGAGGGGGTCATTTGGGCAGCCCAGGACCGCCATACACACTGCCCATGCTTGTACCCCAGACAGGTCATTTCAGTGCTGCTAATGCAGTAGTTTGACTTCAACCCTGGAGGCGCATTCTCTAGAGACAAACAGATGCCAACAGAGACGCTAGGTCAGGCGTAAGGAACCTTTGGCCCTAAAGTTGTTGATGAGCTGCCACTCCCATGATCCCCAGCCAGCCTGGCCACAGCCAGGGACAATGGGAGTTGCAGTTCAGCAACATCTGGAGGGCCAAAAGATTCCTGCACTAGGTTGCATCCAGTGTAGACTCACTGAAAGGAATGGATGTGACTAACTTAAGGCCATTAAAATTTTAATGGATGTACTTTGGATACAACTCACTATAAGTTTCATAAGGTAAAGGTAAAAAGGTAAAGGGACCCCTGACCATTAGGTCCAGCCGTGGCCGACTCTGGGGTTGCGGTGCTCATCTTGTTTTATTGGCCGAGGGAGCCGGCGTACAGCTTCCGGGTCATGTGGCCAGCATGACTAAGCCGCTTCTGGCGAACCAGAGCAGCACACAGAAATGCCGTTTACCTTCCCAACGGAGCGGTACATATTTATCTACTTGCACTTTCATGTGCTTTCGAACTGCTAGGTTGGCAGGAGCAGGGACTGAGCAATGGGAGCTCACCCCATCACGGGGATTCGAACCGCTGACCTTCTGATCGGCAAGTCCTAGGCCCTGTGGTTTAACCCACAGAGCCACCCGTGTCCCATAAGTTTCATAGTTTTCTCCAAAAGAGCCTAATTTTGTAAAGCCTGTTCCAGACATTCTACCACTTTTGGGCAGTGGAAGCACATGTCTCTGAGTCAGCCTGTCCAGGAAGTGGCCTCCTAGCTTTTTCCCTTGGGCTACAATCCAGATATTTAATTGATCATGCAGGAGGGCTCGAGGGCTAGGAGGGTGTTTTTCCAGTTCTGATTGGTTTGCCAGCTACAGCCCCTTTGGGACAGAAATGACTCTGCCACTGTAGTCCATGCTCTGGTTACATCCATATTGGATTACTCAAGGCACTCTACATGGGGCTTCCCTTGAAGATAACTCAAAACTTCAATTGGCTCCAATTAAGCCGCCAGATTCCTGGCTGGGTTTCCATTTAGATCACATATAACCCCTGTTTTAAAACAGCCACATTCCTTGCCAGTTTGTTTCTGGGCCCATTCAAGGTGTTAATGTTGAGTGTTTAAAGTCCTAAGGACTGTGGCCCCAACCCAAATATCTGAAAGACCGCCCCCTTCCCTACAGACCCTCTCAGGTGCCAAGATCAACAGAGGGGTTCCTCTTGGTGGTTCAGAAACTTGGGTGGCATAAGCCTGGGAGAGGGCATTCTTTAGGACTAGCCCCTAGGCTGTTGAGCTCCCCCACTACAGAGGTGGATCTAGTAACTTCACTATACAATTTTCAGTGAATACTGAAGACACACCTCTTTACACTGGTCTTTGACACCTGAGATGCATGTATATTTTAGTGATTGTATTCTTCAGGATTTTAAGTTTTTAATGTTGTTTTTAATGTTGCATTTTCAGTGGTTATGACCTGCCCCCTGAGACCTCAGAGTGAAGGGCAAGTAACTAACTCATAACTAACTAACTAACTAATAAATAAATAAATAAATAACAGCCAGTCACCCAGTATCACCGAAGGGTTATGTGTTACCACTGTTAATTCCCATGTTTCAAGGACTGAGCCCTGGCACTGATGCCTTCTCTCTCTCTCTCTCTCTCTCTCTCTCTCTCTCTCACACACACACACACACACACACTGATATTTCCTTGTTAATCAGTTCAAACTGTAGTGCTCATAAAATTCTTACAATAACAAACAAACAAATATTTACAATCTAAAGAAACCCAATACGTTAAAAAACTAAGAGGAGAAAGGAAGGGAAAAAGAGGAAGCAAATATTCAAGTCCATTTGCGTTCTTGATGATAAACATTGCAGCAGAGCTGGCTCTTACAAATAGAGACATGTTGCATGTAAGACTGCCAGAAAAATAAGGTTCTTTTGCTTTCAGGCCAGTTGCCAGAAAGGGGGCTAGGCCATTTTCCTCTTTTCTCAGTTGTGATTTGATTATATATCAAAAATACCAGATCGCCTCAGGAGGTGGGAAATCACTTTGTATTGCCCTTGCTATGTATAAGAAAAGGATGCTGTGAGTCAACAACAGAGTCAGAGAAATAATGGTACAAGAGCAACAGACTTTGCTTCCTGCTCACATCTGAATATTGCCATTTGAGTGGCAGGATAGAATCATAGAATCATTGGAAGAGACCCCGAGGGTCATCTAGTCCAACTTCCTGCAATGCAGGAATCACAACTAGATCATACACGACAGATGGCCACCCAACCTCTGCTTAAAAACCTCCAAGGGAGTTCACCACAGCTTGCGGGAGTCTATTCCACTGTCGAACAGCTCTTACTGTCAGAAAGTTCTTCCTGGTGTTTAGTTGGAATCTCCTTTCTTGTAACATGAATCAATTGGTCCTAACCTCTGAACCAGAAGTAAACAAGCTTGCTCCATCCTCCAGATGTTTGAAGATGGCTATCATTGAAAGATTGAGGGCACAAGGAGAAGGGGATGACAGAGGACAAGATGGCTGGACAGTGTTCTCGAAGCTACCAGCATGAATTTGACCAAACTGCGGGAGGCAGTGGAAGACAGGAGTGCCTGGCGTGCTCTGGTCCATGGGGTCATGAAGCGTCGGACACGACTAAACGACTAAACAACAACAATCCTCTCATTCTCCTTTTTTTAACAGGCTAAACATAGTTCCCTCAACCATTCCTCATAAGGCTTGGTTTCCAGATCCTTGATCATCTTGGTCGGTCTCCTCTGCACACATTCCAGCTTATCAATATCCTTCTTAAATTGTAGTGCTCAGAACTGGACACAGTTGTAGTCTGACCAAGACAGTAGAAAGCGGCACTATTCCTCCTTTTGATCAGGATACTAGATTGACACAGCCCAGTCTAGAACAGCATTCACTTTTTTTTGCTGCTATATCACAGTTGACTCATGTTACACTACTATGGGGACGCGGGTGGCGCTGTGGGTAAAAGCCTCAGCGCCTAGGACTTGCCGATCGAAAGGTCGGCGGTTCGAATCCCCGCGGCGGGGTGCGCTCCCGTCGCTCGGTCCCAGCGCCTGTCAACCTAGCAGTTCGAAAGCACCCCCGGGTGCAAGTAGATAAATAGGGACCACTTACTAGTGGGAAGGTAAATGGCGTTCCGTGTGCTGCACTGGTTCGCCAGATGCAGCTTGTCACGCTGGCCACGTGACCCGGAAGTGTCTGCGGACAGCGCTGGCTCCCGGCCTATAGAGTGAGATGAGCGCACAACCCTAGAGTCTGTCAAGACTAGCCCGTACGGGCAGGGGTACCTTTACCTTTACACTACTAAGACCCTTAGATCCTTTTCACATGTACTAATGGCAAGCCATGGGTCCCCATCTTATATTTGTGCCATTAGTTCTTCCTACCTAAGTGTAGAACCTGGCATTTGTCTCAATTAACATTCATTTTGTTAGTTTTGGCCCAGTTCTCCAATCTGCTAAGGTCATCTTGAATCCCGATTCAAGCATTAGCTACCTATCCTATCTTGGTGTCATCTGCAAATCCCCTCAATACCTTCATCCAAGTTGTTTAAAAATATGTTGAACAACAAAGGCCCAGGACAGAATCCAGTGACACCCCACATTTTCACTTTTTCCCCAGGATGACAATGAACCGTTAGTGAGCACTCTCTGGGTTTGGTCAGTCAACCAGCTGCAAATCCACCTAACAGTTATCTCATCCAGCCCACATTTTACCAGCTTCTCCACAAGAATATCATGGGGGACTTTACTGAAATCAAGATACACTACATCCACAGCATTCCCCTGATCCACCAAGCTTGTAACCCTTTCAAAAAAAGAAATGAGACTTGTCTGGCATGACTTGTTTTTGAGAAATCGAAGCATCCTTTTCTAAGTGCCCATAGACCCACTGTTTAATTATCTGTTCTAGGACCTTTCCTGGTCAGGACTGAAATTTGAGATACTCCACACCTGGCATCTCTAAAGGATAACACATTATTTGCCAGGTCATCAGTTGCCACCCAAATGGGCACCGCATTCGAATGGAAACCAGGAGTGCTGATGAAACGGCACTGAAGTTGGGAACTCTTGGAATCCATCCTGTAGAACATGGTTTGAAACCTTGCACCCTGTTCCAGGAACACCTAGTGGTCTGATTGGTTACACTGACTGGACTGATAGCATAACTTGATATAAGGATCAGTTCATACAAGCAAGAAGGCCCCCGTCATTCTTGGGTACTTGTTTGCATGGATGAAGGTATCTCAGCAGAGGCAGATGATCGTTGTCAGGTATGCCTACCAACTGCAAGATTCCTAAGTTACACTACCAGTCTTTTATTGCTGTTGTATGGAATAACACATGAATCTGACCTTTGAAGCATCTGTAAGTAACCCATTTTTAACATACTACACGTGGGCTCTCTTTGTCTGCTAAAGGAAGTGAGGAACTTTGGAAGCAACTTAGAAAGGGATATTCAAATGTCTAACAGCCCCTATTTACACATTTTACTTTGCTGACTGTTTTGTGATTTTAAAGCTCTGCTGGGGGACTCTCACTAACGAGTACTTGCCCCAAACCTGGATCTAGGCACCCAGGGAATTTCCCTTTTATTCTACCATGTCTTTTTCTTTTTCTTTTACCCAATTAAACCAACAAATAATTGGTCCACCTAGCTCAGTATTATCTACACTGATTGACAGCGGCTCTACAAGTTTTCAGGGCTGGAGACTATCCAATCCCTACCTGGAGATGCTGGGGATTGAACCCGAGACCTTCTCTGTGCAAGGCAGATGCTCAATCACTGAGCTACAGCCCTTCCTCAAAGAGGGGTCATGCAGAGATGTGCCCTAAGCATAGTTGTGGTTGGGAAAGTGCTGTGTTATAGAAGGTCTTGTACTTTCTTAAGTTCAGGTCATAGCCCTTATTCCAGTTCTGCTGTTAAACAACACCTAGAAAGGCTTTAAACACACACACAAACACAGAGAGAGAGAGCGCGCGCAACATACAGAAGGATGTGTCTTGATATTGTACCTAATTTCTTTCTTTTTTTAAAGAAAGACGTGTCAGAGCTCCAGCTTGACCTAGAAGCTGCATTCCCAAATCCCAGATGCACAATGGGCAGATGTAGTTACTCAGTTGCAAGAGAGGGAGGGAGGGAGGGAAAGGGGGGTGATCTGTATGCCTGCATTCCCTTCTTGAATATTATTCTGTGTGTTCCTTGGCATTTGACCTTTTGCTTCTGGGTCTGTATGGCCTGACAGGAATCGGGCTCAAATTAAATCCTTTCCTTTATCACTAGGATTTCAGAGAAGGTGCGGATCTATCTATCTTTCTATCTACCTACCTATATCTCACCCAGTGAGATAGATAGATGGAGCATGAGGTTGGCCTGTAAGCACCACAGGTGGTCTCCAGAGAATGCCTCAGGCTCAATCCATTGTCACCACCAATTATAAAGGTGTCTTAGCCAACAGGTGCCGGGAAAGTCCTCTGCCTCTGAGGGCATGCCGACAACATGGAACTAATACAGCCTTCACCAGCTGGGTGCCCACCAGATGTTTCATACTACAACTCCCATTAGCTCTAGCCAGTTGGAAACTAGAGGGACAAATCATCTGACTGTATATAGGGGGAAAGGGAATCTTCTTATGTTCAAAGGGGCAAAGTTGCCTTTGGGTCCCAATCCTGTTTTCAAAGGCATTTTAGGCCACAGCCTACGATTTCCGGAAAGCAGAGCTTTGCAGGTCACAGCAGCTCATTACTTTAGGTAACCCCATCTCTCTGTCTCTTTAGAAATGGTCACATGAGAGACGGGCCTTTCCACAAAGATCTAGATTTCTCTAAACACACAAGGCAACACAGAGACCGACAGATAGGGGTTTTATATAATTCTGCCTCTCCAGCTAGCTCTATTGTTTGGAGCACGCAGTGACAGCGCTATCACCGGTTATATAAAAATCTATCTGCCTCTACGGCTCTCTTACCCAGATAGCAGGCTGAGATTTCTCTCTCTTTCTCCCTGTGTGTGGGTTCCTCAACCAGCTTCTCCTCCCACCCCCCACCTCCCGGAAAAACATTGCAAATTCTATGCAGTTGCACCTCCAGACTCCCATCGACAAAAATAAGTCTCCGCCACCACTACCCCACATACAATCCACATTCTTATTTTAGGAACCGTGATCCTAAATCCCAGATAAATTCCCTGAATCCTAGATGAAGCTAGACTGTAAGCAATCCAATGACGTCTTTAGGATGCCATAAAGGGCAGCAGAGTAGAAGGGGTGACCCAGGGAGACTGGATCCACCAGGAAAGCCCCCTGCTCTTGCATAGATCTCATTCATTTCAACAAGTCTTGGGCAGGAGAACTTCCATGGTGGATCGTGTTCCCGAGACAGGATTTAAAGCCTCAATGAGGGGAGGAAAGAGATTTCAGGCAGGGGAACTACAGGATTCGCAGCAAAGGCGAAGATTTGAATTGCAAAATAAACAAACTGATAAGATACCCACGACCCACTGCATTTTAAGAGTGTTTGGCACGGCTATAATAAAAATCAGAGACAGAGATGCTGCTGCAAAATAATCACATTGTATGGCCTAAACCAGGTGTGGCCAATGTGCTGCCCTCTATAAGGTGTTGGGTTATAACGCCCATCAGCCCCAGCCAACATGGCTAGGAGGAATCAGTGGCATACTGTGGGTTGCCAGTGCCCAGGGCCACACAGAGGGGATGAGTGGGAGGGAGGGAAACAGACATAGAGTACACATTCAATAGTCTAATGGCGTCTGCGTCAACAAGGAGATCGCAGCTTCCAGAGATAAAAGGAAAAAGAGTTGTTCTGTTGTCTGGAGAGGTCACTTCCAGGCTCACATGGAGAAGCCGTGATACATGTGAGTTACCTTTGCATTCTTATTCATGTCAAAGTTTTATTACCTTTTAGAGCAGGGCTGGGCAACCTGTGGCTCCCCACATGTTGCAGGACTCCCATCAGTCCCTACCAGCACGGCCAATGATCAGGAGCGATGGGAGTTGTAGTCCCTCAGTATCTGGAGGGCCAGAGGTTCCCCATCCCTATTTCAGAGAAATGTTTAGGTAACATATGTAAATGAGTGAATGTCCAAAAAGAGGTAACTTGAAGTCTTCACAGTTACACATTTCTGTTTCTGCCTTCCTCAGCAGCACAGTCTGGATTTTGAAATCCCAAATAAAAAAGGTGGAAGCTGAAACATTTAACTGAATAGTCTTAAGTCTATCTCTCTGCCATTTATTTGCATATATTAATATTTAGTATTTGACCGTATCCTTCAAGGATCCAGGGCCTACTTGGTTGCAGTGCTGTTTAGCTGCTTTCAAGATGCATGTGCTTCTTCCCCAGTGCTTTCTTTGTGCCCTCTATGTGGGGCTGCCTTTGACATGCGTTCGGAAGATGCCATTGGTCTGAAATGCAGCTACCAGACTTGCAGCTGGGACTTACTACACATTCTGATATTCTTCCATCTTGGCATTGGTTACCGATTCATTTCGGGGCACAATTCAAAGTGTTGGTTTTGAGCTTTTAACGGCCTAAAGGAGACCATGCTATCGGGATGACCAAAGCTCTAAATCAGGGGTCACCAACGTAAGGCCCATGAGCCGGAAGTGGCCTGTGGAGGTCGTTTGACCAGCCCACAAGCCTCCCCCAAACTGAGCCATGCGCTGCACTAAACTGGCGCAGCGCAGCACAGGGACTCGCTTCCGCGGTGCTGGAAATCGCGTCTGTGCAACGCAGACACCGGAAATTGCGGGTGTGGGTGCAATCCAGTCCACGGAGGGATCTCAGCGGGACCAATCCAGGCCAGGCAAGATAAACCCTGCTGACCCCTGCTCTAAATCATGATGGTGATTAAGGCTGTAAATGGGGATGTCTAAATAACTGCCTCATCCTACCTGCAATTACCTGTGGGCTCAGGTCAACACCGGAGCCACGATCTCCTGCCCTCAGTGGGCGCATCGTAGCACCATGAACATGGGATTCCTTCCCAATGGAAGTGTCTCTCACTGAACAGGGAGCCATTTTCAGTGCGCAAGGAACCACAAAGGCATGGGGGGGTAGTTATGAAGGTTTTTGTGGCCACTCGATTTTATGCCATTGTTTGAAACAGCAATTCCTAAAATGGCGGGGTTTTGTTTTAGATACTGATATTTCACGCCGGTACCCATCTCTTGATGAAAGTGCCATGGGTTCTAGTACAAAATGGCTGTCATGGGCAACAGAGAAAGAGGTGACAGTACCCCGTACCGTCACAAAAATATCTCCAAATTTTGCATTTGTGAAAGGGAACCAAGGGAACCTTAGCATCCACCACAACACTGACTTTGGTGGGTCCTTAAAACCCACTCCCATCCCTGAGGGAAGGTATAGTGTGCCCCCTAAAATTGCCTAAGGACTTATGTGACTAATCATTCCCTTGAATAATGATCTCAAGCGCTGAGTGAGAAGCAAAAAAGGAGGTATCAGCAGGGCCCCCCAAAGCTTGCAGACGTCTTCGAAAAAATATTTACGGGGAAGGGGGGAGCCTAAGTGAGAGAGAGAAAGCAAAATCTCCAAACAACCCAAGGAGGACTGTGCATGCTGTGTGTGTGTGTGGCATTGGGGGAGGGACACGAGGAAACTCAGGGCAGGAAGAATGGAATGGAGTATCCTGGAAGAGAACATGGTTGGCTCAATGGAACCCCGAACAGGAGCATTTTGCAGTGCAACGCTCCTCCACACTACTACAGTACACAGTTGTTTCTTTCATCTGTTGAGGCCCTCCTGCCTCCCCAATGTCTGGAGGGCACCACACTGGCTACTCCTGGGCCACAGGTTTCATGCCTGGATCTACCCCTGGTGCGGGGGCAGGGGGAAAGGGAAAAGTCCCTGCATGTGGAGATATAGCCTGCCAGCGAGAAGGCTAGACTGAGCCTTTCTCCTTTCAGTACTAATTTTCTGCATGCGGGGAGAATTTCAAGGCGAGGGAATGTTCCAACACGCAGCGTCCTGCCACGTGAACTGGCAAAGCCTGGAGAAAGCATCCCTGTTTCATATCACTGCCACGTAGGAACTGGGCCTTCGTAAGAAAGGCTCATATAACTGGCCACAGGGAAATTTAATACAGTACATTAATTGTTTTAAAATTAAAAAGGATTCACAGGTTCTTAGCAAGGGAAGATGAGCTCCTTTCCTTGAATACCCCCCACCCAAAAAACAACAACGATGCGTTCCCTTGCCATTCCTTTTTCTTTTTCCTCTCTTCCTTATAAAAGCATTTTAATTTGAATTATCGTTTTCTCATTTCTCTCTGCAGACCAGGTTGAGGGAGACCTGTGTCTGTTTTTGCAAGCACTCGAGGCTTGTCTGGGAGCAGTGGGGTGAAGAGTGAAAGAAGTACAATTATATTTATAATGTCATGATGGTGCCTTGTTTTTGTAACTTCCTTCACCATAACACAACCTAAGTTTCTGTGTGTGTGTGTGTGTGTGTGTGGAGGGAGGAAGGGAGAGAGAGAGAGGAAGAAGGAGAGAGAGGGAGAGTTTAAGGAGACAGGCAAAAAAGGAAAGCACATATAGACCCAGCATTTTTGCTTCCTAGCTGAAGAGACAGGCTTGGGTGGAAAGACCGCAGTGTGTGCCCCGAAGGCATAGAAACCATAAAAAGAAATAAAAGCAGCCTTTGCGCTGGCTTTTCTAGTCTCCTCTGCTGGAACAAGACGAACAGAGTGCAGTGTGTCTCTCCTTTCCCTTAAGAATAGGAAGCTCCCAATTTCGCTGACAGGCTGGACAGATGCCACCTTATAAAGGTAGACATGAGGACAGGGCAGGATTGGATAGGATAGATAAAAAATGATTGGGCTTCGTTGAAGGAGAGGCAGAGGAGAAGAGGAAGGAAGGTGGAAGGAAGCAGCAGGATGGGCAAGATTATACGCAGGGAGGAGGTGGGGGCGTCTTCCCTGCTAGATTCCTCTGCTGAGGGAAATGCTGGGATTATGCAACCTGCATTAATTATGCAAATGTGCTCATTTTGCATAATTTATCTTCCTTCTCCTCCTCCTCAATGGCCTCAGTTATGCAAGGGCATGGAAACCCCTCTCCTCAACCTGAGCCTCCTCAAGTTGGCTGCCCTTGCTGACTTCCCCTGTTGATTTTTCTGGAGTGGCATGGAAGATTTTACTTCTAAACCCCTGAGCCTCTTGCTGATCAGAAGGTCGGCGGTTCGAATTCCCGTGATGGGGTGAGCTCCATTGTTCTGTCCCAGCTCCTGCCAACCTAGCAATTCGAAAGCATGCCAACGCAAGTAGATAAATAGGTACCACTGCGGCAGGAAGGTAAATGGCATTTCCATGTGCTCTGGCTTCTGTCACAGTGTCCCATTGCACCAGAAGCGGTTTAGTCATGCTGGCTACATGACCCAGAAAGCCGTCTGCAGACAAACGCAGGCTCCCTCAGCCTGAAAGCGAGATGAGCGCCACAACCCCATAGTCGCCTTTGACAGGAACTTAACCATCCAGGGGTCCTTTACCTTTACCTTACTTCTCAGACAGTTCCATCACACAGAAGGTACCCGTGGTGCGGCTCCTTCCCACAGTGGCATTGCCTCAGCTCCCAGAAAGAGGGGCAGTGGCTTGGGGAGAGGCCAGTTTTATGAACTGCTCATATGTAACCTGGTTGTTTCAACACAATTGAGGCTGGAGGTTTCCTACATCACAGAGGTAGCACAGGAACACCACACATACAGCCATAGCTTCAGCACCACTGAGGAAATGCCCTCAGACATCACCCAGCATTGCCCCCGAACTTCCAGATCTGTTTCTGCAACCTTACGAACCATGAAACTGCTTGTTTGAAACATGGACGCTTGGATTCAAGGATGCTGAATATCAAATTCAGGCTTTGATGTGTAGTAGGTCTTCAAGTGAGCTGGAAAGCTCAAGTCACTCGAGCAAGAGACTCTTCATCTCACGGTTGTGAGTTTGAGCCTCACATTGGGCAAAAGATTCCTGCATTGCAGGGGTTTGGTCCTCATGGTCCCTTCCAACTCTACACTTCTGTGATTCTGTAAAAGATGGAGCAACTTCTTGGAAGGTTCTCCAGTATAATTCAAAATCTCACAGGGCACTGCTTCTGGAGAGATCTTCCAAACAAGGCAGAGCACTGAAACTGCAGCGGGAGAGATCTGGGATCAGCCTTGGTCTTTGTTGGGTGATCATAGGGCTCAACCAGACTTCCAACGCTTTCCCCCAGGAAAACACAATCTTTACTGCTGAATCAGAGCAAATGTCCATTGGGTTTTCTGTGGATTGATGTTTGCTCTGATCCAGCACTAAAGAATGGGATTTTCCCAGGGAAAGCAGTAGGGCAATTGGAAAAATGCTCGGACTGGAGCCTAGAAAGCATGGCACAAGCAGAAATGTGGAAGTGCCCCAGGCCTGGCACTGTCTCTCAGCTGGTCCCCTACCTCACAGGATTGCAAAGATAAAACAGGGATGAGGGGGCACACCCTGAACTTTTTGGGAGGGCGGCATATCAATGAAATAAATAAAAACTACGACTAAGTAGTAGCTCGGAGCTACAATATGAGTCATTCCGTTTGCTTAAGGCAAATAGCGCCTCTGAGATCTGGCAGTATTTCCTTCCACCAGCCAAGTATTTCAGTGCTCAGTCTGGAAAGCTGTCCTTCCCCCAACCCCCCCCCCCAGCCCCAACACACACACACACACACCAGACACCACAACTGTAGACCTCTAAAGCTAGCAGAGGCTAGGCAGTCATCACAACACATTCTGGTTGCATAATTTGCCACGCTGAATCTTTTCGATGTTTGGTGGGGAATAGCTGACAAAGAATGGGAGGGCAGAGGGATTGGACAAGTTTGTAAGCAATGCTCTTGAGGGCTAGAAACTTGACTGGAATGCATTTTTTTTAATGTGCTAAATTGCACATAAACTACAGAATTAGTACATATAAGCAGAAGTTCCAAAGAGGAAGCCATGTTAGTCTCTTGCAGCAAAAACGGCATAATTTAGTGGCACCTTAAGCCTAAGAAAATGACTATGGCATGATATATTTGTTAAGTCTTTAAGGTGCTTTGAGGTTCTTTCTTGTTTCTCTACACACAGGAAAGCTGCAGGCACTTAGCATGGCTTCAGACACTACACAAAAGTCTAGAAAGATGGTGCCTAGTTATCTGTGCAGCTAGGTTTAGGCTACGGCCACTTTCTTAAACACAGTGGGACTTACATCAGTGTAGACATGCCTAGGATCCCACTGCTAACTGCTTCAAGGTAACGACCCAGAGAGCTTTGATTAAAATTCTGCCCCTCCTGGAAGTGCTTGCAGATATGAGTGAAGTAGGCCCAGGAGGCTTGGAAATTAAAGCAAACTAGACAGAATGAACTCATGACCACTTTAACGTCTCGTGTTGTTTAAGTGAGTCTTGTGACAATTCGAGCCAGCTGCCTGATCTAAGACCTCAGAGGAAAGGCAGAAGGAAGGCAAATATGGGGATGGAAATATCGAAAGTATGGAATGCACAACATGGTTATATAAATAGCACACACTACCACCCTTAAAAACAATAACAACAGCACCCTCCTTTCCTAGTCTTCTCTAGATCACAAGCAGGGTTGCGTGTCTATGTCTATACCTGCCACTGCATTGCTCTAATATGTCATTGGGTGCTTGGTACAGCATTGGGGGGGGGGGGGGATAGCTTCCATTAGAAAGGAAATATTGGTTCTAGTCCTTAAGTGGCATCAGGCTTCAGACTGTAAGGGTGATAGTCCAGAGACTACGTAGATGTTTCATAACCAGTGAAGGAACACAAATGCATGTGGAACATGAAAACAGAATCCCATTGTCATCATTCTGACATAGTGCAAAATCCATCTTTTCTCGAGGTCCAGTATGGCTGGGGTATGACAGCTCAGGGTCCTTTCTCTAGGAGAGATGACCACGAGGCCAAATCTGCCCCTCCCCCCTCCAAAAAACCCCCACAAGTTAATTTGGTTCCTTGGAAGCTTAACCAAATTTTGATCAGGGCTTGGCAAAACACTGCCCAACACTTCAAGCAGACGTGGACTGAAGGCAGTTGGGTCCTGCAGCTTTGGTGAAGCTAAGCAGATGGGGGCAAGTCAGTGCCAGAATGGGAACCCCATAGAGGTTGGCCATACAAATAAGGCAAATAAGCTTCCAGAATATCTCAAGGACCACCTAATCCCTTATATCCCCGATCATTGAGCCATGCATTTCGTATTGTGGGTCCATTTTTACGGAATTCTCTTCCAGTTGAGGTCAGACCGGGCCCCTCACTACTGAACTTCCAGTGCCTACTGATACCCCCAGCAGGCATTTTTATTAAAAGTTTGATTTTATAGTTTTAACTGATTTTTATTCTTTGTATTGTATCTTTGTAAACCGCTTAGAGACTGTGGTAGTTAAGCAGTACAGTGGTACCTCTGGTTATGAACTTAATTCGTTCCGGAGGTCCGTTCTTAACCAGCAACCGTTCTTAACCTGAGGTACCACTTTAGCTAATGAGGCCTCCCGCTGCCGCCGGCGCGTGATTTCTGTTCTCATCCTGAGGTAAAGTTCTTAGCCCGAGGTACTACTTCCGGGTTAGTGGAGTCTGTAACCCGAAGTGTTTGTAACCTGAGGTTTTTGTAACCCAAGGTACCACTGTATATAAATCGATTAAATAAGGAAATTGATACAAAACAAATAAAACTTCCTAGCTGGCAAAATTATTTCACTAGCCTGTTGAGGGCTGGGGCAGAAAAGGGATGGAGGGAGCTAAGTCTATGCTGCGCCTGGAGGGTGGGGCTTCCCTTCTCTAGAAGCCCAGTTGGTTTCTAGATGGGGTCCAGAGGACGGATGTGTGTTCCATCCTTTTCTGACAGTCCACTCTCCAATTCCTGGACTCCTTCGGGTATTATGTGAGTATTTAAATGCAAGGCTGCTGTACATTGCTGAAAGTTCCATCACGGACAAAAGATGGGATATAAATGTAACAAACTGGTGGAAAACAATTGTCAAAGTTGGTTCTGTGAACCTGCCTTGAAACTAGTCAACCATTTAGCGCAGTCCTGACTAAATGTGAAAGTCTCTATCAATTTCGATTCTGTTTCTCACATTTCCAACCTTAAACTTTTCTGAAGGAATTTGATTTTTTTTAAAAAAGAAAAAGCCTCATGAAAATTCCTCATCATTTCAGAATCTTTCCTAGCACACTCATTTTTATATGTAGTACACAGACTCTTGATCATCTTGGTCGCCCTCCTCTTCACACAGTGCAGCTTGTCAATATCCTTACTAAATTGTGAGGCCCAGAACTGGACACGGTACTCCAGCTGTGATCTGACCAAGGCAGAACTGTTAGTGAGCACTCTTTGGGTTCAGTCAGTCAACCAGCTGCAAATCCACCTAGCTTTTATCTCATCCAGTCCACATTTTACCAACTTCTCTGAAAGAATATCAAGGGGGGAATTTGTCAAAAATCTTATTGAAATCAAGATACACTACATCCACAGCATTCCCCTGATCCACCAAGCTTGATACTCTATCAAAAAAAGAAATGAGATCCAACTGGCATGACTTGTTTTTTGAGAAACTCATGCTGGATCTTTGTAATCACAGCAACCTTGTCTAAGTGCTCGCAGACCAACTGTTTAGTTATCTGTTACAGGAATTTTCCTGGTATTGATGTCAAGTTCACCAATTGGAAGTTTCCTGGGTCTTCTTTTTGCCCCTTTTTGAACATGGGGACAACATTTGAAGAAGAAGAAGAGTTTGGATTTGATATCCTGCTTTATCATTACCCGAAGGAGTCTCAAAGCGGCTAACATTCTCCTTTCCCTTCCTCCCCCACAACAAACACTCTTTGAGGTCAGTGGGGCTGAGAGACTTCAGAGAAGTGTGACTGGCCCAAGGTCACCCAGCAGCTGCATGTGGAGGAGCGGAGACGCGAACCCGGTTCACCAGATTACGAGTCTACCGCTCTTAACCACTACACCACACTGGCTCCAGTCCACAGGACTCTGAGATTACATCCACAAGCTTGTTTAGTACCCTTGGGTGCAGATCATCAGGCCCTGGAAATTTGAATTCATTTAAAGTAGGTGTTCCCCTACCACTTCTTTTCCTATCTTGGACTGCATCTTCCTCCTTGCATTGTTTATTCTGTTACTGTATTACCAGGTGGGGTAAACAGAGAAAGAGAGAATAGCTGCTTTACGGCAGCTCCGGTTCCAAGAAATACAAATATCCCACACTTATAACATTTAATCTCGTTTGCATGTAGGGTGATTGCATGTGTGTATAAGTGGCTGGTTTTCAGGTTAAAATCCCCCCTGCCACACTCTGAAGCGCACACACACACACACACACACACACACACACTATAGGACTCTGGCTAATAACGCAACACCTGGCAGCATTTTTTGTATGAACTGGACAAATGCTCAGTAGTAACAACAGTTGAATGAATCAACAGGCAGGATAACACAGCAGTCACCAACTTTTTCTGAACTGGGGGCATCACATTTAAGCCAAAGTAACAACAACACAAGACACACTTTTGTTTTATGCATTTTTTTATCCTCCCACCAGCCTCTCCCATGGGTGCTTCTTGTCACTGGCTTTTCTTTCTCTATCCCCTCTTCTTGTTTTATTTCTCTGTTGCTCCCCACAACTTTATCCTTTCATCTTTTTCTTCTTCAAAATCTTTATTAGAGAGAAAGAGAGAATAGGATGATGGTGATGCCCCAATTGTGACCCACCTGAGGTCACGGCCCACCGTTTGACGACTAATGAGAGAGCACCAACAGCTGTAAGTCTACCTTTTCTCTATGGATACACAGCAAAGGCCCAGTGTGTTGGATCAGGTTTGTCGCCATACTGGTGGTCACTTGTGCGAAGGTGACTTTAGGTGACTAGGAAGTCACCAGCTAAGATGGCTTTAAGAGGGGATGAGACAACTTCATAGGGGATGAAGACTATCAATGGCTACTAGTCATGATAGCTACACCTACTTCGAGTTTCAGAGGTGGCGTTCAACTGAATGTAACTAGTAGGAGCAAAAACACAAGTGGACTATTGACCTCAGGTCCTCTTTGGGAGCTTCCAGAGATACCTGCTGGCTGGCCACCATGGGACTTGATGGACTGGTCCAGTGGGTCTTTTTGTCATTTGTTGGGCTAGTAACCTTTGTGTACGAAACTACAGAGGTGTGATGGATGGATTTAATTGTAGATGGATCTCAGTGAGGGTTTAACCCTAGATCCTGCCTTGTCTCAGGCCTAGAACATGGGAAGAGTTAACAAAGAAGTAGATGCTTTCTCCCCCTGCTACAACTAGCTCTCTGCAAGTCTGGGGTTAGCGATAAAGGCTTCAAAGTTGCAGCTTTCTTCCCCAAAGTGGGTCCTTCCAACCTAAGTCACCTCTCTCTGACATAACAGGTCTTACTGGAATAACCTAAGACATTCTGCAACAGTCAAGCAGAGGGGTTCTTGAGATATTGCCATTCCTTGTAAAGTTTACAGAAAGCAGGGGGCGTCAAATGATGTGTGAGGAGTTCAGTTCTGCTTAGGCGCTATCTGCCCCCACAAGTCAAATCCGACAGGCAGGTGGGAAGGCCCACTTGTCAATCACTTGACATCAGGTGACAGACAGGTGGGTAGCGTCAAAATTGGGTGGAGGAGGAAGATGAAGAACTGGCCCACTGGGCCAAAAATGTCCCCCACCCCAGTTGTAAACTCTTCCTCTCCTCACTCCCTGTAACAAGATTCTCAGCCCAGCAACCCTTCTTAGCACCAAGTTCTCCTCACCTTCTCCCCATAGCAAGAAAAATCAAGCATTGCTCAAACCTACACATCTCTCAAGCCTTCTTTCCTCCTAGCTGGAAAGTGGAACAGCTAATCTGGTGCATGTCCTTCCTTAAGGCACGTCTCTACAGCAAATTTACATGGTTTTTAAATCAGCAGGAGCGCTGTGGGTTCTCCTTCCTTGTGCCCACAAAACAGCTCTGGAAACTCTACTTTTTGTAAAGTGCTGAGAACACGCCATTGTCCACCTCTTACCACACTGCATCTCCCAACATTATGCCGATCTGCTTTCAGTTTATATGGCAGTTGCGCCGTTAAGAAGTGTGATCCTAAGAATATTTACTAAAAAGCAGATTCTGCTGGGCTCAATGTTTTAGGATTGCACTTTTGAGCTCGCTCTGAATGGTGCCTTTGAGGATGTGAGGGTTTCACGAAAACGTCTCTTCTGCCCTTGAGTTGAGGGTGAAAGAGACAGACAGAGGGAAGCGAGAGCAATCATATCTCCCCACCTTAACTCTACAACATGCAACTTAGTATAGCAAACTGAGCAGTATATTTCACATCCCACAAAGACTCTGCTGCATTTGGCCTTGAGGAGCCTTTCTCAGTTCAAGATTTCCAAACCTCAATAAAGTAGAAACTGTGAAGTGTAGTAGGGGGGTGGGGAAAACACCTCTGGGCTTGGACTGGTGGGACCGAGTTCAAATCCTCCCCTTGGATTATTATTTTTAAAAGCACCAGTCAAGAAGAATTAAGGAATTATAGCGCATTGTGCTGTGATCTCAACAATCGTTACAACAACCCTGTAAGGAAAGCCTTATTATCTTCATATAGTATAAGGGTGGCTGGAGGGTGAGTGGCTTGAATAAGGCTGTCAAGTAAACTCATGACAGAGGTGAGCTCTCATTTTAGATGCTGAAGAACAAATGAATACACACACAGAGAGAGATGCTTATGTCCTACCCTGTACACACTATTCAGCTGTTAAGCCAAATGCACAAAACAAACCTCAAGCAATTACAGGGAGGATTTCCGTTTCCCCAGTACCTTTATATGGGAGCAAATAGTTATGTACTAACTCATTGCTGTGGCTTACATCTTACCTCTGGTTCATCCAAGCTACTAGTCCTCATTTTAAAAGCTCAGCCAGACCACCCTAGAGATTAGAAATCTGCTGTATGAAGCGGCAGGCCAGGATTCCAATATGGGAGGTGGCAATGGTGAGCTTTTTTCACCAGCTTCAGCTGGCAAGCTAGCCATGGCCATTCCCTTCTAAGTCAGACCTTGCCACAGCCATTCATGCCCAAGGAACGAGACCACTGTAATAATACGTTATATGTGGGACTGCCTTTAGAAAAATATTTGAAAACTTCAGCTGGTGCAAAAAAAAATGCCTCTGCCAGCTTATTGAACAGAGCTGGCCAATTGCAGCCTGTGATATTAATCTAATATTATCCACCTGCCTGTTTGTTTCCAGGCTCAATTGTAGGTACAGTACAGGTACTGGCTTTGATTTTTAAAGCCCCAAACAGCTTGGGACCTGGGCTGCTTAAAGGACCACTTTTGTCGGCACACATACATTCCGTTCAGCATCCGAGGCCTTGCTCTGGTGCTGCTTTCAGAGGAAGTTTCACAGGCACCAAGCAGGGACTGTGCCTTTTGGTAGTGGTGCCACATTTATAGAACACCCCACTACCACCCCAGGCAATATCCCAGGCTGCATCCTTTTAGACAGCAGGTTAAAAAAAAACTGCCTTTAAAAAAGAATGTCATCTGGCTAGCCTATCCCCACCATGCGGCTATAGACTAATAATCATTAATGCTACTGTGATTGGTTTCTTCCCCCCCCCCCCGCTTTCTTTGTCGAGTCGGGACTTCGCTCTTTTATTGCCGCTTGTTTACTATTTATTTATTAATTTGCACAGTCAGTTGCTTTTGTGTTTTTAATTGCAGGATGCTTTTGAGTTCACAATCAGTCAAGAAAAGCGGGGTATAAATTGATTTTAAGTAAAAGAGGCAGAAAGAAGTGTATTCCACCGCTGACTCCTTATGCTCCCCTTCACATTTGTCTCAGTTCTGAACATCTTCACCCGCAGTCTTTTGCCCCCTCCCTCCGTGCCTTTCTCCCAAATCTTCTGCTATCCTCCAGAATAGCCCCCCTTGGCTCTCCTCCTCTTCAAGTCCTTCAACAGAATCTCAGCTTACCTGTGTCTCCACCTGCCGCCTGAGTTCTCTCAGCCTCCTCAAGCCTCATATTTCAGCCCCTCCAGGCCTGTCCTGCCCGTTTAATGCACACACAGCCAGCCCCTCTGGATATGCTCCCTGAACACAGCGGGCAATTAATAAACTGTTCGGACGGAGGGAGCTGTGTCTGTGGAGTCTGTTTTATGGGCCTCTAGGGAATCAAATGCAGAATTGGGAGGGATGTCCATCTTTCCTCTCTGGCCCCAGCCACTATCAGCTCCCATTCATTACAATCCAACCCATTTTAAGTGCAACGAGCCTGTCTCACACAACTCCTTCTTCAGAGACACTCCAGAGTCTGAACCTGAGCATCTTTTAAGGAGTATTTAAGACCTTTCCTCCTCCTCCTCTTCCTTAAAAAACAAAACCCAAACAAACAAGCATACAAACCAAAAGCAAATCTCAGTTTGGCTTTTAATTGGCTGGGGTCCGCTGTGTGCGGTGTAAAGGAGGGAGGGAGGGAAGTTCAGCAGCGGGTTAGACTTCCCCATTTGATTTGTTTCACTGTGATGTTTCTCCCCTGCTGGAGACTGGATGGGTTTAAACAGCGAGGAGATAAACAAATAGGCTTGAGACAACGGGGCCACAGTCCCTCGCCTGTGCGCCTCCGGTGCATATCATCATTGCAAAGCAATCTTGCCCTTCTCTATGTCTGTGTGGGCTTATTAACCCGGCTCTAGACTGCAGGATTTTGCAAAGCTTGCAACAACACCCCCCTCCCACCCCAACACACACACCGCCTCAGGGCTGCGGGTTCCTCGCCCCCATCAAGATCGACTGCCGCCGCCACCACCACACTTGGTGGCGATGCCAGCACCACCATCCTGCTCCTTCCTGCCAACACACCTGCTTTTATAATCTCCCCCACATCTCTCTTTATTGTGTGCCTATCTTCTCTTCTGCTGCATTCAGCAAGTAACACTATCAACACTGGGGTGGGGTGAGGGGGGGGGAGAGAGAGAGCAGCAAGAGAGAGAGAGACGCTCAGAGAGACACAGACACATACATACAAGCCTTTGGCTCCTGCAGCAAAACCGTCTCCTCCATCATAACCCCCCCCCCAAACGCACAATGCGCCAACGATAAAGCAAATGCCATTTTCTCCCTTGCCTGGGCAGGAGGATAGGAAGCGATGCTGGAACCCAGTCTCTCTCCCCCCACTGGCAAAGAATTTTTTTTTGCAGGGGGCATCGGGAGGGAGGGAGGGGGGAAAGAGAGAGATGGAGATGGAGATGGCATTTTTAAAGAAATCTGCCTTGAGCAGATCTGATGGGGCACATCACCAGCATCCTGTATAAGCAGCCACTAAACCTATTCCCAGATCGGGAGCCTGCACAATTTTTCAACAATTTTTCTGTCTGGTCCGTCGCCGCCCCCCCCCCCCCGGTAATCCATGCAGAATAAAGGGGAGGCAGAGGGGAGGAGCTGCTGAATAAATTTATATATATGTTAAAACACACACTCTTTCTCTCTTTCTCTCTCACACATACACATACACATACACACAGACACAGATTCCTTTATTGTCACTGCATCTGATCCCCCCCCATTGTTTAAAAGGGAATAGCTCGATTTTGTTGCTACTGCAGATGGAAGCATATGCAATGGTGATTATAACCGGTTTCTCTCTGCTCCACTCGGATAAGGAAAACAGAAACTGAGGTTGGGGGGGGGGGAGAGAAATCCTCCCAACGCTTGAAAAGGTCACTGAATTATTTCTTCGGGGTTGCAATTCAATTGTGGAATTGGGATGGAAGGAGATGGCTGAATTTCTGTTCTCTGTCGCTGGGTGATAGTGTCACATATTCCTTCCGCAAAGATGATTTGGCCAAGGAGCCCCTTCTCCTGCTTCCCACAAATGCACACAAGACATTGGGGAGAAAGGGACCCAGAGAGGATGTGCAATTCCAACCTTTGCGCACACACAAAAATAATGTTTGTTCTGTCCGAGAAGGGTGAGCGTTAAAGACCCAGAGAGATGAATATGTAACAAAAGCCCTGTCCCTATACACATAGGGACGCGCACACCGTGATATTCTGTCACACACAGAGAGATACTAAAAAGCGCACATCTCCTCATTTTCACACAAAAGACCCTGAAACTGGCCAGAAAAACAACAGCAGCACAGGGGCTAAAATTGAACAGAACAGACCGTGTAACAGCAGGAACTGTTAAAAAAGAAGAAGTAAATCTCATTTGGAGGAGAGAAGGAGATGGCGAGTTTGTTGTGATTCTTGTTTTGGTCCAAATAAAACAAAACGAATCTTGTTTTATTTTTGCCAGATCGCGGACAATCCCAACTTAAAAAAGAACTACGAGAAATTAGATGGATGTGAGAAAAGTAGATCACTCCAATTCCATCAGCCCACTTGGCATAGCGAGATCACAGAAAGCCTCTTCCTTACTTCTTGTTGCTTTACATACAGACCGAAAACATTTTGTATGAATGACTCCATCCCCTTGTGGGGTGGGGGACGGGAGGGAGGGAAAGGAGCGGCGTGGGGGGAGGGAGAGAGAGAGGAGCCAAAGATTTGCTGTGTGTCTCCAGGCTTAAATGGAAATGAGAGTCACATCCTATCTCAGCAAACCAGAAAACGGATTGGGGGGGGGGGGGAGAGAGAGAGAGAGGCAGGTTGGAGCACAGCAGTTCGTGTGTAAGGGGCGGTCTTATAAAAAGTGGAGGAGGGGGTTCTTAGGAATTATTTCGGTGATCTCCCCTTAGACCCTTCTCTTAACATATCGATGCGTGAGTGCTTTGTGCTAATCAAGGAATTGACATTAACACACCGGGCTATAAAACACGCATGCACCCCACAACACTTCTTTGCCTCCCAGTGCCTCTCCCCTTGAGACAGAATCTGTCACATCCAATTTGGCTCAACCTTCAGCCATCCCCCACCCTCCCCCCACCCAAAAAAATTGCAAAGAGGTGAAAGGAGAAAAACCATCCATCACAGTCCTTCTCCCAACAAGCTGGTGGAAGCGGGAGGAGGGAGAAAGTTCCTTCTTCTCCTCCTCCTCTCCCCCCCCCCCGCCCAGCCACCCCCTCTATTCTCACACTTCCTGAAATATTTGACGCCTTAAGGGCTATTCCTTTCTCTCCAACCCACCCCCCTTCCTCTTTGGGGAGGGGAGGAATCGGATGACCTATAAAAATTGACTGTGTCTTCCCACACACAAATTTCTGTAGACATACACTGGCTTTTAAGAGACTTAAAATGAGATATTTAAACACTCTCTCCCCTTACTCTGAAAGAAAATCGCCTTAATATACGCACGGACATGTACATTAGCAGAATGCATTCCCCAATTCCTCCCCATACTTCTGGGGGAATGGAACAACCTCACAAAACCTTCTCCCCGCTCCCCCACATTCAGATACATGGCTGTGTAATTCTTCGCTGGAGAGATTTCAACCCTCCTGAAATGCAACCAGGCAGCCTTTTCCCTTGTCTTGCAGAGAGACGAGCCCCTCTTCTCCCCATGCCAAGTCCAACCCTCCCCCATCTTGGAAACCTGAGACATCCTTCTCGACAGATCCCGCAGTGGATCGCTCCCCCCCTCGATAATCTGGCCGCCACCTTCTCTCCCCCCCCCCCCCGCGCGCTCAAAAAACACACACACCACAATTTAGATACAGAGTGTTCCTCCTACCATTATATCCTTGCCTATTAGTGACTGCTGAATAAAATAATTCTTTATGTGCCATTTGGAGAGTTGGAGGAAGGAAATATAAGAAATACATCGGAAGGCTATTGCTAATCTCCCCACTTGCCTCTCTACAGGGTTGGGGGCTGGGTGGCGGGGAGACAGAGACAAGGCCCCCAGGCATTAAATCAAGGTTGTGGGGGGTGGGGGAAGGGAAGAAAGAAAATTGCATCTTACACTTCTCAACTCCTGGGTGCGATCCTTCATTGCGCTTGCTTCCTGGCGAGGCTGTGGGTCCTCAGTGGGTCTTCTCCCCCACCCTCCGTGTGGCTCAACAGACAGACACGGTGGCTGGCGAAGACCCCTCTTCTTTGGGGTGGTGGAGGAGGAGGAGGAGGAGGAGGGCGGGAAGGAAGGTTACTGGTAATTGCAGTAATGGATAAACTGAGCCTTCCCTGCCCCACCAAGCTGGGAGGAGGAAGATGCTCTAAGGATGGAGAGAGGTTGGTGCTGATGCAGCAGAGCAGGGTGGGAAGATGCAGGAGAGGGAGAGAGAGAGGGAGAGAGAGATGCGGGGAGGGGAGGGGGAGCAGAGCAGGGAAGCTGAGCATGCTCGCTGCACCCCCTCCCACCCGAGGGGCCATGGGAGTTGTAGTCTGCCAGAGAGAGGGGGCATCCTAGGCGAGGGCTGCTTTCTAAGGCGGTAGGCACCGCATCACCTATAAGATCGCGCGGCCTGGGCTCTACATTAATTCTTCTGCAATAGCTGCTGCCTCCTGGGGAATTCACTTGAGATTGCTAAGCACAGATTTATTTCCTGAGGCAGAGCGGCAAGCGGGGGGGGGGAGACTGGGGAGACGACAAGGGGTGGTCTGGGAGCAGCTGAGGTTGCTGCAGTACTACCGAAGATAAGCAGGCATGAAACCAGACGGAAACTGGGATGGGAGATCACGGGAGCCACATAGAGAAGTGGGATGTAAGTAATATGAACACACAGAGAGATGACTTCCCCTTTAATAACTTCCAGAGGGATGATACCTGTGTTCTTCTGCAGCTGGTGAAGTGGAGTCTATGAAAGTGCATGCCATAACACATTTCTTAGTCTCCGAGGGGCTATTGGACTCTTTGTGGTTTCCTCCCCTTTAACATCACATTCTGCTGCTCATAACCAAGTCCTACCATTGGGCAGTGTGAGGTGGGTGGCTCAGGCAGCAAGTTGTCCGAAAAGGAAGTTATGGCTGTTATTTTATTTTTACCGCTAGATGGGAAGGGAGAAAGGTGCTTGTGGGATTTTGTGTCTCGGATGCCAAAAAAAGGGTAAAGGACCCCTGGATAGTTAAGTCCAGTCAAAGGCGACTGTGGGGTTGCGGCGCTCATCTCGCTTTCAGGCCGAGGAAGCCAGGCCGAGGAGCTCACTCCATCACAGGGATTTGAACCGCCAACCTTCTGATCAGCAAGCCCAAGATGCTCCGTGGTTTAGACCACAGCACCACCCACCCAAATTGTAATAATCGGTCTTGGATGCGATGCCAGCTCTGCTCACAAGCAGGGTGGACAGAGAGTGAGTGATAAGGAATGGTCAGTTCTTTCAACATGGATTTATGGGAGGGATTCCAAACCATTTCTGATGGCAGTGTTGGCCACCAACTTGGATGGATTTAAAAGAGGATCTGTCCAATTCAAGAAGGACAAATGCTATCAGTGGCTGCTAGCCCTGATGGCTCCAGCTCTGCCTCCATGGTCAGAGGCAGTGATGCTTCTGAATACCATTTTCTGGGAACCGCAGGAGTCTTGCTTCTCGGCTTCCCTTGGGCAACTGGTTAGCTGCCGTGAGAACAGGATGCTGGACTAGACGGGCCACTGGATGGCTCTAGAAAGGCTCTTTTTTTTGTTCTTTATGTTTTTACATGGGGAGGGGAGGCCAGTTATTCTGGGTTAGTTAATACAGAGTACAAGGCTGTGATCTGTAGGTGGCATCCTCCTCCATACTCACAACCGCTCATGCTGATTTGAACTTCCACTTCACTCACAAGTGTAGTGTAAGAAAACACAGCCCACCCTTTTGCCACCCTTTAGCCACTGAGGCTGTGGATGCAACCAAGTAGAGGCTTTAAGCTTTGCTTTTGGTGGGGCCTTGGACATCCCTCCAAAGCTTATTAGGGAATTCCTCGATCGGGAGATCAATGGCAGGCAAGCTTCCCAGAAGGACAGATTGCCCGATCCTACCAGCGTTCACCTCCAAATGAGCTTGTTCCAGGAGGAGCATCTTAGTGCATTCTTCTGGGTGCATGCTCAGTTTCCACAAGAAGCTGGCGATGGCCAACAAATCTTGTAAAAGCCACCCACGAAAGGCGGTGGATTGTTCCAGTGTGCAGTGACCCCCACAAATTCACACAGCTTCCTCAGTGGACAGGTTGATGAAGAGATGCTTCGCTGAAGCTAGAAAGTCTGGAAAACATAGCAGAATGATTAAAGGGCTGATTGAGTCACGCTGCGGTCTCTAGATTATGTGCCCAGTAATTGTTTCAGGCTCGTTATTTGTATGTCTAAAAGGGGTGTGGGTTTGTGTATGGGGCACCATATAGTGACTGACACGGATCAAAATCTCCCAACTGTGAACATGAGCCATGTGCTGAAGGGGTTGGGGAACAATCCTGTCCTTTTAAATGAACCTGATTATGAGTAGAAAGGTGTGTTTAAAGCACGCTGGTGGTTAACTAGGTCCACAGCTGCACTGTACATTTTAAAGCACTGTTGAACCACTTTAAGTGTCATGGCTTACCAGGGAGAATCCTGGGAACTGTACTTAAGGGTGCTCAGAGTAAAGTAAACTGATTGCCAAACCACTCTGGAAACAGTAGCTATTTGAGGTCAATAGGCAGTCTTCTAACATCTCTCAGGACCCTTAACAAACTACAGTTCCCAGAATTCTTTGGGTGCTTTCAGTGACCTAGATAGCCCTAAGTACAAGCCCAGTGATGGGAGAGTTTTCTAAGCATTTGTCATGGTTTCCAGTTTCAGTGTGGGAACACCTTTAAAAAAATCAGTAATGTCACCATACACACGGCAGCTCCACAGAGACAGATGCTCTGGGCCAGTTCATCCATCTGACAGACAGGGCATCTGCTGCAGGCTCCGGACGATGCCCAGCTGTCAACTGGGTGTTGGTATCAAGAGGCCCGACGCCAAGCATAGCAGCAACTTAAAAGTCTAGGGCCAGTTTTGCACCTACGGTATATTAGACTGACTGCTCCCGCCAGGCGTGACAGCCTATGGCAGCACTTTTGTCAAGAGCCAGGCATTGCGAAAGGGGCATGGTTCTGCTAATGAGCACATTTCTGTTGCTCAGGGGCAGCCGGGAGCAGAAAGCAACAATGGGTTCACTGCCATCGGAAGGAACAGGTAGTCTTCGACGGCGATCAAAATTAAGCCTGAGCCAAATGCATTTTGCTCTCACCTCCCTCTCTTGGCTCCATGTGTCAAATTTTTGATCAGCCTCCCAGATGTTTTGGAGTACAGCTGTGCTGGCTGAGGCACTCCAGAACATCTGGAAGACACCAGATGGGGGGAGACTGTTGTAGACGGTGTGTTAGAGCCCTGTCCGTCGTCGTCTTCTTCTTCTTCTTCTTCTTCTTCTTCTTCTTCTTTAAAGTGCCGTGCATAACTGACGGCATGACATTAACAATAATAAATTTTGGAAAGGGCTAGTTGGGCTGCCAGCTCCTGTCCATAACATATATAACAAGACAGAGCCTTTATTAATAATTACAACCAGGGCCTCTGTGTATTTGGCAGGGGCACAGCACTGGCTGAGCAGTGGGCACAGAAGTCTGCATTCTGAGAGTCTCGACTTCTTAAAAAGAGGGGGAGCCCAGCAAGTTTCTAGCTGTTGAGGTTGGAAAGGTTTGAAGCATGCAGGCAGTGTCTGGTGAAAAACGCAAAAAGGATGCTGGGACAGAATTTCAATAGGTTACATTCCTTTTCCTGTGCCTAACAGAAGCAAAGCATATTTTCCTAAATAAGCAAAACACAAGTCCTGTGTGGTGGGTTTAGGGTTGGGGCAGAACTCAGTTAAGCTTTGAAAGGAGTTTTTTTATTTTAGAATCATGCTTGCTGTCGCTGTTAACATTCTCATCATCGCAAAGCAGAGAATATGCCGAGCAGCCCTGGCTATAGCTGGATGGAAGACCGTGATTAAAGCTGGAGACATACACCACTAGGACTATGCGGGAAATGCCATATAAAGCTACCTATTAGTAGCTGATAAGGCTATCGATGTCCACAAGTCATTATGGCTGGGCTGGGCCTCCAGGATCGGAGGCGGTGATGCTTCTGAATATGTCACTAGAAACTGCAGGAAGGGAGGGGCTCTTGTCTTCGGGTCCTGTTTGCCAGTTTCCTGCAGGCATCTGTGTGGCCACTGTGAGAGCAGGATGCTGGGCTAGAGGGGCCACTGGTCTGATCCAGCAGAATCTTCTTATGAGATGTGGGAGGTTGACATCCAATCCCCTTTTAAAATGTGTTGAGTTAGGGTTATTGGGTTGTTTTTATTATTTTGATTATGTATTTTGTATTTTTCTATTGTGATTTTTATCTTGTGAATTGCCCTGAGACCTGAAGGTAGAGGGCGGTATACAAATTTAATTAATTAATTAATAATGTTCTACAGTGGGAGCAGGGGGACACGGGTGGCACTGTGGGTTAAACCACAGAGCCTAGGACTTGCTGATCAGAAGGTCGGTGGTTCGAATCCCCGCGACGGGGTGAGCTCCCGTTGCTCGGTCCCTGCTCCTGCCAACCTAGCAGTTCGAAAGCACGTCCAAGTGCAAGTAGATAAATAGGTACCACTCTGGCGGGAAGGTAAACGGCGTTTCTGTGTGCTGCGCTGGTTTGCCAGAAGTGGCTTAGTCATGCTGGCCACATGACCCGGAAGCTGTACGCCGGCTCCCTCGGCCAATAAAGTGAGATGAGCGCCGCAACCCCAGAGTTGGTCACAACTGGACCTAATGGTCAGGGGTCCCTTTACCTTTGCCTTTATAGTGGGAGCAGACGGTGTCTACAAGGACAGCAGTTGTCTTGGGCTGCACCAATCAGGCAGTGTGGTGCATGATTTGGACTTAAGACTGAGAAAACAGGAGTTCATATCCTTCACTCTGTCATTTAAGCTCACTGGGTGACCAGTCCACTATCTCGCAGCCTTACGTAATTTATAGCATTGCAAATGAGCAACAAAACAAAACAGAGCTCCCCTTGGAGTAAGGAAGGAATAATAATAATAATAATAATAATAATAATAATAATAATAATAAAATAAAAATCACTCAACTAGGCTACATTTGGTCTCTTCTGTCCCACCAGGGGTAAGGGGAGAGAGAGAAAGTTGGTATGGAGGCTGTGACAATAGGGTTAAGCTTGCCACCACTTTGGAGAACAGATCGGGGGGGGGCGGGTTGTCCCAATGATATTCTCAAAGTAGTAAGCGCGGACTAGGTCAGGTATACACAGAGCAGCCAAGTGAGCCAACAAAGTGGAAGAGTGAGATGGAAGAACATACTGCACCTCTTCAAGTGGCAGATGGCTGACCACATTTCCAAATGCTCCTCCTTGCATGTAGAAAGCCAACACAGAAAGGCTGAGAGCTGGGACTTGACTTTTTCCTCCACACTATGCTTGTTTTCTGTCTGCAGGGAGGATTTGTACGTGGACAAGCATGCAAAGCTAGAATCCGTTACCTAAGGAAACCCTGTAGCTGCATCGAGTCAAAGGCCCATCTTCGTTCAGGATCCTGTTCTCTCATAGCGTCCAATTGGATGCCCAGGGGAAGTCCGGAAGCAGGACCCGCGCGCAGTACTGCCCCTAGTTGTGATTCCCAGCCAATGGTGCAATTATAGAAGAGGCAAAGCTCAGTGGGAGAGCATCTGTCTCATATACACAAGGTCCCAGGCTCGATCCTGGCATTGGATGATACTTATCTCTACCTCTCTTTCAAATCAGCACCAGTGAAGGCGGTGAAGGTCCTGTGTGAGTGTCTGGAGGCGGTTGGAGGATGGATGGCGGCTAACAGATTGAGGTTGAAGCCTGACAAGACAGAAGTACTTTTTGGGGGGACAGGAGGTGGGCGGGTGCGGAGGACTCCCTGGTCCTGAATAGGGTAACTGTGCCTTTGAAGGACCAGGTGCGCAGCCTGGGAGTCATTCTGGATTCACAGCTGTCCATGGATGCACAGGTTAATTCTGTCCAGAGAAGCTGTTTACCAGCTCCATCTGGTATGCAGGCTGAGACCCTATCTGCCCGCGGACTGTCTTGCCAGAGTGGTGCATGCTCTAGTTTTCTCTCGCTTGGACTACTGCAATGCGCTCTATGTGGGCCTACCTTTGAAGGTGACCTGGAAACTACAACTAATCCAGAATGCAGCAGCTAGACTGGTGACTGGGAGCGGCCGCCGAGACCATATAACACCGGTCTTGAAAGACCTACACTGGCTCCCTGTACGTTTTCAAGCACAATTCAAAGTGTTGATGCTGACCTTTAAAGCCCTAAACGGCCTCGGTCCAGTATACCTGAAGGAGCATCTCCACCCCCATCTTTCTGCCCGGACACTGAGTTCCAGTGCCGAGGACCTTCTGGCAACTCCTCGCTGCGAGAAGCCAAGTTACAGGAAACCAGGCAGAGGGCCTTCTCGGTAGTGGCACCCACCATATGGAATGCCCTCCCGCCAGATGTCAAAGAGAAAAACTACCAGACTTTTAGAAGACATCTGAAGGCAGCCCTGTTTAGGGAAACTTTTAATGTTGTTTAATAGGTTATTGTATTTTAGTGTTCTGTTGGAAGCCGCCGATGGGCAGGGTATTATTATTATTATATCTCCATGTAAGGCTCGGGAAAATGTTTGCCAGTGTGGGCAATACAGAACTCGAAATGACCAATGGTCTGAGCCAGCAGATTCCTGTATCCCATCTCTGACTCCTTCATGGAGCTATAATCACTGGCTTATACATATGGAAGTATATACAGAACCCAGCATATTCCATAATGCCCCTGGAATATGCATTTGGGCATATGCAAAGCCTGGGGGGGCGGCGTGTATGTGTGACAGAATTCGGAAGCGCTTTCAGGTCCACCCAAGCACGTTTTGCCAGCATACCAGGGGATTTGTGCTGCTGGTTATGCGCTGCCTGCGAGCGTACTCGGTACGATGATGTTCCCTGGTCAATGCGCTCGCCTGCCTTGGATGTGTCCCCGCTGCATGACAGAATGCAGCACTGCCCCCTGCTGGGCACAACAACAACAAAAACGCAACCGAAGCGAACGAGCTTGTTACAACATGAGATCGTGCAGCTGTGAAATTGGGGGTGGGGGAGGAGGCCGCTGGTTGCATAGTCGTGCGCACAGGCGTGTGAACGGGAGCGCGACATAACAAAGGGGTCGTGTGTAAAAACAAGGCGGCAAATTGGGAAAGGGGGAGGCTGGAGAAAGACTTAACTGGGCAGCTTTCTCCGCGGGATCAGCTCCAGAATCTATTTTCAGCAGGTGGAAGGGAGGGCAATAGCAGCACTTGATTGAGAAGCAGATCCTCAGGAGAGGGGGAAGTGATGGATTGGACTTACAAGATTCTGCAAAAACACCTTCCAGACCCTACTTGATGTGTGGAATCACCAGCATTACAATTTTTACAGGGTAGCTGGATTTATTTTTTGCACGTTCCTTAAAGAAGTGGCAAGGATAATGCCAAAGGCGAATGCAAAAGAACCCCATAATTTATATGTAGAGGAATAACAACTTCTATGTTCTAAGTTGTACTTGGGTCTTATATACTGTACAATAGATAGGTTGACAAAGACAGGTTGTTTTTTAAAAAAAAGATCTTCAAAAGATAATTAATGTCATCAGTTTCAATGGCCCAGTTCAAACATAATCGTAAATCATGGTTTCCCATTACCTGAACAAGCCATGGTGAATCCTGGGTTCACACATTCACATCTCCTCTCACCTCCTTCTCCATGCCTGAAATTAAGAGATTAATTTCTGCTTACAGTTTTCAACAGATCACAGTTCCTGTTCAGAGCAGAAGTGTGGTCTGCTTAAACTCTAATTACTAAGAACAAACTAGGATCAGACAGGGAGGAATTGGTCCTTTAGGAATCTACCACGAGACAGGCAGAGCCTGGAAGAGACAGAGGCTTCAAAAGGCTCAGTCTGCTCTCAAACTTCGGCTGTGGATACACCATACATTTCCAGCACATTTACACATGCACGCACCAAATCCTGGGAACTGTAGTTTGATAAGGGTCCTTGGAATTTCAGCTCTGTAAGGGGTAAACTACAGTTCCCATGATTCTTTGGGGCAGGGAAATGTGCTTTAAATGTATGGCTTGCATGCAGCCATTGTCAAAGCTCATCGCTTCCTTGGAGCTATCCGTGGTCCTGCAAAACTCCTGACCGACCTTGGCCCATGGGAGCTGGCATCAGACCACCATGTAATACGAACTGATTATATGCAGAGAGTTTTTCCCACATCTTCTTTTTCAGCTGCCACATCCATTTCAGCTCCCTCCATTCCCCCACCACCACTCCCACCTTCCAGGTTCCAGGTTCCATCCTGGATAGCTCAGTTGGTTAGGGTGTGGCGCTGATAATGCTAAGGTCGCAGGTTCAATCCCTTTATGGGCCAACTGCATATTCCCATCATCCCTGACCACTGGTCCTGCTAGCTAGGGATGATGGGAGTTGTAGTCCAAAAAACAGCTGGAGACCCAGGTTTGGAAAACCCTGGACTAGATGATCCTCAGGGTCCCTTCCAACTCTAAAATTCTATGATTTCTATTATTTTTGTCCCTCTGGGCACCACCCAATTGCTTGAAATTAGGCGAATGGCTGCAGGAGGTCCTTCAGTCATAGGTTGCCGATAGCTACGTACTTGGGATCAGGAACTGTTCTCCACTGAGCTAGGCCTCTTCCCTGCCCTGCTGCACCCCTACCCACCCATAGCTGTGTGGAGGGAGCAGCCAACAGGAATCAAGGACCACACCAATAGCTTGCTTATGCCTTGCCCATTTCAGCAAAATGACCCACAATCCTTTTATTCCAGTCCTACAGCCTGCCTTCCGCCTCCCCTTTCCCATGTCTTTTACAGACCAGCCCCTCCCTGTGTTGCACTTGTCTCTTTCCTGAACCTGATTTACTCGGATCCGACCCACACAGACACTTCTTCAGATTTCAATCCCCGCATCCTTTTTTCTTGGGGTATGACATTATTTGTAATCCACAGGGCTATAATTTAAAACAAAGGAAATCTATAAATAAAGTGTTGGAGAAAACAACAAGAAGCATCTTTGCCTGGAGCTGGGTGGGAGGTGCATGTCACATAGGCTAGGAGAACCCAGCAGGGTGCAGTCACTGCAGAGCAGCCTTGCACGGAAGTCCACCAAGGTCACCGGTCTACCAGAATTTTTAGTAGCCTGCTATCCCCACACACTTGTGTTATAGATTCGCGACACATTAGTGGCTTGGAAGAAGATGGGGATGGGAATCTCTCACAGCTACATTCCAGTTTGCAAAATCTCTGTTGCCAGACAAGTGCCTCTTTACAGTACTAGAGAGCTCTTGGGTTCAAATCTCTCCACGTAACCGGAGGACTTCCGGGTTGGCGCCTCCGGCAATGGCGGAGCTCCTCCATTCGGGAGGAACTTGCTCCGTGAAAAACAGGGTCTGACCGCCACGGCGAAGGTGGAGACCCATTGAAATCACAAGCGGGAGAAGCTTGTGAACCTGGGATTCGGCTGGCACCTTTTGCGCCTCCCCTACTCGCGGGGAAACCCTGTTTTGGGGATCCGGAGCGACGTGGGGCGAGTGGCACGGTGTTTTGAATCGACTGCTTCTTTCACGGAGTGAAGCCGCATTGCTGTTGCCGGAGAGCGCTGACTTTTTCCTGTGGGCAATTGGATTTTAAACAACTACCCGTGAGTAGAATGGAAAATTGGACTTTTAAATACCTTAATTTGGCACTGAAGTGGGAGGTCATAAACAGGAAGTCCGCCTTCCGTTTTTGTAAATAGACTGAAGCAAAGACGTTACAAGCTAAAGTCTTTGAAAGCTTTTGGCAAAGGATTAAATTTCCATCGGTTTAAAATACAAAACCCCCCTTGGAAGCAGGAGAAGAGGGGGAAATTTTGGACCTAGTGAGCCTGCAGGAGAGAGTGAAAAATCAAATTACCACTGCTCTGAACCTGGGAACGGGCTGCCAGATGACGTCTGGAGAGAGTGCATTGACAGAACGGATTTGACAGCTAGCTAAATAAGAGTAAGATACTGTTTCCATTGTCCTCCTCTGCGTTTAAAGAAGAGGAAAAGTAACTGAAAATTGAAACTATCTTTAATGCTTGAGTTGTGCCTGAAAAGACTGATACAAGTGGAGACTGTTTCCCTCTAGAGGGAGCTTTTGAAACTGTTACAGGAGTGTAACTGGGGGATTTCCAGCTGCAGATAAGGATTCTGAGAACCAGAGATTGACCTTGGACCATTTAAAAATGTTGACAGGAGAGGCCATTGTGACTGTTTTATGTAAGATAAGCTGTTCGCTGGGACAGCTTCACAAGAAGATGGATGACATGACTTTTAAAGTTGATAATTTGGAACAGAAAGTGACTAATTTGAGTGAACACCAACACAGAAATAATTCAGGACTTGGTACAGGAATCCATTTTGGCAGGACAAATGGTGGAGGAGAAGGAGGAGAAGGAGAAAGCTGCTGTTGTTGAACATAAAGTAATACAAGCGGGATCCGTGGCTTTACAGAAGCAAATTGAGGACTATAAGTTGAGGCCTTTTATGATTGAATCTAGGAAAAGTCAGACTTTGAGGAATGGATCCCGGCTTGGATTAAAGAAGGAAAGTTGGAAAGATCCCTCTATGCAGGGATTAACTGACTTTTGGGACATGGACTCGGGCCTGGAGGAGATTGAAGTTTTGGGGGCCTTTGGATTTGGAGGAATCTTGAAATATGCCCTGAAATACTTTATGGACTGTAGCTTCAACTATGGAAATTTGGCTGATCTGTTCAGAAGGAAGAAAAGGATTGACAAGTTGGAGTTTCCCCGAGATTTGCTCTTTAGCATTAAAGAAAATGAAGAAGACCTGCAGAAGGGACTTGGAAAAGAGTTAAGAGCCTCGGACATAAGATCACCAGGTTGATGGACTTTATGGAGTTGACGGAAAGGACTGGCAGAATCCGAAACCAGGGAGAGGAGATGGTGGAAGAAGATTGGAAAATTTAAAGTTTATATATAGACATATGGTAAAACTAATGAGTGATAGAAAAATGGTGGAATGATTTTTATGGGCTTAGCAGAAATGTTATAAGGAGTTAAGCATATATAAGTATTTTAGTTTTAATGGAAAATAAGGTTAAAAAATACGTTATTTACAATATTATAGAAAACGGAGAAAGATGGAAAGGATTTGCTGAAAAAATTAATAGAAGTGGAATACAAAAAGGGAGGTGAGAGGAGGTCGAGGAAACAAGGGAATGAAAGATAGACTACGGAAAAGGGATGATGCATGTTTTTAAATTGTTTTTGTTTTGTTTTGTTTAGGTTAAGGTTAGGGAGTGGGGTTTGTTTAGTTTAGTTTAATGTCTTTAGTTTTGAGTTTAGGTTGTGTTTTGCATTGTCTATATACTGTACTGTATTGTTTTGTTTTGTTTTCCTTTTTGCTTTCCTCCTTTGTCTTTTTTTCTGTTTCTCTCTTTCCTTTTTGTAATTTATAAAAGTAATAAATATTATTTTTTTAAAAAAATCTCTCCACATAACCTACCTAACTAGGTTGTTAGGAGGATAACATGGAGGATAACATGGATAACTCGCCCCCACTTCCATCAAGCTCCACTCCTGAGGCACAGGCAGGCTCTTCCCCAAAACTGTCACTCTTTGCCCTAATCAGATGCCAGTAGGGGGCTCCACGCATGCGACACCAAGCTCTACCCACTGACAGACACTGCCCCTTAGCTCGCCTCAGCTGTCCCCAGTTCTAAGTCACAGGAGAGTGACCCAGCACCCCTCACCCTGCGTTCCTTGAGGAGAGCTGGAATCCATGTGTGCTTCATGGCAAATGCATCCCACAAGCTAACTAAAAAAGAAAATTTGGCATCTCGGCTCCTGTTACATTTGAATAATGTTTTTGGCTTCCGCAAGCAGTATGCCAAGTTTGGAAACTTATGGTGGCAGCATGTCCCTGTGCTGTTTTCAGTCCACAAAGCTGGTCCAAAGAAACATACACAAATTCCTTGCAGAGTTCAAATCTGGTGATTTTGAAGCATGTCTTACATTTTTCACTTTGTGTGTGTGTGTTGGGGAGACTGGATCACGATTCCAAGTCTGCTGGGAGTCAAGCACATTCAGGCCTACCCTAGTTGGCAGGAAGATTCCACTGCCAAGCAAAAAACGTGTCACAGCTCCCAACTTGGCCAGGAATAGTTTCCTGAAAATGAAACAGCACGCAGGGCTTGGCGCCAGAAATGCATAACTTATGCAGAGGGACTGCAGTTGGACACCGGAAGGAGCCCCCCCCCCCGTTGGACAACAAGATCAGTCGGTCTCAGGCATCAGATTTGGGGGTGGGTGGGAGTGGGGGTGGGAATAAAGGTGTTTCATAGGTAACAATAAGAGCAATACTGAACCGTCAAATATTTTTTTAAAAATAAATAGAATAGAATATGCAACACATGGCAGGATCTGATTTCCTCATATTATTTTGATCTACACCAGTAGGGTGCCTCCTGGTTTAGGTGAGGATAACTAATAAAAAGGGAGCGGAGAAATGGTGTGCAGTTGAGTGTAAGGAAGTCTGATTTTTCACTTCAGTGTTTTCTTTGAAATGTCGAATGTTGAATTCTTCTTTTTTAAAGCACATGCTGAATCTGCCTATTAGGTAATCCAGCACCGCCTATTGGGTACAAAGAACCAGGTACAAAGGTTCTCCTATGCAAGCACTACTGAAGTGAACCAGAACATAAGAACACAAGAGCCCTGCAGGAACAGGTCCATGCGCCAACTACTCCAGCATCCTGCTCTCACAGCAGCCAACCAGAGGCTTATGGGAAACCTGAAGGCAGGACCGGAGTGCAATAGCAACTCTCTCCCCCCCCCCCTTCCTTGTGCTCTCTAGCAACTTGAACCTGTACAAGAGCATCACAGCTTGTTCCACTAATGCTCACATAACGAAACTTCCCAGTAGGGTGTCGTCCCCCCAATAATTTTGTGAGAGCAGGGGTACAACCTGGTACTTTTCACCCCATGGATGGAAATATATTGGCTGTCTCTTAGTGCAGACCCAGGTCATCGAGCCTGAGCTTCCGCAGCTGCCACCTGCCATGAACCATCATTGGCAAGATTGGCAGCAACAGCAGCTGACAGGTTCCTATGCTTAAGATGTATTTTATTCCCTTGTTAATTATGCTGTTTTAAATGTGCACTTTATATTTGACTTCCTTTAGCAATCTTTTCTTTCGACAAGTTTGATATAATTGTCGTTGTTAACTGCGATAAATGTTGTGCATTCTGTAGTTGACCTCGTCTGCGATGTTTTATTCTGAAATCTTTAAGATAATATTTTAGTTCCCTGTTAATTGTGTTGCTTTGAATGTATAGTTTGACTTTCTACAGTTTTTTTTTTTATTCTGGGTTGTTTTATTTGATGTTTCCATGTGTTCTAAACTGCTTTGAGATTGTTTTCTGAAAAATATAAAGCGGTATCGAAATGAAATGAATAATAATAATAATTCTCACCAACACCAACACACACTAACAAAAGCTAGGGCCAGACATAAGCCGCCATGCAGCTGTGTCACATCATTTCCCCCATTTTAACAGTACAAGTACATGTGCATTTTCTCACAAAGTATTCCTATTGTGTTCAATGGGACTTTCTCATTTATTTGTTTAGGACTGCAACCTTAGTAGACAATGGGTCCCTGGCTGCAGGAGACAATTCCTCCTATCGTGCCTCTCTGAACTACACTATTCCCCCCCCCACACACACACCTCCTCTGCCTTGGCTGCAGGGATCAGTTCATCCCTGTTCCCGTCACGGAGCTTTGCAACCTCCTGAGTCACCGGCTGCGCTATTGACACAGACAGCCAGGGCAAGCTGCCAAGGCAGCCAGCAAGGGGACTGGCCTGACGCACGGTGGCTCCAGCTCCGTCGGTCCTCCAAGCAACAACAAGCCAAAGCCCCTCCACCTGCAAAGCAGCAAAAACAACACCCCACCCACAATCTACCAAGCCCTTTCACACACAGAGAGACCCCAGTAAACCTAGATATTACCACAAAAATGAAAGCATCTCGGCTCACTCCCCTGATAGAAAGGATGGGAGGTTTGCCTCTTTACGGAGTCTGTTTCCTTGCGATACAAAAGGGAGGGAGCTCTGGAGACTCTGCTTATTTACAAATCTATAAGCAGACCCCCACCCCCAACAGCAGGCAGAACAACTGCTCATCTTGCAGCAGATTTTCAAAGAGGAATAGTTGCAGTGCAAACACACGCAGACACTCCAAGGCTATGGCACACACCCCAGGTGTTTGCTAGAACTCATAAAGCTCCTGGTTTCTCCATCTGCCCAAAGTCAAACTGCTTATTTTTTTGGCCCACGTCCCAGCACCAAGAGAACACTCTTCTTAGATCCCACACTGCAGGTAGATTGCTAATTAAGGAAACATCGCCTAGTCATTAGTTCTCATTGAAGAAATAGCAGCTGATCCTCCTGGATCATCAGCTCAGTGAAAGGAGGCAAACCTATCTCTGGTTTATTTAAAATGGAAAGGAGGACAGTGCCACTTTTAAGAGCAGCATAGATGAAGAAATTTCAGCTGGTACAGATTTTATAAGCCTAGCTTGATAAACCTGCGCCTGTCAGTATGTATGCCACACAGCTAGCCAAAGGACAATGAACCTTTGTGTTTCTTTACACCTGCTCACCCTCTTTACTGATGAGCACGGGGAAGGGCCATGGCTCAGTGCTACGGCATTCTCTTTGCAGGAAGAAAGTCCCAGCTCCAATCTCCAACTTCTTTAGGTAAGGCTAGGTATCTACCCTGTTTGAAACCCTGGAGAGCCACTGCCAGCCAGTGTAGACAATGGTGAACTAGATGGACCAATGGCCTTACTCAATATAAGGGACCAGCCCTTTTACAAGAAGCTGGCATAAAACAAACTGGTGTAAATTAAGCTGGTGCAAAGTACAGCAGATCCATTCAGGAGCAGGGCTATTCCTGGCTGAGCTGGCACAAGCCTGACAGGGAAAATGAGGCTTAAAAAGAGTGTTTGGGTCACACCACCCTTTTTTGCTGGCTTAACTTATGCTGGGTTGCCACGCCAACATGTTTAGGACCCAGCCTATGTCACCACTCTGGTTCCGCCACCCAACACCCCTTTTTCAGGGCTTATGCCAGTTTAAGATATGCCAGACTTTGGCTGAGTCAGGTATCTCCAGCTGAGCCAAGGATGGTGAGCTATGCTGGTGTAGCACAGTTGTGCCGGGAACCTCCCAGCTCAGCCAGAGATCCCCTGGATCATAACCCTCCTCATCCCAGTGGATATTGCTATAGGATTGCTCTTAAGGCAGGCATCCACAAACTCGGCCCTCCAGCTGTTTTGGTACTACAACTCCTATCATCCCTAGCTAACAGGACCAGTGGTCAGAGATGATGGGAATTGTAGTCCCAAAACAGCTGGAGGGGATGCCTGTCTTAAGGCAACGCCACTGATTCTACAACAGAAAACAATTAATTCAAAATGAAACATACAAATCTGCCATGGCAAACAAATCTGAGTCAGGGTTACAAGTCCTGCAGATATTAAATCCCAAAAATAAATAGGGTTTATTTTATGGAATACCTGTACATTTTACTGAAGTGCAGAAGCCAATATAAATTGACATTGGACTACAGAAGCAGGCTATGACCAGGGTTGTTCTAAAGACCACCACAAATTATTTCATTAATCTGAAGGTTGTGCAAGCTGCTCTGAAAAATATCTGAAGGGTAGATGTAACTCTGTTACTAATGAAGCACACTCTGTAAGAAGGGATCTGGTGAATCAAACCCAAGGTCCATTTACATCTACTCCATCTTTTATCCCAAAGTGGTCAACCAGATACAGCTGGTAGTCAATGTAGTACTATCTCAGAGCATAAAGGTTGCACATATTCAATAGGGAATATTCTCTCATATTTTTAATACTGATCTATTCTAATCTTTCAGAGCATAATTAACAAGCGCCCCTGCTATTTACCACCATTGCCACAGGAAACCCTGGTGTTCATTTTACAGCTTATGTTCTAAAAGTAGCATTTTTGGGATACATCTTGACACTGTCCATTCTTCCCTCTCCTGAATCTACTGCAAGGCCAACCAGTTTCATTCATTGGATGATCCCAAGTTCTAACATTACAGCAGCAGGAGAAAAGCTTCTTTCTAGCTACATCCTCTACACTATGCACCACTTAGTAAGTGTTTTTTTTAAATATTCCTTACTTTTAGTCATCTTTTTTTCTTAAACTAAAAGCCTCAATGTGTTTAGGCTTTCCTCAAAAGCAAAGTGCCCTGATCATTTTGGGTGCCCTTTTCAGGTCTACAATGTCCTTTTGGAGATGGGATGATCAGAACATACATTATTAGTAATTTATAGTACATTGACAGGAAAATGAAGAAAGCAACTTTCTTCCAAATTACCAATGGAGGCAAAGAGTTGCCACCTTTTTTTTCTGGCAAATGTTCATGTAGTAGCTTTGACAGCCAGAAATTCAGTGAGCAAAGATTTATTTCCCATTACAGCCCCTGCATTTTGGGCTTCACCAGCTGAATTTCTGTGAACTAAAGGTGGTGGATGCGGGTGGCGCTGTGGGTTAAACCACAGAGCCTAGGACTTGTCGATCAGAAGGTCAGCGGTTCGAATCCCCGTGACGGGGTGAGCTCCCGTTGCTCGGTCCCTGCTCCTGCCAACCTAGCAGTTCGAAAGCACGTCAAAGTGCAAGTAGATAAATAGGTACCGCTCCGGAGGGAAGGTAAATGGCGTTTTCGTGTGCACTGCTCTGGTTCACCAGAAGTGGCTTAGTCATGCTGGCCACATGACCCGGAAGCTGTACGCCGGCTCCCTCGGCCAATAAAGCGAGATGAGCGCTGCAACCCAGAGTCAGTCACGACTGGGCCTAATGGTCAGGGGTCCCTTTACCTTTAAAGGTGGTGGAGTGTGAGGAAAGACTAGCATTTTCCATAGGTGAGAAGGGGAACCTGTTGCCTATTGGCCCGTTTTAATTCATTTAAAATTTGTGCGAAATTTAAATAGTCTGTATCCCAAAACTGGCGGTTATATTAAAAACAAATTCGGAGCTGCACATTCCAAATCATTTCCACACGACACTACTTTTTTAGCAAAGGACTACTGTATTTAGTATTGGCCAGAATTAGTGGGACACTCTACACATACATGTAGCTCTATGGTTCTCAATGACAGCCGATGTCCAGCCGATGAAAAACGACATCCGGTAGACGCAGATGAACTTCCGGCAGCGGCCATATTGAAGTCAAGAAAGGAATATTCATTATGGCCGTCCCAAGTCACCGCCTCCTCCTGTTGCTTTTTTAAAAAAAATTAAAAATCCTCCGTTGTAAAGATTCCGAATGACAGAAAAAAACGGGTCCCGGGTAGACTCTGTAATAGCAATAAACATACTAAATCAATCCCTGGTGTCTGCCTTCCTCTTCCGTTGCTTCTCCACTAGCTGAGGGGTTGAGGTTGAAAACCGCCGTGTCGAGCGGCGGGGCCAGAAGGCGCATGCGCAGTACGAGCTAGGTGGCGACAGAGCGTGTTTCTCTCTTTTTTCCCCCCTGCTTTTTGCCTCTCAAGCAACCTACCCGCGAGGAAGAAAGAGGCGGGGGAGGGGGAGGCGGCGGCGAAGGAAGAGGAGGAGGAGGGACCTCCAGCGCGCGTGCGCAGTCTCCTCCTGCCCCTCCATTCTAATTCCCCCCCTCCTCCCCCGCGCCACTTCGTCCCCGGGAGTGCGAAAAAGAAAAAAAAGGAGGGGGAAGCAGCTATGAGGGACCGAACGGACGAGATCAGAGGGGTGAGAATCCTCGCGCGGCTGGCCACGCCCACAACGGTCGCCTTTGCTCCTCCCCTTTCCGTGCTTCCTTTGCGCCCCACGCTCTCCCCCCGCGCGCCGCTTTCCCCTCGCCTTTTATAGGCTGTTCGCTCTCTCTGCCCTCCTCGTCCTCCCCCCCCCCCGCAGTCCCTTTTGCTCTTCTCATCCCCCCTAAACCTCACCCCAAATTTTAGGTCTCCTAAACCTCACCCCAAATTTGGCCCCTCGACCTCTGAAGGCCGATTTCCACCTCCCCTCACTGACCCCGACGGCATCGAGGGGCCCCATTGCTCCCCCCCCCCCCGCAGGGCGTCAGGTGCGCACCTCCCCCACCCCAAAAACACAGCCAGGAGTTGCCATTTTCGTTTCTGTTATTCGCTGTCTGGATTTCATAAATTTCGAACTTCCCCTCCCCTTGACAGTCAAAAGCTTTCCTTTCCAAATGCGCGTTTTCCTCCCAGGCTCCTGTGGGGGGCGCTGTTTTCCGTCCGTCCCTCCCGTGATCATGGTCTCCCACTTTCCTACTCGCCACCCACAACCCCCAGCCCAGTTCTGGGTTTGTTTATCTGCTCTCTTCATCCCTGTATCCTCCTCCTGCTGCCTCCAGTTACTTCCCCTTCTCTGTCACCCTCGTTATTCCATCCACTCTTTGGATTGCCCTCCTGAGAGTATCCTCATCTCTGCCCTCCCTTTTCCATAGTCTGCCTCCCAGCATTTTTATATTTCTTCCCTGCACCCCATTTGTCCTCACACTGTGCTCCTTTCGTCCCCCATATTCACGTAACACTCCCTTGTCCCTTCTTGCATTGGTTCCCTCTTCACTCGTCTTCTCATTTGCTCTCTTCATAGGCTTTCTCTTAGCTACTACTCCACCCCAATGTTTTAGTGGAAACACCATGGAAAGGAGTTGGGGTAGAGCACATTAGGGCCCCAGGAATTTCCAGAGATCAAAAGAAGTTGGAGATGTTAACTCATTTGGGCAAGGCAATATTGCACACCAAAGCGATACCCAGCCCCAAATAATGCCACTGGATGTTGCATTGGTCTTTCGTCTTGGGAGGCAGCAACTGGTGGTGGATAGTGCCAGACATTTGGTTGGGAAAATGTGTAAAATCCAGTTCAGCCATGCCTTACCAGGTGACCTTAGGTTGTCAACTCTTAGCCTTTTGGACCTCATAGGATCATTGTGGCTGCTGCCCTGACATCCTTGGAGGAAGGGTAGGATAGAAATATTATAAAAGAACCAGAATGTAAATGATGTTACATTAGGAAGTTACATTTGGGACTCACTTGTTACAAGATTCCAAAATGGTAAGTGGTTTGAGAGGGAGAGATAGAGGGACCAAGTTTGATTCTGTCTCAGGGTTTGAACAATGTTTGCAGATGGCTTAATGCAAAAGTCACCTTCCACTTAGTTATGCATTACATTTAAGATGCTTTTTGGTGTCAGCAAACAACACTATGGCTGTATTCCCGTTGCCTTTCTTGTCCGCCAGAATGCTTCAGCTCCTGTGTATAAACATGAAATTTCTAGGCTTTGCTTTGTTAAGATTTCAGTATCTCTGCCCTGACCGTTTGTCCCTTTGTCTCTCCATCTTTATCAGTAGCGAGAAAATACAGATTTAGGAAACATATTACTGACTTCTCATGTCAGTTTCAGATGTTTGTCGTTCTTACTAGAAAGGAAACCAGGGTGGTTTCACACTAATATACAAATTAGCTGCTAGTTTTGTTTTTTCCTTTCAAGTCCGTTGTCAAATTTGACACAGGAAGGGAGTGAACTGGCACATCTGCGCCATGCACAATGGTGTATTCCAATTAAGCAGGGGCTGAATCATAATCTGTGGTTAAAGTTTAATTGGCTAAAGCTTGCAGCCCTAATTAAAGAGTAGTAATGTTCCTACTACCTATATAGATTACTTTGATAAAGAAGATTGTTGGCCTTTGAAAGCTTATGCCACAATTAAATGAATTAGTTTTAAAGATGCCACCATAGTTCTTCTGGAGTCATCTACTTTTTGGAATATATAGTTGGTTCTTTTCATAACAGTTCTGTTTGAGAAAGTGTCTCACAAGCAGGATTTCTTTTTTTAAAAAAGCAAACTAAATGGAATTCTGCACAAAGGTAATTCAAATGACAATGCTGTCACTGCCTTGTAACTACAGTGCAGCATTAGAAAGAGCTTCAGCCAGCATGGATCTCTAGCACAGGAGAGTGCACATTTGCATAAATATTTTGCATGAAATAGAGGGCATGGAATTATGGAGGGTGCTGGAGCCCTGTCCCCAGCTGCTAGAAACTTTGATCAACCATTGTTTGGCTATTGACATTTCACCTGGTGTTGAACATGTACATTCAAGCATTTCTTATCAACCATGAGAGCTAGAAACTAGCTAGTGATGTTGTGCTTTTAAAGTTTATTCAAATGAAATGTTTTTTGGAACTGGATTCTATACCCTAGGTCACATTCTTGAGGTTTGATTTGCTCCCACAGAACCCTGGCCCATATGCATATTACTAATAAGACCTGTGTTATGCATCTTCTCAACTGGGGGCAAAAGTTGCCATTGCTACTGACACAAAGAAATTTGAGGTCCAAGTGAGCTGGAGCAGAATTCAGCCAAAGTACACAGAGGCACATCCCAGCCCCGCTGGTTGAGGTTTTCATCCCAAATCCTTCATGAGTAGTACAGTGGTACCTCGGGTTACATACGCTTCAGGTTACATACGCTTCAGGTTATAGACTCCGCTAACCCAGAAATAGTACCTCGGGTTAAGAACTTTGCTTCAGGATGAGAACAGAAATCATCTCCGGTGGCAGCAGGAGGCCCCATTAGCTAAAGTGGTGCTTCAGGTTAAGAACAGTTTCAGGTTAAGAACAGACCTCCGGAACAAATTACTGTATTTTTCGCTCTATAAGACGCACCAGACCACAAGACGCACCTAGTTTTTGGAGGAGGAAAACAAGAAAAAAAATATTCTGAATCTCAGAAGCCAGAACAGCAAGAGGGATCGCTGCGCAGTGAAAGCAGCAATCCCTCTTGCTGTTCAGGCCTCTGTGATAGCTGCACAGCCTGCATTCACTCCATAAGACGCACACACATTTCCCCTTACTTTTTAGGAGGGAAAAAGTGAGTCTTATAGAGCAAAAAATACGGTAAGTACTTAACCCGAGGTACCACTGTATGTGTCATAGCCAATTTCCAATCTAGGAGCAAAACACATTTTTTTTGTTATGTTGAATTAAAGACTGAGGCAAGAGTGTTCTCCAACAGACGAAGCCCTCAGTGTCCAACTTGTCTTCCATGTTTCCCAGTTACAGATTTTTCTCACTTTTGTACAAGATTACATGTTTAAAAATTGGTCAGATTTATTGTGCAGCAAAATGTAGTGACCAGGTTGGCATCCACACAGTGAAATGTGTGTTACATTATATGCAGTGTTTGAAACTCGCATTGTTCTAGGCCAGGGGTCTGCAACCCACGGCCCCGGAGCCGCATGTGGCTCTTTTACGCCTTTGCCGTGGCTCCGGGGCGGATACTAGCGAGGGGAGGCGCATTGTGCGCCCCGACACTCCCCACTGTGGCGGGCGCTGTACTGGCTGTGACGTCGCATGGGGGCGGTGCGTGCATTAGTCACGCACCGTCCCGACGTCACCTTCCCGCCCGCTGTCAGATCGGAGGGCAGTGGCGCGCATGCAGGTCTACGACTGCGAGGAGGAAGATGACGTCCCTGTTTTGGACCCCCGGTAGGCCAATGGTTTTGCGGCTCCCAGTTTTTTTTTCTTCGGAAACGGGTCCAAGTGGCTCTTTTTGTCTTAAAGGTTGCAGACCCCTGTTCTAGGCGCATCTTGCAACAAGGAATTTCATTAGTGCAAGCAGTTTCTGAGCTCTGGGCGTAGTACTGCGCCTAAGATTTCAGATTAAAACTGCAGAGTGGAAGGAAAGGAGGACCTTTTTCTGCCTCTGCACTTCTAGCTACTCACTGGAGAAGAGACCCTCTTAAGAATATTAAGGGGGTGGGCAGGAGAAGGACTAGGCCATGTGAAAAATGAACATAAAATTTTAGCTGCAGTTCACTCATATTCAGCTTTGTATCCTTGTTATAAAAAGTGCGCCTAGACATTCCGTTGTTGCACCCATAATCGAGGTTTAAGGTACCATTTAACTCCTAGCTTTCATATCTCAGTTTCTAACACTGGTTATATGTCTACAACGTTGTTATGCATCTCATCCAGCAATAGATGCAGGTACCCGATCTACATGCCAGTTTTCCACATGCAGTTATGGCCAGATGAACATCCAGTGCCAATTGCACATCTTCTCACAGATGCCCATAGCTCTCAAAAGTTCTGTATTAGTCTAAGAGTACAACAGTGTGTGTTGATAGAGAATAGGGAGAAAAACAGAATACACAAGACTGTTCTTCTTCACAGCTGACTGGTGCTGTCAGCCTTTAAAGCAACCATGGAATGTTAGATTCTATTCACTTTTAGAACATGTGTCTTCTGTACTATGCAAAATGGAATGAAAAGATTGTTTGAAAATATTGGTTTTAAATTGTTAGCTGATTTGGAAGTTGATTTGGATAGAAATGTTTGTAAATGAATGAAAATGAACCTTGTCTAAGAGCAGTGTGGGATTTTTGGTCTGTGTTTCCCCCCTGTCATCTGCAACACATGTGCAGTGAGTGCTTTGGTGCATCTGATCTCTTCCCTCTACATCTCTCTTTAACAGAAGGATGTCGACTCGGACTGTGAAGAGACTGAACTCGATACTCTGGTCCCACAGCCAGGATCAGCAAGACCCAATGGCTCTCCAGATCCAACTGACGAATTCTTCCGAACGGTACCACAATCTTTCTTTCTAAGCATGTGCGGAGTTGACTTGAAAACTATCTTCCTGTGTGTGTGTGTGTGTGTGTGTGTGTGTGCGTGCATTGGTGGGACACGCATAAGCCTGTCCCATCCCGCATCTACCAACGTCCCACCTGCTTCTGGTGCCAAAAATGGCATCTATCAGCATGATCATCTTTGTTTTCACTATCCCATGGAAACTCTTCCACGATCACTTGACTTTTTTCTTGCTACAGTTGCTATTGCATGCTATTGGTTTGTTGCTATAATGTGTCAGAGGAGTTGGAGATCTTCTGGCTGCACATCTGAAGAACAATAAGACCGTGCTTGCCTCCCTGCCCTCCTTTCCTTATGTTAAGCTCTGGAGACCATCCTCCAGCTGCCACCACCCAATGAGGTGAGGCAGGTGGCAACAGGAGAAAGAGAGAGCACCTTCGCTTTGGTGGTGCCCTGGCTGTGGAAGATTTGCCCATTGCCTGCCTTGTTATTTTTCCAGTGCCGGGCAAAAAACTTCTATTTTCCCAATCATTTCATAGTTTCATTCCCCCTGAAATTGGTTTTATGCTGAATTTCTGTTGTTTTTATATATCATGCAGTTTTAATGTTCCTGTTTTTATGAATAGTATTTTATTTTTAATGTGCTGTGAGCTGTATGGGAGGAAATGTTTTAAATAAAATAAGAGGAGATAATTTGAATTCTGGCATCCGTGAACAGTTTTTGGTAAGCTGCATCTGCATCAGTATTGCCTGCACACAGTAGTGTTTTTGTGTGATTTTTTGAGGGTGCAAATCACTTGAGCATTTTCTAGAACCCTATGTAGCAGACACATTATGCTTTCTGCTTATGTAAATAGATCTAGTCAGCCAGTTCCCTATGCTGGTGGCTTGTAGTTATACGCAGTGAGATATGAGTGGGTTTCATACTATGGAGATACCTCTTCATTGGCAACCAGCTTAATTGATGGAGATTTGAGGGTCATTGACAATGAAAAGGAAATGTGTTTCTTCTTCTTCTTCTGGGGTGTTATCATTAACCACCCCCAAAGAAAAGTGGGAAAGGGGAGGGTAGGAGACTGACAGCACTTCTATAACTGAATGTTGCTCCAAGATGAGGTCAGGGTTCAGCTGGTTAGAATTGACTCCTTCTCATCGTATCATTTTTTATTGCCTTCTCAGACACGTGGGATCCGTGAAGCCTTGAAGACTCTGGGAAGCAAAGTAAAAGATCTAGAGAAACATCAAACTACCATTTTGGCCACACCCCTCCCTGAGGATAGTAAGTTTGCAGTGGGGGAATGCGGGTGGTGAAGTAGAAGATATGGGCTGGGGGAAAACTGGACAAAGAAGCTCTTGGAGGTAAGTGGCCAAGAAAAGTTGGAGAAAATGGTAAAATTTAGGGGCAGAGTTTAGTGGTATTTAAATTTCATGATTTATAGTGGTGCAAAATTAGAATTACCTTGTTGCAAAGAGCACATTGCTGTTTACTCCTAGCAGCAGCCTCATATTTTGCTTTTCTTATGAATTATAGTTTGAAAATATTCCGTGTACCGTATTGATTCAAAATGAAATCCAGTTGTATCTAAACAAAAACCTGCTTCTTGGTTTCAATTGCCATCATGCAAAAATTGGTTATGATATTTTAAGAGGTGTCCAAATGCATAGAAATTAAGCAAATTTCCAAAATATAATTGATGTATACCCCCACCTTTCTTCTGTGGAACTCATGTTAATGTACATAGTATTCCTAGGCAGCCTCCAATCAAAGCACTGACCAGACTAGACCTGATTAGGTTTAGCAAGGATACTGCATTATCTGCCTTCAGGCCAGATTATGGATTGTGACAGTTTATACTGTTCCATCAGTGTGTGCATGAGCACAGTAGACAGATTCATGCTTCAAAGTTGCTTACAGCCTGAAATAGACAGCAAGGGAACAATAGTAGGATGGAAAGGCAGACAAGGGTAGGAAGGAGTGAATAGGGGCAAATGCTATTCTGCATTGTTAAAAACTTGGTTAAATTAGGAATGAGGATTCAGATGGGTGGTTCAACCGTCAGTTCCCAGTCAAGAGATTTAGCTGCACAGTGCCAATTGTTAGAACATTAGAAAACCAGAGGGGGGTGGGAATGAAATACATTGTAAGCAGCCTTGAGAACTTTGATTGGTTGGCAGAATAGAAATACTCTAAAGTAAATAAGAGGAAAAGCCAAAGTCCATGCACACAGGAGAAGGGGTGAGCAGAGAGTTGAATGAGCAGATGTTGTGCCAAGTTCACGTTCAGAGAAGAAGGGCCCTCTTGAAGAGGGCAGCAGGGGAAATGGGTGGAGTTGTTGCTGGGATATGTTGAAGAACAAAACCTGAAAGATAGCAGAGCAAGACCATGGATAGCTTTAAAAGTAAAGGCAAAGGTTTTGTTCTATATATACAGGTAGAATGGACTGGAAAGCCAGTGAAAGGATCAGAAGATAGGCATCAGTGTGGTCAGAGAAACAGGATAAATGAGTAATATTGACAAAGGAGTTTTGCATTGAGGTGAGGAGACTTGAGGTTGTAGTTCAGGTGGAAGCATGGAGCTTTAGCCAAAGCAATATGGAGAAACAGCCATTTTTGCAGTGTTCTTCAAGAAGAAATTATTTGGCCTAGCAGTGGATTGAATGCGGGCAGAACAACTGTAGTCTGTGTTCCCTTCAGTTGACCAAATGGCCTGCGGGAAAGGGATGTGGCAAAGAAGCACCTACATACATAACACCTTAGCAAAAGCCACATGCAAATGTCATCTAATTCTTCTCTGGCACAATCCCAGCTGTTGACTTTTTAACCTTGGTGTTTTCTAGGCATGAAGCAAGACCTGCAAAAGCTACGTGAGGAAATCAAGGAGCTGGCAAAAGACATTCGGACCCGCCTGAAAAGTGAGTGTGGGAGGAGGATTGGGCCTTAATGCATAAAAGGGAAGAGTGCTGGATGTCGGACCTCCTAGCTTCTGCTCTCCAGCTTTGTCTGTGTGCTCATTGTACTGAAACCAGGAGGAGTCCTTCTCTCTGTCCCCGGTAGAAAGTGGCATGGCTTGATTGTAGCCCTGTTTATTTTTTAATATAGAAATTGAGCCCAAGAAGGATGGGGAAGATGAGAACAAAAACTCCATCAACGTTCGTATGAAGAGAACCCAGGTCAGATGTGGCCCAGCTAGCTCGCTTGGGTGCTGGTGAGGAGGAGGCCACAGAAGTGTCCTTAACCCTTTCTTTCCATTTCTGCCTCAGCATGGGATCCTGTCCCAACAGTTCTTGGACCTGATCAACCAGTGCAATGCAACGCAGTCTGACTACCGAGACAAGAACCTGGAGCGCATCAGGAGACAGCTGCAGATCAGTGAGTGTCTGCTCTTTCTTCCCACTGGCTCCAGAGATGACTGCATTTCAGTGCCAAATCAGCAATCTCGGTTGCTGCAAGGTTCCTACTTACTAGAGTCGCCCAGAAGTCATGGGAACAAGTCATGGTGCCAGCCCTAAGGTAGCTGGGAAGATTGTGATTTGCCCAAAGTGATCTGGGTTGCCTGGTGGCTAAGATGAGTATCCTAAGCTTGGACATGGTGCCCTATTCTTATCACAACGCTGCTGTTACAGATGTCCCAGAAACGCATGAGTTGTTGTGTTTGTTATGCTGGTCAGGGACACGTGGGTTTTATGTCTTTGCAATCTCTCTGTATAAGTGGATTCTGGCAGTTTTGTTGATTTTGTTTATAAAGCAAGTTCCTAGATCTTAGGAAGTGGGCATTGAAAACATGTAAACTGTGCATGGTGCAGGGCCCAGCAACGTTTCCACTGGTCAGATGATGTGTCTTTAAGGCCTGTTCTTTACACTTCTATATTTCCATCGGCTAGCAGAAGTGGAAAACATTCAAAATAAACAAGCATGCAAACTTGATTTGCATTGCACATTTTAGATGCAGAGTCATTTTACAGAGCAGAAGATACGTTACATTGGCTTTAAAAAGAGAAAGCCTGTGACCATGGCACAGGCAACTTCCAAGCTCATAACTGCTGTTTTTTGCACACTTTCTTTCCCATCCACGCAAGTGTATGTTCAGGCCCATGCTCCTGAGAAAGACAAGCGGAACTGAGCAGTTCAAGGATACAGCCGCAGTGATTCCTAGCATGGTGAAGTCTGCCCAAGTTGTCTTATCAGAGTGACTTCAGGCTGTAGCCAGATGAGGCTTTCATTTTTGCCCCTGTGTGTTTGCAGGCATGTCTCTGGCCCAAAAGCAAGCTCTTTATGCTTTGGAGAAAATGACTATGCATATTGGTCTTGAGAGCACTTTTTTGTGGAGCCTAGGCTCAACTACCACGCTGCACGGGGACTATTAAAATTTCCAAAACTTGGGACACAGGGCAGGGGAGCACTGGCAACATTACTAGTTTGGGGGAAGTTGAGAACACTGGTGGTCTTTGTGAGGAGGAGATTTGTCCCATTTCCTCCCTTCTGTGACTAATTTCAGGTACAGGGTTAGCAAAGCAGTGGACAAACAGCTGCCGGTAATGAGATGCGTTGTAGGTTGTGAATTGGGAAGGCATGGGGCCCAGAAGAGGAGGGTAGATAAGATGCGCATTTTTAAAAAATCAGTACTAGGAGACCTGGTTTTGCTAAAGTCTGGCTGTCTTCCAACAGGCAAGTTTTTCTTCCTGAAGCAGTTTCAAAGGTATCCTGTTGTGTGGGGTGGTGGTGGGGAAGGGTTAGTACAACCCTGGCTCCTAACTGAACCCTCCACCTCGCAGGTATTGTAAAATCTTGAAAGCCCTTTTGCTTTCAAACTGTTTTATATATATATATATAAAGCTTCAGTGACGTGCTGCTACTTGTACGTGGGCCAAGTCATCTTCCTGTGGAGATGGATAGCGTCTGTCTGCTGTCCTCTAAAGGAAGATGACCTTGAAAGGCAGAAGAGTTGGAAGGCTAAGCTGCACAAAGCACACTTGGCCTGGGGTTTCACAGCCAATTGAGGGGAGGGAATGGGAGGAAGGTTTTCCAGTATTCCTTTCATTTCAGATAGACCAGATCACACAAACGAAAACGTTGTCTGAAATTCCTGATGTGAAGGCTCTCCTAGTCTCCAACAGCAAATAAAGATGGTTTGTCAAGAAATATCCTTTAATCCAGCTGCCCCATCCTTCAGATGAATTTGAAAGCTAAAAGAGGTATCAATTGTGCAGAGTGCTGAATAGGAGTAGGGGCAGCTGGAAGATCCCCATTCTGAAATCTCTCACAGGAGTGTTTGTGATGCTAAGATTTAATAACAATCTTCAGGAAAGCGTGAGCTGTATCAGGGATCCCCCTTAACAATTTTCTAGTGAATGTGCACCAAAGGCATCACTAATATTTAAGCAGGGCTTGAAACAAACTCTGAAGAGCTGGGTCCTCACTACCAGCCCTGTGGAAGGAGGTGTGAAGGCAGTGTGGGAAGAAGTGTGAACCCTTACCCTGGAAGCCCCCAAGCCTGCCCTACTCCAGTGTTCTGCCTGCAGAGAGTAGGCAGTTTCATATTTCACCATAAAACATTCTGCATCTCACTGTAGAGGGGGAAAGCTTGCAAATATGTGAACAGTTCTTGCAAAAAAGCTTAGGAGCTAGAGAGGCACTTTCAGGACAGCTTTTAATAACTGGTCAGTGATGGCCCATCCCTCAGCATTAGCCCAATCCCTCCTTGTAAAGTCTAGATTTTGGTTTGGTCCTCACCACCAGTGTCTACGGTGTCTCATTTCATCTATACTCGACTTTAACATAAAGCTGAGGCAAAAATCTAAATATAGCGGGGGAAAGGGAAGAGAGGATACCAGACTGTCTAACAAGATTAGTGTTTTTCCAGAGCTCCACAAAACTTTGGAAGCTTTATTTTTATTTATAAATGTACATTCTCTTTCTACTGAATCATATCCACAGTGGGTTTTGTTAAAGTTGCGTTAATCTTTTAGTTCAGGATTGCTCTAAGGCTGCAATCCTGTATACATTTACCTGGGAATAAACCCCACCGAGGTCACTGGGAATTATTTCTGAGCCAGCATGCATAGGATTGCACTGTAATAAATGAAGGAAGATTTAATGCTTTTTAGGCCTGTTGATGTGGAATCAGTTCCCTGAAGGTAAAAAGTTTTGAAAACCTCCTCAGTAACCTAGAATAAAGCAAAGCAAATATTTAAACCAGCATTGAAGAATGCAGCATGTTGGAGTTTAGAGCACGAAATGTCAAGCCCCTGACAGTAGACTTCAGGCAGAGAGATTCACCTCCCTTCAGCTAGGCATTACATCATGACAGAAGGCTTTGTGGCACCACAGCCGAGTAACAAGCACAGTGGTGCTGTGTGGCCCTTGAGTTCCAATTTTGGAGGTGTGTGGGATTTAGTGCCTTTAGACAGGAGGGGTAGTGAAAGGGTTCAAGGTAGGCTGCTGAGAGTGAGGGAGTCTGGCTTTGCTTCTTATTTTGGGCAGGAAACCTTGCTTTGCTGCTGAGCCTGCTTTCTTCATTCCCCTTCAGCTAACAGCGGGGCAGTTTCCGATGAAGAGCTGGACCAGATGCTGGAGAGTGGTCAGACGGAGGTGTTTGTTTCCAATGTGAGTACCAGAAGGCGAGGCCTTTGGAGGGCATCAGGTAGAAAAGAGGGCCTGGGCCCTCGGCTAACTTATCCGGCCGCACTTGCTCCCCGCAGATCATGAAGGACACGCAAGTGACGAAGCAGGCTCTGAACGAAATCGAGACACGGCACAGTGAAATCCTCAAGCTGGAGCGCAGCATCCAGGAACTCCACGAAATGTTCCTGTACCTGGCCACTGAAGTGGAGCTGCAGGTATGGCAGTGAGGGAGGAGAAAGAAGGTACTCGGGATCCAGGTGCTCTTGGGAATACAGGAAGCTGCCTTAAGCCAAGTTAGACCATTGGTCCAACTAGCTCGGCGTTCTCTACACTGACTGGCAACAGACACATGTCGTTCCCAGCCCTACCGGAAGATACAGGTGTTGTCTGCAGGCACCGAGTCCTTCCTCACTCTTCCTTCCCTGGTGGGAAGGGGTCAACTCACAATTCCATCTTGTTTCTGCTTTGGCTTCTTACCAGCCTTCAAGCTCCTTTCCGTCACTCTTCTTGCCAAGTACACTTCCCATCCGTGCCTCCTAGGAGTTTTTACACAGATTTAATATGGGCTTAGTTATTATGATGAGGTTGCTAGAATTTAAGGAGGTGTTCTCACCTTTCTTTTTTTCCTGGCCTGTACTGGATGATTTCTTATGTACTCTCACTGTTTTGTTTGACCTTGTTCTCTCTCTCTATCCCTAGTGGCCCCATGCAGACCCAGACCCACCTCTTACCTACCCAGGGGAAGCTTCTTTGCCCCCCTCACATATTTTCCCTGGCCACCCACCCTTGCCCCAGCGCTAGTTGTCTGTTGTCTCTTCTCCCCACCCCACCTCTCTCCCATTCAACTCAGAGGTTTCTTCATACCTCATCCCCACCCCTTTGACTGCATTTAGGGAGAGACGATTGACAGGATAGAGAAGAACATCCTGGATTCAGAGGACTACGTCAAGAAAGGACAGGTCCACCTCCATATGGCTCAAGAGAACCAAAAGAAAGCTCGCAAGGTAAATTGACTGTGTTTGATGGAGAAATTTGGGTTGCATCTCCTTTAAAATGAATAGACCTCGTTTGTATCATGCTTACATGCAACTGTGCTGTGCAAATGCCAAAAGTTGGCAACCTGGGAACATCTGCTTTGACTTAAGGAGGGAAAGCACTTGTCAAGCTTTTATTGTTCCAAATAGATGTTTGAGATGATGGGCAATGCCTGATGAAATCTTGGAAGAAGGGAGGGGAGGGGGCTTGTTGAGCAAGGCTTCCCGTGACTGACGTGTTTTGGTGCTGTGTCAGAGTGCCTTGTTCTTCCTCCCTGTGGCTAGCAGGTGAACGAAAAATATAGCAGGAGCTGCGAGCTCTCTCCCTGGCCATCTGCCTTAACACCTTTTTTGCCTGTTTTCTGCTTTGGGGCTCTGCAGAAGAAGTTCATGATTGCCATCTGCCTGACAGTCACGGTGCTCATCATCGTCGTCATCATTGGTGTATCCATTGCAGTTGGCTAGGAGGGCTCCCAGGTCTGCCTCTCCCTTCGTGCTGCGTTGCTGGAGCCCGATGGTGCGTATAGGGGACAAAGATGCGAGGAACGGTTGCACGTTTGAGGGGAGAGGCATGGTCAACATCTGGGCTTCTAGAGGCTCATGCTCAGAGGTGCCTTATCTCATGCCAAGGCAGGTTCTTCCCTCTGGATTACAAGAGGCTTGCTGTAGCTTCAGTGCACTTTTGCAACAGTCTCTTGCTGCTGTTATATATGGGTGGAGCGTAGTCATTTCCAGCTCTTTCTGACCTGGTCTGCACCACATGACAGAGCTAGAGGTGCTGCCTGCAACTAGTGCTGGCTGAGGAATAAGTCACTGCATCTCAAATGCCTTATGCCTCTTGCAATGGCACCTAGACAGGCTTGGTAGGAGGAGGGAGTGGTGGGAGAGCCATTTTGCTAGGTGAAGGGCTTCAGTTGGGAACTGCAGTGAAGAGTTCTGACTCTGCCCTTTCCTTTCTTGTGAATTTTGGAATTTTCCCTCCTCAGGGCTCCATCTCTGGCTTCATCATGGTTCTGGAACGTCTGCCCTCTCCTGGGAGGCCTTTGCACTGATAGATGGCTGGAGGAGATGCATCCTGCCTTTCGCCCAGTCCTGAAAGCACATGCTGCCTATGGCTGCCTCCTTTCCTGTTGCCCAGAAACAAGAAGCCCCTGATTTCCCTGCATCCAAAATGGTTTCCAGATGCCTGTAACTCTCAAGATCTATTCTAGAGCAAAGTCTCTGCTGCGTTTATTTTGGACCTCCTAGTTTGTTTTGTTTCGTGGCTTGCATTTGGGTCCTGTGTTTCTCCCCCAATGCATTCTGTGGCCTTGACCCACAAGCAAATGGCCAGTTCCTGTCTTGGCCTCCTCCTCAACAGTATCTTCCCTTGCAATGAATTCTAGATGGCTCCTCTTCTTGAGGAACCCCAATTCTCCCATTCTGATCATGACAGCTATGAGTTTTCCTTACCCTTTTTGTAGTTCCTGCCTTCTAAAATCTCCTCTGCCTGTCGTAGTTCTTTATCATGCATCTTGCTACAAGCCATGTCAGTTTTTTAAAGCTTCTCCCTTATCACACAGTATATTGTACATCTTTAAAGGGGACAAATGGATATTGTACAGAACTTGGTGGTGATATGTCTGGTCTTTCATACCCACAAACTCAACACGGTTAGATGTGCCTATGAGGGAAGCAGCATGCAGCTCTGTTAATTTTTTCTAACCTACTGCCTTCGTCCTGACCTTGTTTGTTGGATTTTTAGAGGCCTTTAGTAAGTACATGGGGCCTGTTTCAGCTGAAGCAAAGGGCAGCAAGCCAAGACCTCTGGGTTCACATGGCTAAAATGCCTTTTATTGGTTTCTACAAAGCTGTTTGCCTCCTGCTTTCAGTTTTAAAGTTGACCTTTTTTCCCTGCCTCCTTCATCTGTGTGGCCCTCCTCCCAGCCGCCATGTCCCTGGTGCCTTAGGGGTTGTGTGCTCACAGCCCTTCTGAGCCCTCTGTATTATCTTAATCTTTTCTTTGGGTCTCTTTTCTCTCTTTGTACAATGAAATGAGAGATATTCCCAGTGCCAACCTAAAAAAGTATTGGGACTAAACCACACGAACAATATTTTTGGCTCCCTCAGGAAACCCGATCACAGGCCTCGAATTAGCCACCTGGAAAGCTTGCCCAAGGGGCCAGGGGGAATCAAGATCTTGAAAGGAGTGTTATAGGAAGGAGTAGGAGTCAGAGCCCCTTGGGTTTGTCTGTCTGCAAATCTAGCTGAATTGGGTTGGGAAATCATGGAGAAAATGGAAACCAGGACCTTTTGGCCTTGTTCCTGAAAATTTGATATTTTTCTACTTTGGAAAAAGAGGACTTGTCCAGATCAAAGCATTTAGCAAACTGTTCCAGTTGCCTTGGAGATTGAATGTAAAGAAAAGAAAAGCAGCCTGCCTCAAATTATTTTGTAATATAAAAATAAAAGCACTTTCTAGAATGTCTGCAAAGTTGTGGTTTCATTGTTGTCCCCAATGCGAGAAGCTCCTTCCCCCCATTCTGTCAGTCTTGGATGCCTTTGACTGAACCTGGAGGAAGAGGCTGTGGGAATAACTTGGCAAGGAGTAAGAGTTACGCTTGCATGTACGCTTGAAACCTTTAGTTTTATTAATGCGTCACATATTCCAGGCCTTAGCTGTGAAGTTGTGGAACTTCTGAGACCCTGGAACAAGTTGATTCCAGTTTGACACCTCTCTGCTCGTTTGCATTGTAGCTGTTGTCTCACCCCACAGAAGAAGCCGTAGTTTCAGTAGTGATTCATTGCCACCCCCCTGCTTCTCTTGTAGATGGTAGCCGGCTATGAGTGTGCTTCGCTCCTGGGGCACAGGCAGGAGAGGATACTTCAAGGGATCTTTCTTGAAGAGGGGTCTCAAACTGCGTTTTAAAGTATCACCCCAAGGTACAAGTTTAAATGCCTCTTCCCAATGTAATTCAAGAGCCATTGTAGAGAGCAGCTGTTTTACACTGCTGTGTTCCCCAGAAAGCACCTTGAGTGTGAAGGGAAGATAAACACAGCTAGATACAATCTGCGAAGGAGCCTTGGTTGTGGCTATCAATCTGCGTTTCCCCTTCTCATTTTTACATGCTCACAATGGGAAACACCAGGTTCTACACAGAGGACCCCTCGGACCCAGCAAAGCAATATCACCTTAGTTGCTAACAAACACTTCTTGGCTGAGAAAGATTAAATCCAAAGATACATTCTGAGATAGGGTAGGGAGGAACTTGATGAAAGCATATTCCCCAAACCAGTAATGAAAAGGAACAAAGCAATTTTTCCCCGTCCTGTGCTACTGAGAAGTGTGTTACTTGGCTTCTAACCATAGCTTTTTTTCTGGAGGGATGCAGGGATACACATACCCCTAAACATCTTGTGAATCTAAGTTTGGCCTCACTGAGGGGCAGTATTTCAATATGAGTAGGAAAATGAGAGTACTGTACCCCTAAACATTTTTTTAGAAAGAAAAAAAAAGCACTGCTTCTTAACTATTGGAAACTGGCGCTTCCCAATATCAGCTACTTAATTTTGAGAACTGACTGCTCCTTATGTGGATGGGTTGAGGGGAGAGCTCTTAATAGAAATAGCTAGGACTTTATGTTGGCCAGTAGGGGGCACCATGTCCTTTTTCTTAACTAAATCAAGGAAGGGTGTGTGTGTGTGTGTGTGTGTGTGTGTGTGTGTGTGTGTGAGAATTTATTTGGTGCACTAAAAGAACTTTGAGTTCAGTCATTCTCTGTAAAGTGTAGCATTGGACATAAGCATCCTGAGAACTTCAGCATTTACACACACAGAGACCTGCAAGTTCTAAATGATCACATATTTTTAAAAGGCAATAAGCAGAACAAATTGTCTGTGTAGTGTCCCCTGCGTCCAAGGTCTTGTAGCAAAAGCATAAAGAGAAAATTTGGTCTGAGAAGGAGAGAAGCTTGAGTCTCCCGTCAGCTTCTTCCTCCCCCCACCCCCACCCCACTGCCCTCCCAATTACTTTAAGGTTTCTTTCTACTTGTTTCTTCCGTGGTAAGCTCTGACGTATATTGCTTTCTGCCTCTCTTGCCACTTCCTGCCTCAGCCTCTTACTGAAAAACTGTGGTGTGGGGGGCTAAATTGTGATGTGGACCGTGTGGTCTTTTTGATATTTGTGGCTGAATATTTGGTACAGCGATTTCAAAGAAGATGCAACATGCTTTTCCAGCTGAGATGTAATGTGCTTTCTTGTCAGTCTAATCACTTTTATAACATAAAATATTGTGTGTGAGAGAGACAGAGAGAGAGGTTTGCTGTTCTGCCAAGCATATACAGTGGTACCTCAGGTTAAGTACTTAATTCGTTCCGGAGGTCTGTTCTTAACCTGAAACTGTTCTTAACCTGAAGCACCACTTTAGGTAATGGGGCCACCTGCTGCCGCTGCGCCGCCAGAGCACGATTTCTGTTCTTATCCTGAAGCAAAGTTCTTAACCTGAAGCACTATTTCTCGGTTAGCAGAGTCTGTAACCTGAAGCGTATGTAACCCGAGGTACCACTGTAAACTAGCCCAGACACTTATCCCTGCCCCGAAGCAGTTCAAATCGCCTTCATTTTGCAGAACATATTCTGTGCTTGCCAATCATTGCTGGTTCTAACTCCAGATAGGACTGACTGGTGATAACTCTCTAGTTTTTAACTGATCGTTAGGGTTGTGTGAAATGTGTTAATTGAAGATCTGGCCTCTTTCCAAAGGGCTTTAATGCAGTGCCATTCACTAACGACTCACTTGCCAAAAGAAAAGTGTCTTGCTAGAGAAGTGGCACTAAGATGATGCCACTTAATCTGCCACCCACCCAAACACGTATTTCGTAAGGCAGCGTTTGAGTACATTAAGGCCTAATGACACTTTATAGGCTGTATTCCCCTCACCTTTAGTCCTGTTCCATTAATTCATACACATGCAATAGTGAGAAGGTGCAAGCCTCCCTCCCACCCCAAAGAAACCCATACCAACCTTTTCAATCTTTGCATTTCCTATTCTATACAGTATCTATATGTCCCATCTGTTTGCGGGGGGTGCTGGGGACTGGCAAATGGCCAGAAGCGTCCATCATTAGGAATATCTCACATTTCAGGGGTATACGTGACACCCTCTCCAAAAATTGGCTCTGGCTTGGCTGACCTTGTGAGGTATTCTTGTAATTATCTTAACTCATGAGTAGGCCCATTTAAGTTAACATGACACTCTTGGGCTTGTTCATTTCAGTGGGTCTTCTCTGAGCAGAACTAGCTATGGATACAACTCTAAACCTGGAATTTGGTGATTTGAATGTTAGCAAGTGAGAAGAAAGACAGATTGTGTTTTAGAGATAAGTAGCACATGCAGAAACAACTAATAATAATAAATTTATTATTTGTACCCTGTCCATCTGACTGGGTTGCTTCCAGCATATACAAAAACATAATAAAACATTGAACATTAAAAAACCGGGGTCCTCTAAGCTTGAGGGAGAAATCCATTGGGCCCCCCGTCTCAAGGAGCCCTTTGCTTGACGGTGTCCACTTAGCTATTCCATTGCAACAAGTCACCTACATAGTTCGGCTTCTGAGGGACGTAATCCAAGCAGTAGGGACCTCCTAGAAAGGGACCGCACTCCAAGTGGTATTGGAATTCCAGGCTCCCATGATTAAGGTAACATATTTTATTTTGCGGCTTCCCAGCTTGCAGGGGTTCGTCGCACGACCCCAGCAGGTCGTCATCCCATCTGTTGTCTTCGTCCCAGACCTGTACCCGCAACTTGCTGGTCTCCCCCAAGACTTGGATGTTCCCCACATCCAAGTGGACCTTCCATTCTGGGTTGTCGTTGTTCCATATGGTGGGAGTGCGCATCTCCCTGCCGTTGTAGAAGACCTTGACGAAGGCGTCAGTCCGTGACCAGTAGTCTCCCCACAAGTTCCTGGCGCGCACAATCGTCACCTTCAGCTTGCCCAGGCCTCGCGCCCGTGAGCAGCACATGGCATTGGTGGTGCCGTCACTGGCGCAGACGCACGAGCAGGTGTCCCTGGCACTGCGCCGCGTCCCTGGTGGGCAGGCCTGGGAGCAGTTCCTCCACAGCGCCCGTTCTCTCACGTACTCGCTTACCGCCTGCCGCAAACCCTCTCTCTTGGGGTCCCCCTTGGTCACCAAGGTGTGGATGGGCATCAGGGAGTAGGAGATCAAGCCGGGGATGGATTTGAGGCTTTCCAACCAGTCCTTGAAGGGCTCTGTGCTCTGCCCGTCGCAGAAGAGCACGTCCGCCTGGCTGTTCCCGCCCACAATCTCCGTCTGCCGCTCGCTGTACATCTGGTGGAAAGAGCCCTTGAAATTCCTCTTCTTCTTCAGCTCCTCACACTTCTGGAAGGCGGCGTCCATCTTGACTTTGCCGAGGCTGGCAGCGGCCTCCAGGCTGAGGCAATCCTTGACCTCGTCTGTGGTCGCCCCGTCCAGCGTTGCCTCGCACACACGCACAGCCGTCACGTCCCTCACGCGGCCCCCCAAGTGAATCTGTTGTATGAAATGGGTCCCGTAGGTTTGGATCAGCTGGCGGTATTCCAGCCGGGAGTCAGGCTGGTACTTTTTGGGAAGGGTCTTCACAGCGTATTTGAAATGGCTGCTCTGCGGCAAGTGATGCCCAAGGCGGAAGCTGCAGGGGAAAGGAGGAGGTTATTCAGGGAGCTCCCAGGCAGTCACTGTTTTCCGGTGGGCACTGATGGATTGCAGGCTGGCAAAATTGGGGTGGGGCAAGTTAGGTTGATCTGGAATTCTTGTGGAACAAAACCATTCCCCCCCTCTCCCCGCTCACAAATTGGACAAATAGGAGTGTGGGGTAGCAATTGCTTAAATGTGGCTTCTTGATTTGATTGGCCTGCTTCCAGGCCATGCAGTCAACCCCTCCCACCCATAAGGCAAGGTGAGGAGACCGCCTTAGACGGCAAGATCCACAGGGCCAGCAGATCCAGCTTCCAAGGAATGCATCACTTATGATTGCGGCGGCAATGGTTGCAAAGCACTCCTTGGAGGCTGGATCTGCTGCCTCCTCCAGATGCTACTTCTACAGGGGTCTCTTGGTGAACAGGAGGCGCTGCTGGTCTCTTCCCACCCCAGGGAGGAAATGGTGGGCGCTGCCCTTTGAGATCTCCTGGGCTCTGCACATGGGCATAGCCAAGGGGGGGCAGGGAGGGGCAGCTGCCCCCAATCAATAAAAATACATAGCAAACTGAGGTTCACCCCCTAACAAAAATCCTGGCTACGCCCCTGGCTCTGCACCCATCTGGCTTGATTCAGAGCAGGCCCCTTTCGCCTCTGCAAAGACCCTTGATTCCCACTTCCAGGACTTATTTTCAGCCAGAGCTCACTGGAGCTCATCTCCAGCACCTTTCAGGTGGGTGCCGTTTCCAAGGGAAAAGTTCATGGTGAGCTCTGGCACCACTTTTTCTAGAAAGACAGCACTGTCCACTTCCGCCATTGGGTAAATGATTTGATTCCCTCCCTTGTTCCCAATGTAGATCTTCACTCACCCCAAATGGAGGGGGGCCGTTTTGTGGTTTGCCTCGGGTGCTGAAACGTCTCGGGCTGGCGCTGCCTCCCAGATCTACATTTCCCGGCGCCCTTAACAAATTAGCACGAAAAGCCAGCTACGGCCCTTCGGCCTTTCTCCCTGTCTGCCCCCAAGCCATTCCTCTACCCTGCCTTCCCCCATTCCCTGCCTTTGTCACCTGTAGTGGGAGCAGGAGACCTCATGGCTCGCAAAACTGTACTTGTCCTGAGAGCTCTTCTCCCGGCTGAATTCGGCCATCTTGGAGTGGGATCCTGCCAGAGCCACCCGGGCCAGGGCCTGGGGCTTCACCTCCACCTCCAGCCCTGCCTTCCAGTCGTTCTTCACATCGGATCCTTCTGCCAGGACCAGAGAGATGCCAGACTCCTGCACAGAGGAATGCACGCTCCTTTGGCACGAGGTTTTGGCTTCCCAGTCGACGGCAGCCACCGGGAGCCTCTGGAGTGGCTTCCCCTCCAGCAGGGGGTTCTGGCACAAGGTGCAGCTCCCGTCCGGCCTCTGCCACTGGTTCATATCCAGGACCTTTGCCCCTTTCTTCTCCAGAGTGGTGATGTCGATGCCCTCGCCGGCCAAGCTGTGCCCAGGGACGAAGTCCTTGTGTTCCAGGCATTCATCCTCCGTGGCCTTGTGGCATTGTGGGGAGACGCTGAGGAAGAGGAGGAAGAGGAAGAGGAGAGGCACAGAGGACGCAGGGCTCACTTTCAGCATGGCCGCTCTCTGGGAAGACACCCTGCAACGAGAAAGGAACTGATAACTCGGATCGTCCTGGGATGCAGTGCATGCTTGAAGTTAGTCCATTGCAATGTGGGAAGGAGTGATTCTGAGGAAGGGCTTTGAGGCACTGGCTGCAAACTCACTACCAGGCTAAGTTCAGGGATTTAGTGTACAAAAACCCTATACAATGGGGGACCGGTATACCTGATTTCACCCATAATATACCCAACCAGTCACTGCATTCTGCAGATACCGTCTCATCAGGAGATCTGCTCTGTGTGCTCTCAGAATCAGACACTTCGTGTGGCAGCGTTGCCCTTTGGAACTCCTCGCTACTGCCTAGCAGGCAAAATCTATGGTCTTGTCAGTGCCTATTAAACAGCTTCATTTTCCAACTTTCAAGTGCAGAAACTTTCACCCTGTTTCTGCATTCCATCTACATCTGTATTAAACTTTCTCGCACGTGTCCTTATTGTGCTTCACGAGGGTGTATATGAGAAGTGGTTTGTGTGAAGTTGGAGCCAGTGTGGTGTTGTGGTTTGAGCGCTGGACAAGGAGCAAAAAACCCGAGTTTGAATCCCCACTCAGCCACGAAGTTCGACCTTGGGGAGGTCTTAATCTCTCTGCCTAGCCTACCTCACAGGGTTGTTGAGAGGATAACCTGGGGAAAGGGAGAACCATACAAATGTAATAAAATAACTAAACAATAGGTGATTAACCTGTGGCCTTGAGGTGTTGTTGGACTCCACATCCCATTAGTCCTGGCTATTTTTCTGGAAAAAGGTGCCGCAACTCACCATAAACGTCTTCCTTGTTCTCTTAGAATGGCAATGGCGCTCACCTGAGAGATTCCGGAACTGAGTTCCAATGGGTTCCCACTGAAAAAAAAGCCGTGTGTGTGTGTGTGTGTGTGTATCAGCTCAGCAACTTCACAGCCCTCTTTTCCTTAGGATGCAAAACCTCTCGGCTAACGTGTTTTAGGGTGCTTTTTGGGGGGTGGGGGTGGGCAGAGTCCTCAAAGTTCTTAGTTGCAATAAATGCTTGGAACCAGACTTTGCTGGATTTGGCAAAAAGTGCCACAATTCAGGCCAGGCCAGTTTTTCTGTGATAGGAGACCCCTGTCAGAGGAGCCGTCCCAGTTGTTAACTTGACAAAAGGCAGGAAGAGCAGTCATTGAGAGGAACGAAAGGGGTGGGTGTGATGTCACAAGAAGGTTTTGGGGCCTTTGGCAGGAGGCTTGGAATAGCTGGGAACAAAGGCCAGAGCAAATTTGACAGGAGATGCATGGACTCCTGCGCTGCACTGCTGTGGGGAAAAAGCCCCTCTTGAGATGACCATGCTGTAAGATCTGGACTCTCTCCACGAGGACTGAAGGTGTAAATAGGTGAATAAATTATATTTCTTAAAACTGCGACAGCCTCCGCTATATCTTGATTCTCAATGGAACACAGACCAGAATATTGCCACAGCTCAGCAGGGACTGGAGGTGGCTTCCAACTTTGGCAAGAAAAGTTTCTTGAATTTGATTGCTGAAATGTGTACGTTTGCCAGACTCTGGGACTGAGAATCTTCTTATGTCTAGATGCTACAAGCTACTTGGAGTTTAGGACTGGAGCTGTACGTGGACAGCACACTCATATGAGGTTTAGGAGAGGCTCGGAGAGAATGCAGGCTGCCTTTACACTCTGAGTAAACCACAAAGGGGCACGTTGAAGAAGCCATTGCTTGAGTGCATCCCAGGTTCCCTCCAATTTGGGATTGCAGGAGTAAAGGGGGGGCGGCAGCAACTACCGGAAACTAGGGCTGTTGTGTTGCAGTGGGGCAATGAAGGGGACGTGAGAGGCTTTTCTTGGGCACACCCCACACCCTCCAACATTTCTCCCATGAAAATAGGGACGTCCCATTCCATAATGACAATTCTACTAGTTATACCCCACACATCTTACTGGGTTTCCCCAGCCACTCTGGGCAGCTTCCAACATAGGTAAAAACATAATAAAACATTTTTAAAAACTTCCCTGTACAGGATTGCCTTCATGATTGCTTGGGGGTCGGGTAACTCCAAACCCTTCAAAAAAATTCCAGTGAGAATAGGGACATCCCACCATACCATCCAACAGTTCTCCAATGAAAATAGGGACATGCTAAGGAAAAGCGGGACGTTCTAGGATCAAATCAGAAACCAGGACGGTTTCTCTAAATCAGGGGTGTCCCTGGAAAATAGGGACACCTGGGGGGTCTGCACTCCCAGGTCAAGCAAAGAAAGTCAACAAATAATGGAGGCTACTGATCCAACTTCCTTTCTTCTAATATCCACCCACAAATACCTACCTTCAGAAGGAGAAGGAAAGTCAGCGTGTCGGCTGGTGGGTCCGTGTGTTGCTCGACTGGGGCTGGTGTCTGCGTGCGCATGTATCTGTCTCCCAGAGACAGGATGTCGCAGTTCAGAAAGGGGGAAAAGAAACCTAACCTCAGATGTGACAAGAGTCATTGATCACGAGGCAGCTGAGAAAAGGAGAGCAGGTGGGATTCTGAGGTCAACACTCATCACAAGCCGTTGTGTGTGGGTTAGGAGGTGGGTTGGTTGCTAAAGGAACATTGCAAGTTGGGGGAGAAGGACATCAACATTTACACCTCTGCTAATTTATTTATTCTTATTTGTTGCATTGCTTTTGTCTCATCCTCATTTTAAGCAGCTCTGGGTGTCTGCACCACCTCGCCCTCCCCAACAGCAGCCCTGTGAAATAGGCTAGGCTGAGAGAGAACATGAATGGCTCAAACTCACCTCATGCCCAAGTAGGGATTTTAAACTTTGGTCTCTCGAGACCTGTTCTGATAAACACTAGCCACAGAAAATGTGTGAGAGAACAAAATGCCTTGCAAAAATGACTGTGTCTGCTCACCTTGAGGCTCTTTCTAGTCACCACAGGCAAACAGCTATTTTCAAGGCTGAATTGAACATTTCTGGGTGTATTTCCCTGACCATAGGACAGAGGGAGGGAAGGAGAGAAGTGATGTAGCCCACAGTCAACAGTTTCTGCTTTGCATGCAAAAGTTCCCAGGTTCAGGTTTTTAATGTTTGATGTTATATTATGTATTTATATGTATTGGGAGCAGCCCAGAGGGGCTGAGGCAACCCAGCTAGATATGTGGGGAATAATAATAATAAATAATAATAACAATAATAATAGTAGTAGTAGTAGTTGTTGTTGTTGTTTTGCTCAAGAGGCATACTGAATCTCAATTGGGGCCACCCAAGCCTCTTGTTCTGGCCTCTATATCTCTTTTTAGGCCAGCACCCCTCTCTCCAGGCCGCCGCCACCACCACCCCAGCCCTGTGTGGCTGTATACATAAACTAACCTATGACAGAAAGTGGGAGGGGTATGTTTGTTGCTCACTTTTATCCCAGGCCCCACCCAGTACTGGGACATGGCCCTCAGGAGGTTGCCCAGAAGGGAATGTGGCTCTTGGGCTGCAAATGTTTCCTAGCCAATGGAGAACATTATACTTGATCAGACTGCAGCAGAAAACACCAGATTTTTATATTATCCTTTTAGCTGGAGTTGCTGGGGATTAAGCTCAACAGGGAAGCTGCCTTTTACTGGTCCACTTTGCTTAGTATTGTCAACAGGGAAGCTCTTTGGGGATGCCCAAGGTTGAATCTTGGAGCTTCTGTCTGCAAGGACTGAGCTCTGCTGAGGCTAAAGACAACCTTGCCAGGTCATTCTGCAGGAGAGAGAAATGTCCTGGTGTTGTTGGACTACAACTCCCATCATCCTTCACCCTGGGCCACGCGGGTGGGGACTGAAGGTATCTAATGTGATACGGAAGGGGGGGGCATGTCTTCTTCACCTTCTTCGCTACAATATATCCATTTATTTCCAATTGTCAATGTCAAAAGGGACTAAAATCTATAAAATTCATAGAAAATCAACGTGCCAATTTGCTCAATTTCTCTAGGACTCCATGACACCCCCCTGTCCTCCATAATCCCTCAAGCAAGGTGTCAAGACCCTAATCCTGTCAAATCGCTCTGCCAAGCCCTTCCTCCTGGCGATGCCAGGTGACAGACTATGCATACATGGACCATTGTCTTCTCAGGATGTGCTTATCTGCGCATATCTCCAGCTCTGCATATTCCCCCCTCCCTATGTTAATCCGGTGTAACCCAACCTCTTCCTAATGTATTCGTGATGTAATCTGTGTAACCCAACCTCTTCTTAATGTATTCATGATGTAACTGGGATGTATTTTGCACTGTATTCTGGGACATGGAGGGAAATTTCAAAAGTTCATGTCACCCCTTTCTCGCTGTTCAATCTCGCCTTGAACCTGTTGCACAATAAACTTGGATCTTCTGCAGTTTGCTCCTGTCTCCGGCTGAGCTCATTTTCTTCCGCAGGGACCCGCGGACTTAGTCCGACGAGCTGGGTGGCAGAGTAGCCCCGCACCCAGATTTTACTGTAACAAATGGCAGCTGGAGGGCTGCACCCTGTCGCATCCTCCTGGGTGCAGAGCAGGGGCAGCCAGCGTCCCCCAATGTCCCACTGGCCCCAACGAGCATGGCCAATGATCTGGGGTGATGGGAGTTGTAGTCCATAGCATCTGGAGGGGGCTACATTGGCCACCTCTGGCCCAAAGAGTTGAGGGTTTGGAACGGAGGTCAGGGCCCTGGAACCTTTCTAATCTGCCTTTCTACAGGCAAAGGCTGCACACCTTTAATATCTGCTAAGACTAAGTGAAGGGGCGTGGGTGGCACTGTGGGTTAAACCACAGAGCCTAGGACTTGCCGATCAGAAGGTTGACGGTTCGAATCCCCGTGACGGGGTGAGCTCCCGTTGCTCGGTCCCTGCTCCTGCCCACCTAGCAGTTCGAAAGCCCATCAAAGTGCAAGTAGATAAATAGGTACCGCTCCGGCGGGAAGGTAAATGGCGTTTCCGTGCGCTGCTCTGGTTCACCAGAAGCGGCTTAGTCCTGCTGGCCACATGACCCGGAAGCTGTACGCCGGCTCCCTCAGCCAATAAAGCGAGATGAGCGCCGCAACCCCAGAGTCGGTCACGACTGGACCTAAGGGTCAGGGATCCCTTTACCTTTACCTTTAAGACTAAGTGAACATTCAATAGATGGAGCTGCTCCTACCGCAGAGAAGTATTGCTGGGGGAAGCAGAGAGGTTTAAGGCACATATTTTGCATGGAGTTCTGTCCCACATTCAGTGGGGAGCTGCTGCCTGTTGAAGCAGAGACTGGTCAGACTGGCAGAGCATGTGCTTGGCATGCAGAAGGCTCTGGGTTCAATCCCTGGCAGCTCCAGGATGCGCTAGGAGAAACATCTTTGTCCAAAATCCCCAAAATCTGCTGCCAGTTAGTGTAGACAGTACTGAGATAGATGCACCAATGGTCTGCCTCGGCCTAGGGCAGGATCCTGTGGTCTGACTCAAAGACCCGGCAGCTTTGCCTGCTAAATTTCTGTCTGCTGTGCAGCTGAAAAGACACAGGGCCTCTAGTGAAAACGAAACACCCTAATCTCATCCTGGTCTGGGTTGGCCAAACATCACGAGTGAGAGGCCCCAACCACTGGCCCTGCCATGGGAAGACAATCGCTTTTGACACCTCCTGCCACAGAAAATATGTTAGCAAGCCATTTCACGACTTGACTGCAGGAACCCTGGACCACTAGCCACCCACAGCTGTTCAAGGATGACACACACCAGGGAGGTGAAGCCCAGAAGACACACGGTCTTTGACTACAGGGTCAGGCCTTAATATGTTTGAGGGGTTTTTGTGTGTGTGTTTTAATATTCTGTTGGAAGCTGCCCAGAGTGTCTGGGGGAACCCAGTCAGATGGGAGGCAGATAAATAATAAAATTATTATTCTTATTAACGCCACAATCGCCTGTGAGCAAGAGGCTGCAGGATGTGTTCCACCAGTCAGAGCCACTAACTTCAGACAAGTTAACATGCCCCCGACATACATGAAAAAAGTTGCCCCCCCACGCTGCTCTAGTCAGGGCCAGCACCCGCCGCTCACACACTGCCTGCCCACTTCCTTCCCGCCAATGCACCGTGTGTGTACATTTTGTACAAGCTGTGTGTGTAATTGTTGCCGTATTTCTCCTCCAGCTTCCTTGCCTAAGGCTCCCCTGCCCTTAAGGCACCCCCTGCCCTCGTGTGCTCCCTTCCTTGCCACTCTCCGTGCGATGTTTAAACCCCAACCAAACTGATAAATTTCCCTTCCCCCAGCCAAGCCGCCCAGCAAACCACTTTGTTCCACGAGCAGCTGAGCATTCTGAGCCGTCACAGCAGCCCAGCCAATCAGCAGCAGAGGCTTCGCAGTAACAAGGGCTACGCAATATGGATGGCCTAAGACTGCTGTGCTCCCTGGGAAGGTTTGTAGCAGCCGGCAGGAAAGGAGCAGGACATCTGAATTCCATCCTCAGCTCTGGAAGAGGAGCCAGATTCAGTAGGTCAGGCAAGGGGAGTAAAAAGACTTTGGGGTCCTGTTACCCCATAACCACAACTTGCAAGTCTTATAGGATTGAGCACTTTCTTTTAAAAAAAACCACAAGGCTTTTATTTGATCTGTTCAGACAGCATGACCCGGATTGAGTAGAATTAATTGTCCTGGGAGTTGATAGGGTGGGGGGAGGTTCCTTGCATTCTCCCCCCACCCACTCCCCTAATTTAACTCCACCCCCCCAACCCCAACCCCCCCAGTGTCAGTAAACCAATGGATTGCCACAGATGCGCACACAACCTGACAGCAGGATGGGTCTGCAGGGGGCAGAAGCACACGCACAGACGCAAAAAATATGGACTCCTATTGGTGTGTGTGTGAGGGGGTGTCCGTGTTTTAAAAGCTCATCCACACACCCCAACCTGCCCAGGCACGTCCACCAGGTAGGCAAATGTCTGATGCTGGGGGAAGGGCAGGGCTAGCGAGGGAGCCTAAAGCCACACCGACTTAAGAGGCAAGACTTACGAAGCGCCCATAGCCAAGCCTGCTTCTACAAGGAGAAGAGCTGGAGGAGCAAGAGCTGTGCTCCAAAGGGGAGGCGTCAAAGGAGTGCTAACCACACAGCCTTATGAGGAAGGAGGGAAGAGAGGAAGGGGAAGGGAAGGAGGGGGGAGGAAAGGAAGGAAGGAAGGAAGGAAGGAAGGAAGGACAGACTATGGGGTTCATGAAGGCAGGCCACCATGGTGTGGTGAGGCCATGATACTGGCAAGCCAAGCTGCCCAGTCACACGTCAGGAAAGAAGAGACTGCGCTTAGGAAGGTTCAGTGAGAGGCTCCGGAAGACAGTCTGAGGGAGAATCCTTGTCCGTCTCCATGCCGTCGTCGTTGTGATGGGGGTGGATGTGGGCGGGGAGCAGCTGCTCGTAGGTCGTGATGGTGGCGGTCACCACGGTCTCGTCGGGGCTCCTGTTTTCGGTGGCCGCGTGCGTCTTGAGGTGCTTGCGCAGGTCGGAGGCGCCCAGGAAGGCCTTGGGGCACTGGGGGCAGGCGTGGGGGCGGACCCCGGAGTGGATGCGCTCATGCTTGCGCAGCCCGGCCCGGTCCGAGAACCCCTTGCCGCACTCGGGGCAGGGGAACGGGCGCAGGGAAGGGTGCAGCAGCCGCTCGTGGCGCCGCAGCTCCTGGGCGGAGCCAAAAGCCTCGCCGCACTCCCCGCAAGCGGGCATCACCGTGGCAACCACGATGGCCGCCTGGTCTGTGGCGAGGAGGTCCTGGCTGGCGAGGGGGGCGGGCTTGTCGCCGGCCTCGTTGCCGTGGGTGCGCTCGTGCTTCCTGAGGCTAGACGAGACCACAAAGGCCTTCCCGCAGCGGCCGCACTTGAAGGGCCTCTCCCCGGAGTGGACGCGGTAGTGCTTGGTGAGGCTGGCCCGCTCGGCGAACCTCTTGCCGCACTCGCCGCACTGGTGGGGCCGCTGCCCCGAGTGCACCAGCAGGTGGCGCTTGAGGTCCCACGAGGCCACGAAGCTCTTGTCGCACTGGGGGCACTTGTGGGGCCTCTCGCCCGTGTGGATGCGCTGGTGCATGGCAAGGTCGGCCGGCTGGCGGAAGGCCTTGCCGCACTTGTCGCAGGCGTAGGGCTTGAGGCCCTGGTGCGCCCGCTGGTGCCGCCGGAAGCTGGAGGGGTCGCTGAACATGCGCCCACACTGTGGGCACAGGAAGGGCTTCTCCCCGGAGTGCGTGCGCTGGTGGCTCTGGAAGGAGGAGAGCTGCGTGAAGCCCTTGCCGCACAGGCTGCAGCGGTAGGGCTTGTGGGCCGCGTGGATGCGCTGGTGGCAGGCCAGCGACGACGAGCGCGAGAAGGCCTTGCCGCAGTCCTGGCACAGGAAGGGCCGCTCGCCCGTGTGCGAGCGCTCGTGGTTCTTCAGGTCCTTGAGCTCGGCGTAGGTCTTGTGGCACGCCTGGCACTGGTAGGGGCGCAGCCCAGCGTGGGTGCGGCGGTGCTTGCGGAAGACCGAGGGGTCGGCGAAGCGCTTGCCGCACTCGCCGCACGAGTAGGGCTTCTCGCCCGTGTGGGAGCGCTGGTGGATCTTCAGCTTGGAGAGCGTGCCATAGCCCTTGTGGCACTGCTGGCAGCGGAAGGGGAGGTCCCCCGTGTGGCGGGCCATGTGCACCCGCAGGCAGACCGGCTGCATGAAGGCCTTGCCGCACTCGTGGCACACAAAGGGCTTTTCGCCGCTGTGGCTGCGCCCGTGGTTGCGCAGCTCGGGCGCCGTCTTGTAGGCCTTGGCGCACAGCTGGCACTGGAAGGGGCGCTCCGTCTGGTGGCTGAGCTGGTGCTTGCGGAGCTGCCCGCGGTCGGGGAACTCCTTCCTGCAGCTGGGGCAGGACAGCTTGCCGGCCAAGCCAGTGCCAGCCGCATGGGACTTCAGGTGGCGCTGGACGCGGGGCGCATTCGGAAAGGTCTTGCTGCACGTCAGGCACTTGTAGCGCCGGCCGGATTGGATGTAGCCGGGCTCGTCCTCCTCATCGTCCTCCAGCTTCACCTCCACCCCTGACTCCTCCTCCTCCACAGCCTCCGCCATTTTGGGAGAGGTCTCTGCCTGAAACAAAACAAGCAGAAGGAAGCTCAAAGTTGGGAGGCAGCAATGCTTCCGAATATTTGTTTGTTGGTTTGATTTGTACACTGCCCTTCCACCGTAGATCTCAGGGTGGTTGGCAACATAAGAATACAAGATAAAAACACAAAAAACATTGTAAAAACCAAGAACAAAAAACCCACAAGCCAATAAACCGCCCTGCGCCAAGCCCATCTAAAAGAGTAAAGGATGTCAATGTGCCAAAGGCCTGCTTGAAGAGGAGTTTTCACCTGGCGCCCAAAGTCGTATAATGAAGGTGCCAGGCGAGCCTCCCTAGGGAGAGCATTCCACAAATGGGGAGCCACTGCAGAAAAGACCAGCTCTTGTATTGCCACCCTCCGGACCTCTCCTGGAGGAGGCACACGAAGAAGGGCCTGAGACGATGACCACAGGAACCAGGTTGGTTCATATGGAGAGAGGCGGTCTCATCTCCTGAAGTATGACCGCTGAATTCTGCACCAGCTGAAGTTTCCAAGCCGTCTTCAGAGCCTTCAGAGTATGTATACAGTATGTACGTCTTCAGAGTATGTATAACACATTGCAGAACCTCAAGGTTACCAGAGCATAGACAAGAGTAGTTGGGTTGTCCCTGTCTGGGTAGGGGCACAGCTGGGCCACCAGCCTAAGCTGATGGAAGGCACTCCAGGCCATTGAGGCCGCCTGAGCCTCAAATGACAGCAAAGGATCCAGGATCACCCCCAAGCTGAATACCAGTTGCTGGAAACCACAGGAGGGGAGAGTGTTCTTGTGCTCAAATTCTGGTCCCAGGTTTCCCCCAGGTACCTGGTTGGCTGGATTAGATGGGCCATCGGCCTGATCCTGCAGGACTCTTCTTCAACACTGTGCTCCCACAACCATGAAGAAGAGCCCAGCTGAATCATGCCTACCTAGTCCAGTCCTTCCTAGTTCTCACGGTGGCCAACCAGATGCCTGCAAAGGGGACTTGAGAGCAACAGGAACTCTCCCCACTTGCAATTCCCAAGAAGCAACCGACAGCTGCCTGCATAAAGGGTTCTGCCAATCTCTTCATGAGGTCTAGTGGCCTGTTGGAGCTAGCTCCTTCACTAACACCGCAGCATCGCCCACAGGCCCTAAGTGATGGGGAGGTGGGCCTAGAGCAGGCATAGCCAACCTTCGGCCCTCCTGATGTTTTGGACTACAATTCCCATCATCCCTGACCACTGGTCCTGCTAGCTAAGGATCATGGGAGTTGTAGGCCAAAACATCTGGAGGGCTAAAGGTTGCCTATGCCTGGCCTAGAGTCATCCTTCCCTCTTCTAGTCACAAGACAGCAACTGCTTGATAGATAGATGCAGGAGAAGCAGAGCCACAAGTTCTGGGTTGTAGAGAAGAAATATAGTGCAAGCAAACTGAGTCAGGGCTCATCAGCACTCAGCCCTTAAATAATCATTGGTACGGCTGGGGAGTTGATTGCCCAACCTCATGGGGTTAGATTTGCCATAGAAGAGGGACTGCATGGAGGCAGGGGGAAATCCCGAGTGCTGCTGTAAATGAATTAAAGATTTGTGGTCTAAGGCTGGAAGGGTAAAACTCATCAACCAAACAAAAATAAATTGAATGCATCCAGTAAAAACCAGACAATAATAAGCATGTAGGTGGAAGATATTTATTCCATGGAGCTAAATGGTACAGCATTTTTTTTTTGGGGGGGGGGAATAACATATATTCTGTTTAATATATATGCAAGTTGTTTGTGTTGTGAGTGGGACCTATAGCTGCTGGTGTCACTGGGGCCTGGGCTCTGAGAAGCCACGCTTATCTATGAACCTAGGAAGGGACGGGGTTTTGGAATGCAGAAATTCCCTTAGCGCAAGGGAGACTCTGCTCTGCAGGCAGTTTGCAAGGCGCATGCAACTAAACACAACCACCACCACCAAAATTCTCCCTGCCTTATGCAGAATAGTTGCAAAATGGCTATCTGGGGTACAGGGACCCATATTAGTCCCCCAGGAGGGAAGGAAAAGGACAGCTGGTAGGAACAGAGTTCAAAATCCAGACAGGAGAGTATGTTTGGGGTGGGGAAGGGGTGGAAATGATACGTTTCTCTGCTCAACAAAGACAGATCGTGGAGGAATTTTGCTTGCCTCCCCCAGAGCTGGGATGGTGCTCTTTGCAAAATGGCTGGATTAAGATCTGGGGATGGGGGCAGGGAGAGGATAAAGGGAGGAGAAAACAGCTAAAATGCATCTTTATGGAAGATGGAAGAACAATTCCAGAGGAAAATAAAAAAATAATCATAAGCTCCATCCACAATTCTCTTTCCGGTGGAGTTCCTGAGATTTGCAAAGGCAATCAGAGATGTATACACAGGAAGAATTCTATTCCCTTTGTATGGGCTGAAGTCCTGGGATGTAAAATGGCTGTCTCTAAGACCCCAGCGAGGGAAAGGCAACAAAGGTTTGCAAACCATGGAGAGGAGTTTGCAGAGGAGAGAGACTGGCTGGACAATAGAATCTGCAAGAGAAAGTCTTTCCCCTCTCCCCAGGGCATAATCTGAGCTAAGGAACCCACTTCAAAGGTTGGTACAAAGAGTGCCTCTGAGCACATCTGGAATGCCCATTTCACACTACAGGACCACAGCCAGCCTTCGTACATCTGGGAGCAGAAGTGAAGCTTTCCTAGGCAGAAGGTACAGGCTTCTCATCCGAAGAGTCAAGGCACCTGTCCTTTCATTAAAAAAATAGCTGCCGCTCAATGCCTAAACCCTCAAAATAAAGGTTTGACGTGGAAGCAAAAGAAATGCATTATGTAAATTGACCTGAATATAGGGAAGAAAGCTAGATGCTTCCTAGATTACAGATTTGAGGGAGGCTGGAGAGACAAACACTTTGAAGTTGCAGTGATCTATTTGGAACCCAATTTGAAGCGGAGACGATCTGATTCAGCATAAATCCAGAATGTCTCTATTTACCAAAATAATTCCTATTTCTGAGTCCCCATTCCCTGGTTAAAAACTGTTTGCGGGAAGGGAAGGGGGAGAAGAGGAGAGTGGGGTCTCTAGAAGATAAAGCTTCAAATTGGGTAGGTGGGGGGCGCTATGGCTATATTTGCATGTACACAACTTTGCTTACATCCCCATCACCACCTACGGAGGTCGTCATTACAGTGGAACGTACTTGGGGATTGCCGCTATTCCATATACTAATGTAAGCACTGTGAGATTAAACGATATTTTGAAACACCCACAAGGGTTTGTCCCTCCTTTTAACGTGAACTACTCTCTTATGCTCATATGGAAATCGTCGGGCAAAAGACTCTCTCCGTGTTCATCTGTAAAATGCGGGATGGAGGGGTTCTAGTTAAGAAAACAAAACCTTCGGAGAGCTAGAGCTGCCCATCCATCTACTTTTTTTTTTATAGCAAAATGCTCTCGCAGATGGACAGATCTGTTGCAGAAACTGCTCTCCTAAAAGACAGCCTTTGCAAAGGAATTCCCACCTCCCTGGCGTAATATAGATTCCAGCACGCGTTTGCGCGTCTGCCGGGAGAGCAATTGCTAGCAGATGTTTGCCGCTGGATGCTCGGGGGGCCAGGAGAGCAACCCAGAGACGCACAAAAGGTTTGCTCCGGCCGAAGAGCCTCCCTTGCAAAATGGCTGTCTCTAGGACCGAGGGACCAACAAACAAAAAGAGGAGGAGGAGGGAGGAGGAGAAGCCCGCATCTCCCTTGCTTCCCCGCTCCCCACACAAAGCAAAAGGCTCTCAGCCCCCCACCCCACCACCCAGGCCCCCTCTCAGGCTCCGCGATGCCCGGGCAGGTCCCGGCAGCGCCTGGCACCCGAGCCAGAAACGCATCTCCGGAGAATCCCCGGCAAAATGGCTGTCTTTAGGACCAGGGGAGGTGGCCATCTGGGCGCAAGGAGGGGGAGCAGGGTCCAACGCCAGGCGATGCACCAGGACCGATCTGCTTTTTATTTATTAATTTTTTATCGTTTTTAAAAATGCATTATTAAATAGAAAGAAGACATTAAGTCAAGGCCAAGGAAGGCTGCCCCAGCCTGCATTTCTTGCTCTCTCCTTACCTGCTCTCTCCTTTGTCTATTCGCTTTCTCCTTCGTCTGCGGCTCCATCGGGAGGAGGAGAAAAAGGAGGAGCGCTAGGACCCCGGAGGAAACGGAGGCAGAAAGGGGAGGACCGCCGGGGGGGGCCAGGAATTGCTACTTAGCCCAAGTCCCGTTGACTACGCCGGGCAGGGATTCGGCTCCCATCTCTGCTTCAGCCTAAATCAAATAATTGCATTTTATATCCAGGGCGGAGGCCTTTTAAGCAGCTTCGTTGGATTGCAAGGGACGGGGCGGGGTGCGAGAGCGGACAGGAAGTGTGGCATGGCCGAGGATGCAGCAGGGAAGGGGTTCGGAATGCACGGGGGCCGGAAGTGTGGCATCGGAAAGCGGGGCGAAGTTTCGTGACGGACAGAAGTGTGGCGGGGAAGGGTTTGGCCGTTACACCGAGGGGAGTGTGGCGTTCCCCGATAACTTTTGACCCCGCTCCTTTTATAAAAAGAAAATCCCTGGTTCCAAATTTGGGGTCGTTCTGCTTTTCAGTTGCGTTGGCCGGAGACGCATCCTGGAATGGCAAGGGGATGAGATTTGCTGCGGTTGCAATGCGGTCTTCTCTATGGCTTCGGAAGCACGGAACTAAATATACGTTCCGAGTGGAACTGTTGTTGTTGGGACCTGTATCTCTGTAACACACCACATGAGGCGGCCGTAGGGAAAGCAGAAAGGCGCGAGCGGGAAACTTTCTGCGAAATCGAAGCCTCCCTTTGTGTCCGCGTTCTCTTCTCCAGCAGCGGTGGCGAAACTCTTCTATCGGAATCTCTATGGCGAACGAAACCGCTCTATACTTTGCAATGCAAGAGCGGAACCACCGTTGAAACTTCGACAGGAAGTTCCGGTTAGGTCTCATAGAGATGCCAAAAGTGCAGAGCCGTACGCTATATCCGTTATAATGTAACGACGAGCTAATATCCAGCTCAGGGTTAGAAGATAGTTTTCATCTCGGAGATGCCGAGATCTACAGCGACGCCACTCAGCGCCCACAGAAGACCAATAGTTTGCCGTAGCTCCTCCTTTTTGCTTACCCGATTATCACTCTGTCATTTCTTTTTCGAGGGAGTATCTCTCTGCCTGCGTGCCAAGTTCTGAAGGGGGAAGACTTTGGGCGTTACACCTCTCCTCTCTTCACCGCAGGCGGTAGAAACTCGCCGGAAGTGGAGCCCCATCTTGATTGGCGGGGGAGAGCTTTGGCGGGTGCACATTTCCTGTTTCCTAGCAACAAAAGGAAGTATTTGTTGTTGCCCCAGTCTCTGTGACTTCTTCAAATCCAAATCCTCGGCTCTCAAGGAAGGAGGTTTGCTGGAGTGCCGGCCCCTTCGAGTGAGGCGCATCGGGGAGAAGTAGGGGGCGCCTGAAGGGCCAGCTTTTGCTCTCGGGGGCTCCAGAGGGGCTGGGCAGCAGCAGGAGTTCCCCTCCCACGTTTCGCTTCTCCTCGCTTGCCTCCAGTAAACTCGCCCATCGCCCCTTGGGAGGACGAGGAAGAGAACGGTGTGCGTTTGTCTTCCAGGAAACTGAGGCAACTACGTGGGGCGTCTCTTCTACCTCATGGCTGGATCCTGAGTGGACTCTGGAGTTCTTCTGCTTGTCCCCTACAGCTGGAAGAAGAAGACCTGGCACCCCAGATCCTCAGCCTGCACCCAGAATCCCCGGGGGTTTGCTGCCTTCTCCCTTTCCTGAAGTATAATTGCTGACCACTGCCTCTCCCCGCGACCTCGCAGGTCCAGCCTCCCTGGGACCTTTCATCCGTCATGCCTTAGAGGTCCTGGAGTACAGACAGATGCTAGCTGCTCTCCGCTGACTCCTGGGTGATCTAGGTGTCAAATCTCCCCACAAAATGCTGCCTCTCTGCTGGAGCGTGTGGTTTGAACTCTTATGAAACAATGTTTTGATATCTCCATCTGGGGACCTGCAGTACTTGAAACTACCTGATGTGAAGAGCCTGAGATTTCCATCTGTACTTCTAAGTTTGGTATTCAGACCCATTGTGAATCTGGAATCTCTACTTGAACATAACATTTTGAGGTCTGAATACTAGTCCCTGTACGCTCAAGGTACTTGTTCCATTAATCTGTCCTGAACTGAAAATCGGACTCTTCTGCATCCTGAAGATCTGTACATTTCCCTTTCCTTATGGAAAATCCAAGCAATATATTTAGTGGCTTAAACCATGTGAAACTACCTGTCCCAAGTTAGAAAAGTTACTTCCCAATCTTGTATTATTTTTATTGTAAGCACAGTTCAACATGCCAGTCTCCTGGACTTTATACCCTGCCTTCTGTTTACTTCTCATGTTAGAGAAGTTCGGTGCTCAGCTGGGATGCTCAGTGTGATCTGAGAGGTAAGAAAGCAACCTTCTTTGTAAATGTGTCTGGAGTCCTACACTTTAACCTTTGTGTGACCTATCCTTGTATTTGCAAAAACAGCTTATCTGTTTGTGCAGTCTGCAGAAAGGTATGTTTAAAAGGCAGTTTTTGGCTCGACGTGCTTTACTGCACCCCTGGATAAAATCTCCCATCTTCACCATTCTGCTTTCAGAATGGAAAACACCTAGCACATTACTCAACCTCACTACTTTCCTAAGAGAGATGGGGATAGAGTCCTGGATTGCCAGAGCCTGTTTGTTTGGATCCATTATAGTTCTGTTATGTGAAGACAGGAAGGCCAGATCCTAACCTCCTCTGCCCCACATGAGCCCATAACAGGTCACTCCTTAAGTGACAAATTCAAAGGAAATAGTTGGAGTAGCCTGGCTTGGAAGATTTGCTGTCCAGCTTCAATCAGAACATGGCTGCAAAGGAAAAATGTTCCTTTGATTCCTTGGCCTGAATTCAGCTGTTCTTCCCTTTAACTGCAGCTTGAACTTTCCCTTGCCTGACGTCATGTCAGACCTTGGAATGTGGTTTGCCCAAAGCAATCTGGAAGGCCAGCCTCTGTGGCCATGAGCCTAATTAGGCGATTTCTCACTATTGTGGAATTCCAGAGTAGTCTGTCTCTGTACCTGAAGGCTCCACATAGCTGTTTTACAACTAAAAGCTATTGCTGCCCTTTTCTCTGTGAATACACCCGGGCTTTCTCTTCTCCCCCCCCCCCCAAAAGGTCTAGGTAAGTTTCTCTCTCTACACAGAATCATAGAAGTAGAGTTGGAAGGGAACCTGAGGATTGTCTAGTCCCAACTCGCTGCAATGCAGGAATATGCAGCTTGGCCCATACGGGGATCAAACCCACGACCTTGGCATTATCAGCACCACAATTTAAGCAACTGAGCTGACTGCAGCAGTGGGTTTCATCAGGTGGCAATGGCTGCCTTTGGATAGCATGGTAGAAATCCTCTTGGTCAACTCCTGCCTGCAACTGTCCCGACCCTTTATTAACTGGATGGGAGGCGAGCTAAAGAATTTCCATCATGTGAAACAAATGCTCCTTTCAGCCACCTCCCTGTCACAATAGTTGTACACCTCTACCCGCCCCAGTTTGGTTGTGAGGATGAGATCGAGACATGAAATGATTGAGTACACCTATGCCTTGCCTTTCCATAAAAGATGTCCATAGCACCTTTCGCTTCTGTTTTTCAGAAAACTATAGTTTAGTGTTTTGTCTGAATTCTAAACTGTGGTTACCCATGGCCGGAAGCTGGTTTTTTTCAAACAAATCATAGTTAAATTAACCCACATTTTGGGGGGGCTTTGACAGTGCAACAAGCTTTGATTAATGAAAATTAAAAGTGAGAGTTTGCAAACTCCTCCTTGTGACCGTGTTAGACAAATGAGGGGCAAGGGAGTGCCAGAGACCTATGTTCTGTCACAATAAGCCATGCTTTACAATGACATCCAAGTGCAGCCAACATGTAAAGAATTGGAGAATCCTGCTAGTAGAGTTTCAGGAATCCTGCATGGGAACACTTTTCTCAAGCGACTGGTAATCAGTGGTGTACTGCCTTCAAATATAAAGGCTTCGTTCGTTTTAATAATAAATAAAAGTCCAAAGCTTTCAGGATGCTGAATTCTGCTCTTTGTATCACTTTCTGTAACTGCAATGTGAAGTTACAGTAGCCCAATAAAGGCGGCCACAAAATTTGCCATTTTTAAAAATTAGCCTGCATTTCTGTGTACTATATACAGTGGTACTTTGGTTCTCGAATGGCTTAGTTGCCCAAAAAATTGGCTCTTGGACGCTGCAAACCGGGAAGTGAGTGTTCCGGTTTGCGAACGTTTTTTGGAAGCCGAACGTCTGATGCAGCTTCCGCTTGAGTGCAGGAAGCTCCTGCAGCCAATCGGAAACCGCGCCTTGGTTTTAGAACAGTTTCGGGAGTCGAATGGACTCCCGGAACAGATTAAGTTGGAGAACCAAGGTCCTACTGTATTGTAAACTGCCCTGTAATCCTCAGATGAACAGCGGTATAGAAATTTAACTAACTAACTAAATTTCCACACTGGCCACAGAAGACCCCCTTCTTTATGGCTATCATGAAAAGTAGCCTGTTACCAGGTTTGGTTAAAAAAAGAGAGAAGCCTTTTAGTAAACAGGCTAATAAAGGAGGAAGGGGGTGGTCGGTTCCTCACCCTTTGCCACCCTGTGATGTTTCTGTGCTTCTTACGGAGGCAGAGACTTCCTATCCCCTATGGCAGAAGGGAGAGGGTGTCCTCTGTTTCCTCTAGCAGCGCCCTTCCTCACCTGTATGAAATTAAATGCTGAATACAAGGTAGATTTGCAGACCTAGACCCATATGAAGAGACTTGCTGGACCACCTATTCCAGCATCTATTCTTCTTATTACCTGCTCTTCACCAGCAGGTCCCATTGGCAGGTTACAACAATTTAAAATTCAGTTATTAATAACAGCTAAAACAAATTCCAGCCACAGGAATAGGGTGGGTCCTGAAAAACACGCATCTCAGGTGTCAAAGGCCAGGGCAAAGAGGTGTGTCTTTAGCTTTTGCCTGCAGCTATATAGCACAAGTGCATTTCTGTCGGGGAGGGAGTTCCACATCTAGTCCAGCATCCTGTTCTCTCACAGTGGCCGACCAGATGGCTAAGGGAATTTGTATATTCATAGCACCAGAAGGCGAAGTTCTTCTGACATTTTGAGCCACACCAGTGCTGGATTTGAGGGGACCCTGAGAAAAGTACCCATTAGCGGGCTGCCCAGGAAGCCATTTAAGTTTCCCAGTGGTCTCCTGGAATGCTGTTATGGGTGGACATACTGGGAAATCAAAGTGGGGGCTCGAAGATTAATATATTTTTTTTTAATGGGAGACCCAGAGCAGCCTTATCAGTTGCCTGAGGACATTGGGTGCTGATATCAGCCCTGGCCAAAGTGAGTCTCTTGCACTGAAACATGGATCACTTGCGTTTCTTAAGCTGTCTCGTTGAGTCTCACCATTGGCCTGCCTGCTTAGGCACATAGGCTGATTGTGCTCGGATCTGACTGTTGATCAGTCTACCCCAGTGGGGTCTGCTCTGATTGGCAGCTACTCTCTGGGATCTTGGGATATCTTTCCCTATACTGTTGGATCCTTAAACAAACAAACAAACAAAATCCACAAAACTGGAGCCATTGGGGAATTGAAGCTGAGACCTCCTGCTTTGAAAGATTAGTTCTGCAGGTACCACAGAGCTATGGCCCCTCGCCGTCTGTGTAGACCAGGCATGGGCAGCTTGAACCCACCCACATGTTTTGAAGTCTATCTCCCCTCAACCCCATCCAATGGGCAGGGAGAATGGGAGTTGTTGTCCAACGACATCTAGAGCAGTGTTCCCCAACCTTGGGCCTCCAGCTGTTTTTGGACTACAACTCCCATCATCCCTCGCTAGCAAGACCAGTGGTCAAGGATGATGGGAATTGTAGTCCAAAAACAGCTGGAGGCCCAAGGTTGGGGAACACTGATCTAGAGGACCACAGGCTCCCAGTCCCTGGTGTAGACTACTGCAATCTTCCCCAGCCTGGTGCCCCTCCAGATTTTTTTGGGATGACAGCTGCCATCAGCACCAGAGAGCAAATCGGAGGGCCAAGACGTGTTTCCTAGGCAAATCCCAGAAGCATGTACTATAAGGCATCAACTTGTGCCACCGCAAGGAGGGTTGGGAGGAATCATCTAGGCCAGAGGTTTTGAACCTTTTTGAGTCCATGGCTTCCTTGACGAACTACATCCTTTCTGCAGCACCCTTTTGGGCTCAGGAGTCCAGCTATATCACCCCTTGCCTGTAAAGCTGAGAGCCTCTCACCCTTTCTTGAAGACCTTCCCTTGTGGATTGTTCCCACAGCCTCTTCTCCACTCCTCTCCTTGGGAGTCCTCTGGGCAGCTGCAGCTGCTGCCCCTGGTCTCTGAGCTGCCTCCCCTGCCTGTCAACCTCCCACTTGTCCGTCCATTCCCAACAGCAAGAGCTGGTGGACTGGCTGGCTGGGCTTTCTCACCCGTTTGCTTGCTTACTCTGAGGCTACCTCAGCAACCATTCACCTGGGGAGCTTGTAGCCAGGGCTGCCACAAAATACAGCTTTGCAAGCCTTTCAGAGGCAGAGATACGAGAGGGCATCAGAGGAGGGAAGGAAAGAGGGACAGAGGCCAGTGTTGCTTGTGGCACCCCTGACCATCCTTCAAGGCACCCCAGGGTGCCATGGCACACGGGTTGAAAACCACTGATCTAGGTTGATGTAGGCATATCTGATCTGCAGGATATGTGCTATTTCCCCACTTTTCTGGTTGCAGTGAACCTCAACCAGGTTTTCTCATTCTGTTCTTGCCTTGTATCCGTAGGTTTTGGCTTCTGAGCGCTTGGGGGAGAAAAACGGGACCTCGAGACCACACTATGGGACCGTGCTGCATCCCAGAGCACCCAGGGCTTCCGCTTTAAAGAAGTGGGCAGGGCACCGCCTTCTTATGTGAGCAATGGCCGAGGGGGACGCCGCCCTGACCTGCGAGCCGCCCGCCAGCGGGCAGGAGGAGCGTCCGTACAAGTGCAAGCAGTGCCCGCGGAGCTACCGCCACGCCGGCAGCCTGGTGAACCACCGGCGCACCCACGAGGTGGGCCTCTTCTGCTGCCTGCTGTGCCACAAGGACTTCTCCAACCCCATGGCTCTCAAGAGCCACCTGCGCACCCACACCGAGGAGAAGCGCTACAAGTGCCGGGACTGTGGGCGCAGCTTCCGGGCCTTCTCCCAGCTTACTGGCCACCACTGCCTGGCTCGTGCCACCCGGGACCAGGAGGGGGAAGAGGGCTGCAACGGCGGGAGCTACACCTTCCAGAGGGGCCAGGACACATCTTCGTCGGACGCTGATACCTTTTCCGGGATGGAAGGCAGCAGCGGGAGCTTGCTGAGCAACCTAGAGAAGTACATCGCCGAGTCGGTGGTGCCGGCTGACTTTTCTCAGCTGGAGTTCCCTATCCGGGGGGAACAGGAGGCAGAGGAGCCACTCCCGATGGAGGAGGAGGAGGAGGAGGAAGAGGCAGGGCTCCAGGCCGCTGCTTCAGACGAGCGCCGCTTCAAGTGCAACCAGTGCGACAAAGCCTACAAGCACGCTGGCAGCCTGACCAACCACAAGCAGAGCCACACGCTGGGCGTGTACCAGTGCGGCATGTGCCACAAGGAGTTCTCCAACCTCATGGCTCTCAAGAGCCACACTCGCCTCCACTCGGAGTACCGGCCCTACAAGTGCCGCTTCTGCCACAAGGCCTTCCGGCTCCCCTCCGAACTGCTGAGCCACCAGAAAGCCCACGACGAGGACCCGAGCCAGGCAGAGAGCCTGCCGGCCTGGGAAGGCTCGGAGCAGGGCGTGTGGGAGGAGGACTCCATAGAGACCTCAGCGAAGCTGGACATCTACCAGCCTCCGCCGGCAGGAACAACACACTTTGGAGACGGCGTCCCCTGCAGCCTGAAAGACGCTTCCAAAGCAGGGGGCGGCGAGCGCTGCAACCCGGACGGGGAGCTTTGCGTCCGCTGCGGTGGAGCTTTTGCCAACGATGAGGAGCTGAAGGGGCACAGCTGCCTCTATCCGGAGGAAGCTGACGAAGAGGAGGAGGAGGAAGGCAGCAGTCCATTGCTACCGGCGCCCGGCTCCAATGGAGCCTGGGAAGCGAGTTTGAAAGGGGAGGGCGGCTATGCCGCGTTCGAGGAGCGGCCCTTCCGCTGTGGCGATTGTGGCAGGACTTACCGGCACGCGGGGAGCCTCATCAATCACAAGAAGAGCCACCAAACCGGGGTGTACAGCTGCAGCGTCTGCTCAAAGCAGCTGTACAACTTGGCCGCCTTGAAAAACCACTTGCGGGTCCACCTCAAGTCCAAGCTTGGTTCGTCGGCTCCGGAAGAGGCCTCCCAGCACGCAGCTGGCCTCCCAGGCCCGCCGAGACTGGAAGACAGTTCCACGGACTGCCATCCACAGCCACCAGAAGCCTGGAGAGGAGCCTCCTGTCCAAAGGAAGAGGAGGAAAGAGGCGCCGGAGATGAAGAGCGGCCGTACCGGTGCACGGACTGTGGGAGGAGTTACCGGCACCGCGGCAGCCTTGTGAACCACCGCCACACCCACCAGACCGGGGTCTTCCAGTGCTCCATCTGCCCCAAGCAGTACTCCAACCTCATGGCGCTCCGGAATCACGTCCGCGTGCATCTGCGGGCAGCCCGCCTGCGCGGCCGGGAGCAAGGGGGTGGCTTGACATGCAGCAGCTGTGGGGAGAGCTTCGAGGAGGAGGCTGAGTTCCAGCTCCATCAACTACGCCACCTGCCATGTACGGAAGACATAGAGGTGGCGGCAATCCCCAGACTGGGGATCTTTCTCCCGCAGGAAGCTGATCTCCTCCAGGCTATCAGGCAGGATGTGGAAGCTCTGGAGAACGGGACGGCTGTTGTCGAGGACGTCCTGCCTTCTTCTGAGATGGCGCATGCCTGCCCCCAGTGTGGGATGACCTTTGCCAGCGTGGACGGACTGCAGAACCACACCCTCCAGCACAGGAGCGAAGGGGAGTGGTCCGAAGGGACAGCCGAAAGGCCCGAATCGCCCATCCAGCGGCTCTATGGGTGCGATCAGTGCGGCAAGTCGTACCGGCACTCAGGGAGCCTCATCAACCACAAGCAGACTCACCAGACAGGCGACTTCAGCTGCTCGCTTTGCGGGAAGCACTTCCAGAATGTCGCCTCCCTGAAGAGCCACTTGCGTGGGCATCAGAGGCCTCGGAGGGGACCATCGGGGGTTGCCGTGGCTACAAACGAGGAGGAGGATGCTGAAGATGGAGCCACTGTGCCTGGGGCGTTGTTCTCAGGTGACGAATTCCAAGACACCTACAGCATTCTAGAAGAAGGCGCTGCCATGAACGGCTGGCCGTCCCAATCGGAAGCCCCCTCGCCATTGCGTGGCGACGTTGAGGTGCTCCCCTACCTCTGCGAGCAGTGTGGGCTCGGCTTCAACCAGGTGAGCAGCTTGATGAGTCATAAGGAAACCCACCAGCTTGGCATCTACCAGTGCTCCCTCTGCCCCAAGGAGTATCCCAGTCTTCTGGCTTTGAAAAACCACTTCCATGGTCACACCAAAGCCACAGCGTCTGGCTGGGGCAGCCCTGGTGGGGATGGCAGCACCGAAGAGCAGCCCTTTCTCTGCAGCCTCTGTGGCATGATCTTCCCCAGCGAGGAGGACCTCGAGCGCCATCACAGCCTCCTGCACGAAGAGGGCGAACAACAGGGGGAGGAGCAGGAGGCGGTGCTCGAAAGAGAGGCGGGCGAACGGCTGGACAGGGCAGGTGACCAGGAAGAGGAGCAGCTCCTCTCTCACATCTGCGGCTATTGCGGCCAGACGTTTGACGATATGGCCAGCTTGGAAGAACACAGCGAGGGGCACCAGGAGGAGAAGGCCGCCGCCTTGGCTGACACTTCGATCCAGCTCCGACGAGCCCCACGCCTGGAGGAGGAACAGGAGCCTCCGCCCCCAACAGAAGCGCCGGCTACTGCCATCGAACCCCTGGACAGCCGGCCTTACGCCTGCGGCCAGTGCGGCAAAACTTACCGGCACGGCGGCAGCTTGGTCAATCACAAGAAGATCCACCAGATTGGAGATTACCAGTGTGGCTTCTGCTGCCGGCAATACCCCAATCTGTCTGCCTACCGGAACCACCTCCGGAACCACCCGAGATGTAAGCTGAACGGCAGCGTGCCGGAACTCCGGCAAGCAGACCCTGCGGGAGCAGGGGTTCCGCCTGTTGGTTGCGAGGCGCCGAAGGAGGAGTCCCTTGACGGGAGGGCTGTGGCACAGCAAAAGGGGGAAGATCTGCCAAACACTTCCTCCTCCCCTCTCCCCTCTCCCGTCGTGGAGGAAAAATCAGGACAGGAAGCGTTGGCTGCTGGCCAGTCTGAGGAGAAAGATATCCAGGCATGTGGTGTCTGCGGGGAGGCCTGTGAGGGACTAGCTGGCCTGGAGGCCCACCGGGCTCTACATTTTGACCAAGAGACTGGAAAAGTGGAGGGAGAAGAAAACGGCGGTCCGTCTGCTGAAGAGGAGGGCTCCCCTTTGGAGCGCCCCTTCCAGTGTGACGTTTGCGAGCGGAGCTACAAGCACGCAGGCAGCCTGATCAACCACAAACAGACACACAAGACCGGCCTGTTCCATTGCGGCGTCTGCCAGAAGCAGTTCTTCAACCTCATGGCCCTCAAGAACCACAACCGCACCCACTTCGAAACCAAACGCTACCGCTGCCCCGAGTGCCCCAAGGCCTTCCGGCTCCAGAAGCAGCTGGCCAGCCACCAGCGCGTCCACCGCGATCGGAAGCGGGACCTCTCCTCCTCCCACCCTCCCCGGAGGTCCGCTCACGCCAAGCGGGCGGGCAAGGGGGCCAATCCGGCCCACTCTCTCAGCAGCGCCACCAAGCGCCGCCCGGACCCTGAAGAGCGCCCTTACCGGTGCGAGGAGTGCGGGCGCACATACCGCCACGCGGGGAGCCTGCTCAACCACCAGAAGAGCCACAAGACGGGGCACTTTGCTTGCTCGCTGTGCAGCAAGGCCTACCCCAACCTCATGTCCCTCAAGAACCACCAGCGCATCCACTACGAAGTGAAACGCCACCGGTGCCTGGATTGCGGCAAGGCCTTCAAGTGGCAGCGGCAGCTTCTGCGGCATCAGCGCAGGCCTCACCCGTGCGGCCAGAGCGCTCCAGGGCAAGAGCGAGAGGGGAGTCTGGCCGCTCCCCAAAGGGAGCAGGGGGGCAGCGGCCCAGGGGAGGCCCCTCCGGGCTCTTTCCAGTGCCAGACGTGCCCCAAACACTTCCCCAACCGCGCCGCTCTGAGGAACCACAGCCGCGTCCACGCAAAGAAACGCTTCCAGTGTTCGGAGTGTGGCAAGCCTTACCGAGCGTCTCGGAGCCTCAAGCGCCACCTGAGGAGACACCAGTCCGAGGCGGCAGCGGATGTCGCTGAAGAGAAAGCGGCCGATCCCTCGTCTTCCTCCTGTTGTGCAGAAGCAGCAGCCGGCCAGCCGCCGGACGAGCGGCCCTACAAGTGCAACAGTTGCGAGCGGACATACCGCCACGCCGGCAGCCTCCTCAACCACAAGAAGGCGCACGCCACCGGCCTCTACCGCTGCCCCACCTGCCAGAAGGAGTTCCACAACCTCCTGGCCCTCAAGAATCACCTCCACGTCCACACGGACAAGAGGCGCCACCGCTGCCCCCGCTGCGGCAAAGCCTTCCGGACCGCCCGCCGCTTAGCCGCCCACGCCAAGGCTCACGGCGGCCTCAAGGAGGAAGGGCCTTTCTCCTGCGCGGTCTGCTCCAAGGGGTTCTCCCACCAGCTCAGCTTCCGGCAACACCTGCTGTCGCATGCCAAGGATGGCGGGCACCCTGCTGCTAGGGGCAGTGCTCCGGGGGACGTGAGCTGAGGGCGGGCAGCCCGTGTGGGGACCACGTGTGCCAAGGATGGTAGGGCAGGGACCTCCAACTGCAGGGAAATTTGAAAGGCTGGGTGGGGAGCCGTACCCCTGGGATCAGTTGTCCATGCATTGGGGTGGGGGGAAGGAAGAGGGTCAGGGATACCCAGTGGGTGAAAATATGGAGGAAATTGGGTGCACAACCCCCCATTCTCTGTAGAACACCAGGGGCCAAAGACACTGAGGGGTGGGGCAAACTTTCGATGGAATGTTGTATTGAGCACTCCAATGACGCCTCTTTTGTGTCACTTGGAAATGCTCCCCTCCGGCAACCTGTACCTTCATAAGCTTGGATCCCGTTTTGAGAACTGAATTTTAGCTCCCCTCGGAACCTTTCAGGCATGTGCTTAAACCCCATACTGATTTGAGTTTTCAAACTGTTTTTTATACTTCTAAAATCCATTTTGAAAGTCAGATGAGTTAGCAAGTTTGTGTTTAAGTATGGTATGGTATTTAAAGTCCTGGGTTTTTTAATAAAAACAAAAGTAGAATCAAAAACGTACTGTCCTAAACAAACAAACAAATGGGAGGGTGAGCTCAGTTTTAGTTGCTGAATGAGTACAAACAAGCATCCTTGGTGTGGAGTAACTTTGGATTACTACTACCTCCTTAACTGGAAACTTGTATACGTTTTCTTGGTGTGAAAGAGAGTCTTTACAACTTGTCCAAATTTGTAGGCTTTGACATCTTTTCGAAGCGGGTTCTGGAGCAAAGTCACTAAAAAATTATTGTGTTGATTACTAAAACGGATTCCTAGAGGTGATTGACTTAAATTTTTTAGTTTAGGTGAGGAAATTAAGGTCACATGCGCAGGATATACATGTAAAGCACATTTAATTCACACGGATTCACCTAAAGAATCCCGGGAGTGGTAGTTTGCCCTCACGGAGTTGCAGCTCCCAGCATCTTCAGCAAACTACATTTCCCAGGGTTCTTTGAGGAAACAATGTGCACTAAAAGTGTACCCAATGTACAGTCTGGATGTTGACCTTAATCTTTGCAAAATTGGACCTGGAACGGTCTCCCCACACAGGCCCTAGTGGAACCAGCGGGAGCACGGTAAACAAACAAATGTCCGTAATCAATTGGACAGGCTGCTTCTGGTCCTAACCCTCAGGAAAAAGAAAGGTTTTGCATGTACCACCACCTCTCTGTGTGTATTTCCTCTAAAACCTCCTCCTCCCCAGTGGTACAGGGATCTTCCGATCTGCAGAGGTCTCTACAGATGTGTAGTTCTAAGGCACCTCTGCGCCAGAGGAAGGAAGAGAAGACCCCAAATGCAGGAACGAAAGCGGGAGCCAGAGGAGGAGACCTCACAGAGGTGCCAAGATGACAGCTCATTCCCCAACGCTTCTTTGAGCATCACAGCTCTCCTTTAGGGGCGATTCTGAGGGCCAAACTAAATGTGGCGTTTATTAGGTTGCTTGGCGTGGCACTGTTCATTTGTCTTTAACCTGCTGATGTGCTGGCGGGTGGCGGGGTCAAGCCAGATCAGACTGGGGGGAGGGGGGGGAGAGAGGCTTTAACCTTCTGTTCTACCTGTGAACTCCAGTAGGATCTCCCGTACCCTTTGGCCATGTTTATTGCAGTGGGAAGGAACACGCTGCCTGTGCAGTTAAAAGGAGTCGTGCAGTGCCACCACTAAACGTCACGTTTGGTTTGGTTCTGACTCAGTCCTTGTTCTGAGATGCATGGAGGAAGTGAATCAGGATCAAAATGCACGTCACACTGGGCACATCTTTGCATTCAGCGTGCAGCTATGTGGGGCAGGGAGCTGGTAGTGATTAGGATGGCGGCAGGTGCAGAGGGGCGATTTAGCCCTCTCCCTCCCCAGAAGAAGGGAAACTCCCTTCTCCGGGCCAGCTGGTGTCTTTGGAGAGGCAGGGAGGCCCAACCGCAGGTGACAATGACAGGCAGAGCCAGCATATCCATCTCCCTGCTGAGTTTTATAATGGCAAAACCAGCCGAAAGAAGAAAGTGGGCAGGTGGGGGTTGGCCAAGGGCACATTGAGGTTGATGGGGCAGCGCCCTGCTTGCATGAGTGGACCAGCCTCCAGTGATTGACGTCAGTGGAGTAAGAAGTCTCCTTCCATGCCTGCTAGGATCTTAGTAATTGTCAGCCCCTTTTCCCACCTGAAGGTATTCGTTAAATAACCCTAGATGTTAAATATGAAGGCTCGTTAATAATTGCATCTGGTTTTGATGCTTGAGGAGACTCAGGATGCCTTGGGCAGTCGATTGTCTCCTGCACCCCTCCTGAGGTCTCCTCTCCTTTCCTTCCTCCTGCCCTGGCAAGACTTTTATGGCGCTTTGGCAAGTGATACATGCAGTCGGCTCTATGCTGGCTGAAGCAAGCCCTTTGACGAAGCTCGGGTGTGTGCCTTGAGGGAAGCAGGGGCTTCTCTCTCTCTCGAGAACTTCCAGTATGTTTTCCCGGCTTGATCTCTTCAACCTATCTTTTAAATTTTATTAATGAGATATTTTGGTTCTCCGCAAGGCTCTAAGCAGATACTGGGCAAGACACCTGGTAGATCCCTGTTGGGGCTGCAAATAAAGAATAGGATGTTTGAAACCTTCCGCATTTGAACTCTTCCTGGCTTCTTGAAAACTAGCACATCACGCTAAACCTTTCTCCGCAATGTGCTAGTTCCCCAAATACAGCGAGGGTTTTAATAAAACAAATAAAGCATGCTTCCATCCCTTCCTCAGTCCAAAGTGGTACCTTCCTAACTGGGCACTAGCTGGCTGTAATGCTTGGATGGATTCCTACTCGCACGATCTAAAACTTGTAAAAGGGGTGGCCATGTTTGTAGTGATAGGCTAGGGGCAGGGGATGGGGAATCCTTTCCGAAGAACCTTTTAAGCTATTTTTGAAACAAGCGGACTAGAAACTTGACTGCTGCGTCTTTCCTCTTCTGTTGTGGGGGGTTGGCTGGCGTGGGCGAAGGGCTCACTGCTGTTCTGTGGCCAGTCTCCACGCTTTCCGCATCCAGGCAGAATTTCTCGGCCTGCCACAGATGAACCTGCGCGCGGTGCAAGGGGTCCGAGTGACAGCCATCCAGGTTCTTCAGCGGTTCGGTTCAGAGAAAGAGTAGTCATTTTTAAGTAGCTGAGAATTCTCTATTGTGATGAACGTTTTATAGAATTTCTAACATAGTTGGGTAATATTTTTTATTGGGGAGGGAGGGACATATATATGTGTTTGTTTATTTTGTTATATCCCCCCCTCTTAGTTTTTTATTTTTATGACACACTCAGATGTACTAAACAGTCCTGTTTTATGCTGCTGTTTTCAACAACTGACATTCTGGCTTTTGGTCAGCCGAAACCTTTATGGAATTAAAATAATTTTGTTCTGATTTCTTATGTTTTGAAATGTTTCCCCCACCCACTTCTCTTTCTCCTTAATCCTGTTCTCTAAATATCACCATTCAGTATGTTACTTAACATGCACTTCACTGTGAACTTTGTTGGGATTTCTTTTTCTTTTTTAAGGGCGGGCGGGGACAAAACATTTAAAACATAGGAATCCATTTTCCTTTCCTCACCTGCTCTAATGTACTAGTTCTCACTGCCCTTCCAGAGACGGAGCAACATCCCAGGACTCTAGATCCCTTGTAGGACCTCTCCCTGCCCCCAAACACCTTGCCTAGTACTGTAATAGGAAGGAATCAATTTTCATAGGGTACTTGGCGCCACCTGGTGGCCATACCTGATCTGTGAAACACTTAAAACTGCAAATAAATTGTTCTTGGTTTCTAAAAAGAAGCGTTTCCTCTCACTCTCACTCTCTGATTTGCTGTCTTCCTCAAACCAACTAGATGCTTTTAAAAGAACAAGGAGAAAGCCTGCAGGTTTGACCCTGAGAGACCTGCATTCACAAGGTCTCCTCATAGCGGGGGGGGGGGGGCGGCTGCACAGGGTGGATCCAAGCAAATCTGCTGGTGGGTACTCACTGCTTCACACAGGATTTGTCCTTAGGCCCAGGTGGAAGCCAAATCCTGCACACTGCCGTGCAACACGTGCTGACTGGGGCTGATGGGAGTTCGTCATAGAATCATAGATTTGCAGAGCTGGAAGGTGTCATGGTCCGGTCTACGGGCGATCAAAGTCCCGGCTGAGGATGTCAGGACCGGGGGCAAAATGGTGGGGTGGGAGCAGGAACGAGAGTCCAGAAGCCAGGGGTCCGAGGGTGGAGAAGCAAGGAGTCACAAAGTCAAGGGTCCGAGGGTCGAGAAGCAAGGAGTCAAGAAGCCGAGGTCCAAGGATCAGGAAGTAAGAAGCCCAAGGCAGGAAACGAGTTGCTGTGGCAAAGAGCCAAAGGGAAATGCTGACCTTATATTCCTTCCCGACTCTTGCCACCAGGTGCAGTGAGTTACCAAGCGGCCTCACCTGTGCGGCCGCGCCTTGCCTCTTCAGAACAAACTTAGGAAGGCCCTAGTCCTGCGAAGCCCTACTGGTCACGGGGCCTGGATCCTGCACCCACTCCTCACAGAAGGGAATCTGAGGGTCATCTAGTCCAACCCCCTACAGTGCAGGAATATTCAGCTGTCCCTAACGGGGTTAGAACATGCAACCTTGGCATTATCAGCACCGCGCTCTAACCAACTGAGCTATCCAGTTGAAAGCATGGAGGGCACCAGGATGGCAATGGTTGCCCAAGTTAGCACACACAAGCCGCTTGCCTCAGGCAACACATTTTAATCTGGGGTTTTTTCACAACCCATCAGGGCACAGCCCAGTCCTATTAAGAAACCAGTTCTGGCAAGTTTAGTGGAATTTATTCCTGAGTACTGGAAGGGGTGACATAATGGAGGTGTACAAAACGTTCTTAGCTCCTGCAACATACTGTATAGTGATGGTGAGCTGTTTGGATGACTTTGAAAGAGGAGTCTACAAATTAATGGGGATAAGACTATCAATAGCTACTAGCTCTTAAATTTAATAGTAATGCATTAATGATAACAGCCATGAAAGCTATGTTATGGATTCTTGAGGTGGAGGAGGGCTCTAATTTTTGCTTTTCTGGCACAGACAACTACAGCGCTTGGATTTTCAAAAATATTTATTACCCCCTTTCCCACACAATTGTTTGAAGCATTACTGAAAGACACCAAAATATAACAACATGCAACATCTGGTTGATCAAGTATAAATATATATAAAAACACAGCAGTATTAAAACCATATTAAAAAGTTCAAAAATGATTGTAAGATAAAATAGCATGCCTTCCAGAATAGAAAAAAAAACAAAAAACCAGCAGTAGTGTAAAAACAGTGTTGGATCTTCCCCAGGAGAGAATTCGACAACTGCGGTGTCGCCAGTGAAACGTTGCTGTGCCTGGTACCTCCCAGGTGAAACTTTCAAATCTGTTCTGAGCATAAATGCCTGTGTTCTCTGCTTAGGCATAGAAATGGAAGAGTGGATCTCTTGAAAATGTTCCACACCTTCAAATAATTTATTTTGTACAATGAAGTATTAAGATAAATGTGCACACACACACAGCCACACGCATTCATCTCTGTCAATTGTACGATTACCAAATTCAGTCTCTTAGCCAGTCTACACTAAAGGGTTTCTGAGATACTAAAACACCGACTCTTGGGCCCTCGAAGGAAGTATGTACATTTGATTATGCTATAGGTGAATGACTACTGAGAGTACTATTTCCACCTAGCTAGAAATCTGAAATTTGGTTTAGTAGTGTCACACCATATGTATGGATGATTTAAATAAACAGAATAAAACCCCCTAATTACTAGAAAAACCGGTAAGAGGTGCTGTATATCCCCTGCCCTGCCGCCCTGCTAGAATTCCCTTGGCAAAGGTGGGCAGCAGTTCAGCACAGAACAAGGAAAACCACCTGTGCAAAGGAATGTTGGCCTGTTGCCTCCTCATACTTCTGAGTCAAGCCGTACTCTGCCTTCTGAAAAACGCAGCTACGCTTGCAGATTAGAAGCTGGATTTCATCACATAAATAAATTTTCATACCCAACCTGTTACGATGCTAATTCAGATTCACTCCAGACCTGGACAAGGTCTCGAGTTTGGCGCTGTGAGTCTGTCTTTCCCCCCCCGAAGCAGACAGTTATGGAAGTGGCAGGTTTCTGGCCTTGCTCTGAGGGTCCTCATATACCTGCCTCACTTTATCCTTCGCAACACACCTGTGAAGTAGGTTGAAGGGGGTGGCTTGTCCAAGGCCAGCCTTATTGTCTGAGCACCTGGCTGGCCTCTTGGTTCCAATTATGCAGTCTAGGAAAGGAGAGGGGAAATATCCCGAGAAGCAATTGCATCTTGCTATATTCTGCCCCGCTCCATTTTGCCCAGCATGGCAGGGCTCTTAGTGTTATTTTGCAGGGTTGGCATCAGGTGTGATGGGTGTCGTTCCCCTCTCCCCGACAAAGCAAAATACAGCCGCCTGGATTGTTCTGAGATAGGAACAAAGAACTGTCCGTCTGGTAGCTGGAATGAGCCCACCTCCCCAGACTCTGCTGTGTGGTGGGAGCCAGCAATGTTCTCAGATCATTTCTTGAGTGAGAGGCAGAACCAGAGGCGGACGAGAAGGGATGCCACCAAATTTTTCATTCAGCCAAGTTTGGTCTGTTCCGTGTCAGTGTTTTGTCCCTTGATCCTGAAAAAAATAGAAGCAGCCTAAGTTTATTTACTCCTATAGCTTCAGGAGATGGGATTTAGAAAGAGGAAGGCAATGGATTGTATCCTAGGCCTGCCCTACTGGCTGAAGTCCATGGATGTGACTAGTCTGGGTTCATTGCTTTCAGCGGGTCTACTCTGAGTAGGACTTGGCTGGAAACAATCCAGTGCCTTTCATACTCAAGGTGTGGGGAATCTGGAAAGAATGCCAGGGTGGCTTAGACTGTGAGCTCTTTAGGGGACAGAAAGAAACATTGAAGGCATGCTTTGAGTGCAGGAGATAGGATGGGGTGCAAATGTAGCCCTCTTGAGCAGGGCTGCCATCCTTATAAAAGTGACCAGGCAGGCAGAAATTTGGCTGGGGAAGCTTTGTTGCTGCACCTCCAGCTTTAACTCTTGCAGGTTACAGAGAGAGAGAGAGAGAGAGAGAGAGAGAGAGAGAGAGAAGGGAAGCAGAGCTCTGCTCTGCTGAGAGATGAGCAGCCTTTGGCTTTCCTTCTCATCTGCCAACCAGCGCTAGCCATTGTACTGGGCTATCTGTTTAATAACCAATTTCTCTTCCTGGGGTACTATGAGAATGGTGGCTCTTTGAGAGGAATAGGGGGTCTCCTAAAAACTCTAAGCAGCACCCTTAACAACCAACAGTTCCCAGTCTCCTTTGAGGGAAACCATGATTGTTAAAGTGGTGTAACAACACTTTCAATGTCTTGTGCCAATGTCCTCTTGATGATAAGGTGAATCAGTGCATTCATGGGTGCAGGTTACATCCAGAGATTAGTACTGCTTCTGAGACAGGGATGCATGCCCATGGATTCTGAATTGTACTGAAAGGTCCCTGTTGATTCTGTGAACTGCCACCCCACCACCACAAGGATATTCAAGATTGCTGCTCCTTACTTGAAAGAAACTCTTGCATGCAGGTTTCCGTGTCATTGACCACTGGAATAGGAGGCTTCTGCACATCATAGTAAGCAGACCAGGACAGTTGCATGATCCACTCCTGAAAGCTACTGACTGATGTGTAAACACCTGGACGGACCACAGTCCCACAGCCCTTTCCAAAGCTGGAGATGCCCGCCAAGAACCACGTCCCATTCTCATTGCAAACCAGAGGGTCACCGATGCTATCCTAGAGGTCAAAGAACGAAAATATTAACATAGCAGTCCAACAGGAGCCAAAATACAGAGCATGATGCCATCCAAATCAGATGTGTGTGTTTTTAGATTTTTACTGGATATTCTTAATTGGTTTTAATGTAAGTCACTTTGGGTCACTCTGGGGGGAAAGTTGATAACAAACAGAATGAGTGAGTGAATTGGGGTAGTCAACATGGTGCATTCCCAATGTTGTTGGACACCGACTCGGTCCAGTATACCTGAAGGAGCGTCTCCACCCCCATCGTTCTGCCCGGACACTGAGGTCCAGTCCCGAGGGCCTTCTGGTGGTTCCCTCGCTGCGAGAAGCCAAGTTATAGGGAACCAGGCAGAGGGCCTTCTCAGTAGTGGCACCCGCCCTATCCTATGGAATGCCCTCCCACCAGATGTCAAAGAGAAAAACAACTACCAGACTTTTAGAAGACATCTGAAGGCAGCCCTGTTTAGGGAAGCTTTTAATGTTTAATAGGTTATTCTATTTTAATGTTCTGTTGGAAGCCACCCAGAGTGGCTGGGGAAACCCAGCCAGATGGGCGGGCTATAAATAAATTATTATTATTATTATTATTATTATTATTATTATTATTATTACTGTTGTTGTTGTTGTTGTTGTTATCATCATCATCATCATCTCCCCAACCAGCATGGCTAATAGAAATGATGGGAGTTGGAGTTCAACAACATCTGGATGGCATCATGTTGCCTATCCCTCAGTAAAAGGAAGGAATCAGAAGCAGAAACATGGGATCACATTTCCTGGTCTTCAAAGAGAACACCGCCATGGATGAAAGATATGTAACAACCAGGAGTCCCTGCTTTTAATCTGGGCTCCTAATTCCTGCTCAGTGAATAGGAGTCTACCAGATAGTATTTAAGTATGTTGTGTGAAAGGAGGGGGAAAGGGGGGAAATGACAGAAAGCAAGTTTCTCAGTGGGACTTCTCAAATATCTAAAAAAACCCCCACATTTGGCGCTTCCAGATTTGCAGCTGTGCGCAACTAGAGAATAAGCATTTCAGCACTACACCAAGTGGACAGCTCCATGGGCTGAAAGATCCTTTACTGGCCAGCTCAACGCTTTCTCGTTTTTGTGTGCGAGTTTCCGCAGGGAAATTCTGCTGCGTGAGCCCTACTGGAACAATGTTTGGGCAAGAGATGTAAGCAAAGCAATGGATTGCCTCCTCTGCTAGTCCTATTTGTTGAAGAAATGCCTTAGCGTTATATAGAAACACCGGATTTACTTAGCTGTGTGTTTATGGTACAGCCATGCATCTGTATTTCAGGAGCAATTTCCAAGTATTTCGTAAGCTGAGCAACAGAAACACCTCTTGAGATTGATAGCTGGTGAAAGTGTTATTTTCTTGTTATCCTGAAATTAGAGGCTCTTCTACTCTGATGGCATTTGGCTTCTACACTGAGGATTATTTTGATAGACATTGTTCCATTAAGTTATACAGTACAATTTTTTTAAAAAAATCATTGATCTGAAATTCTACATTATTTCTTGTTCTGGTATAAAATGGCTTTAAATTATAAGCATTCAGATTTCTTTTTATGAACTGTACACGAAACTGGAGACATCAGAAGTGTGTAGCAAAGACCTGTTGTGTTGTTGGGAGTGATGGAAGTTAGAACCCTGCAATTAAAAAAAGGGCAAACCTTGGAGACCCTAATTTAATTCACCTCCTTAGAGTAAGGTTACCAGATGTCCCCGTTTCCCAGGGACAGTCTCCGGATTTACAAATCAGTCCCCTGACAAAATCCATTGAAGTTGAAAAGTGTCCCTGGATTCATTGAAAAAAATCTGGTAACCTTACCTTAGAGCAGTGGTTCTCAACCTGTGGGTCCCCAGATGTTGTTGTACTACAACTCCCATCATCCCTGAGCTCTGGCCTTGCTAGCTAGGGGTGATGGGAATTGTAATTCAACATCATCTGGGGACCCACAGGTTGAGAAAGGCTGCCTTAGAGGGAGGATCTTGCAACTCATGTGATTACTGCATGGAAACAGGGTATACATAGGGCTGAATCAGAGTGCTGCAAAACTGCTGCAAAACTGCCATCTGAGCAGTTCTGCCACAAAGCACCCTGCCATAAAGCACTGCTGCTGCTGACACATGCAGAAAGACACAACAGGGACCATCCTGGCAGGCTGTGCCATGAGCTCAGTGGAAGGGAGAGGTGATATTTAGTACCCAAAATGTGGGATGATTTGGCTATAACTGACCATATCCCCCCCCCATCTGTTTCAACATCCTTCCAGCACAAGAGGTGTTGACCTCCCCTTACCTGGCAGCGCATGTTGCTTTTACTGGGCGTGGCACACATCATCTGAGAGGTGATGGGGATCTCTTCCCCCACGTCGCTGGTCTTGTTATAGATGCAGTTGCATTCCTTGGGGCCAAGGAGTTTGATCTCCACGCTGCCCGGAAAACTCAAATTGCCATCTAGATAAAGATGGAAAGATCATGAGTTGGTAAGCCATGCCAGGGATAATTATTTTATTTATTCATTCATTCATTCATTCATTCATTCATTCCCTGCCCATCTGACTGAGCTTCTCCAGCCACTCTGGGTGGCTTCCAACAAAATATTAAAATACCGTAATACATCAAGCATTAAAAGCTTCCCTAAACAGGGCTCCCTTCAGATGTCTTCTAAAAGTCTGGTAGTTGTTCTCTTTGACATCTGGTGGGAGGGTGTTCCACAGGGTGGGCGCCACCACTGAGAAGGCCCTCTGCCTGGTTCCCTGTAACTTGGTTTCTCGCAGCAAGGGAATCGCCAGAAGGCCTTCGGCACTGGACCTCAGTGTCCAGGTAGAACGATGGGGGTGGAGACGCTCCTTCAGATATACTGAACTGAGGCCATTTAGGGCTTTAAAGGTCAGCATCAACACTTTGAATTGTGCTCGGAAACATGCTGGGAGCCAATGTAGGTCTTTCAAGACCGGTGTTATGTGGTCTCGGTAGCTGCTCCAAGTCACCAGTCCCCCCTCCCTAAGACTGTGGCACTTTCCCCCATCCCTTTAACCCTGGCAGAATCTAAGAGGGACTCTAAGGCCCAGGGCTCAGAATGCAGCCCTCCAGTCCTCTCCCATCAAGCCTGCAAGGGACTCTCCCCCAGGCCACGCCTCCTCACTAGCCCTGCTTTGCATATTCATGCCTGCCTAGAATGCGCACTGGAACTCAGATGGTGCTTCTTGCCTGCCTAGATGAAGAGTCCAGTGGGATGTGTGAGCATGTGCAGAAGCAACCCTTAATGCACAGGGGCAAAATAAACATTTGTTCCTCTGCTCGTTTTAGCTTCTGGCCCTGCCCACCACCCACATGTGGCTTCTGGAAGAGAGAGAAGGTGGTCCTTTTTGGCAGGAAAGGATTCCCCACCCATGCAGAGGGCCTTCTCAGTAGCGGCGCCCACCCTGTGGAACGCCCTCCCATCAGATGTCAAGGAAATAAACAACTATCTGACTCAGGGGTCAGCAACCTTTTTCAGCCGTGGGCTGGTCCACCGTCCCTCAGACCATGTGGTGGGCTGGACTATTTTTTTTGGGGGGGGTGAACGAATTCCTATGCCCCACAATAACCCAGAGATGCATTTTAAATAAAAGGACACATTCTAGTCATGTAAAAACACGCTGATTCCCGGACCGTCCATGGGCCGGATTGAGAAGGCGATTGAGTTGCATCTGGCCCATGGGCCTTAGGTTGCCTACCCCGATCTGACTTTTAGAAGACAGCCGTGGCAGCCCTGTTTAGGGAAGCTTTTAATGTTTGATGTTTTATTACTTTTTTGTTATTATTATTATTAATATTCTGCTGGGAGCCGCCCAGAGTGGCTGGGGAAACCCAGCCAGATGGGCGGGGTATGTATAAATAAATAAAAAATAAATAAATAAGATAATCTTGCACAGTCACACCATGCTCCTCCCCGACATACCGATTCTCCGTCCGCGGGTCCAGCAGGTAGAGCCAAAGGGGAACTGGTGGTTGGCGTACGGGGCGCAGATGGCCCGGATTCTGTCATTGAACACCACAGGCTGGGACAGCTTGGCCATCGCAATGTCGTGACCTTCCTTCGCCTCCACATAGGCACCGTGGAGTTCAATCTGCTGGATGGCCCTCTTCTCCTGCCACGTCTGCTCGCCCGCTTCCCGCTGCTCACCCAGCAGCACCTCCCAGCCCTCCGGTTCCTGGAGCCTGACAAACAGAAGACAGGAGGAATTGAAGCATGCATTTGGGTTGCAGAATTTTCATGGACTTGGTTGGCCTTGATATGTTTTGCACAAACCAAGACAGGTCCAGGAGGCCGCAGTCAGCAATTAGGGGAGCCAGGACTCTTGAGTGTAATAATACTACTTGAGTATCGCAGAGCAATGTCGAATGCACGAAGCACTTCACAAATATTATCTTGTGAATGCTTACAACAGTCCTGTGAGGTAACCCCTCCTCACCCGCATGCCACACATGAGATGCAGGAGCTTGCCTAAGGCCACCTACCCAATGCACCCAGCAGAGGAGAGATTTCACCTGGGGATGCCCTGATTCAAAATTCTTAGCTACTACACTGCATCTACACCGCATCTACATAGGGACACGGGTGGCACTGTGGGTTAAATCACAGAGCCTAGGACTTGCCGATCAGAAGGTTGGCGGTTCGAATCCCCATGACGGGGTGAGTTCCCGTTGCTCGGTCCCTGCTCCTGCCAACCTAGCAGTTCAAAAGCATGTCAAAGTGCAAGTAGATAAATAGGTACCGCTCCGGCGGGAAGGTAAACGGCGTTTCCGTGTGCTGCTTTGGTTCGCCAGAAGCAGCTTAGTCATGCTGGCCACATGACCTGGAAGCTGTACGCCGGCTCCCTCGGCCAGTAAAGCGAGATGAGCACCACAACCCCAGAGTCGGTCATAACTGGACCTAATGGTCAGGGGTCCCTTTACCTTTACACTGCATCTACACACCCTCAGTCATTGAGCTTTCAAGACATACCAAATACTGTCTATATGACTAAGTGGGATTAACTTTCTGCACTCTGCAGCCAGAATATGCCATGCCTTTTTCCCACTGGGAGGCTGCTGTGTACCTTTAACAGCTGGGCATTGGGCAGAAATTCAACAACTGAAATTGACTGGAGAAAGCTTCACCTGTTGAGATTTTTCTGGCTGTTAACAAAAGATAGAGCAGCCAAAAAAGAAGGCCATCAACATCCTGGCTTTCAGGCAGAGAAACCCTTAACTGGATTGATTTATTGTGAAGTCCACTCAGGGTGGTTTATTCCACAGCCTGAATCAATGATGCCCGGTTCCCTTAATTATTATGTTATGATTGTTTCAGAATATCTTACCTAAAAGAACGCTAAATAACATATTGCAGAGAGTAGTCAAAACCAGCAGTGAATGGCAAGAGAGGGGAAAATCCAGCTCTCTGCTCACCCCATCATAAGCAGTTTCAGCCATGGGGGAAGTCATGAAGGTTATAGAAGCTGCTGCAGAAGAAGATGCCATCAACAAGAATCCAAAGTAGGCTAGCATGACACAGGATGTCACATTCTCCTGCCCAGAGACCACCAGGAAAACTTTGCCCATGCAATCTCCACTCACCCAATGAAGCACTGTGCAGAGGTGATGACCCAGTCCTCAGCGATCAAGGTGGCTCCACAGACGTGCTGACCCTTGTGCCGAAGGCTCACATACCAGGGCCAGAGACCCTCTGCCCCTCCGCCAGGCCTATCTGCTTTCATCACCCCGCAGCCTGGAAACCGGTGCAGAGGAAAACATGGTGTCAGAAGAACATAAGAAGAATCTTATGCTTTCAGATGTTGCTAGGCTACAGCTCCCACCATCCCTGACCAGGAGCCACGCTGGCTTGGGCTGATGGGAATTGGAGACCTAGCAATACAGTCCTGAAGGGCCACAGACTTCCCAACCCATGCTGTGAAACCATATAGTTGCAGCAATCCTAGGTAAAGACCCATACCTGTGCACATGTACTTGTCGGTTGTATTGGGCCGGGGTTCGGGCTGGTTGGCAAAGGTGGCGTTTTCGACATAACGCTTGATCCAGTCGGCGTAGAAAGCGGTGTCGGTCAGGATGGTGGGGCCAAAGAACTGTCTGCAGCCCATGGAGAAACTCAAGATCCCTGCCTGGAACCAATAGCCATCCTCCATGCAGACCAGAGGGCCACCTGAATCGCCCTGGGGTGGAAAGAGGAGCTTTGTAACACAGGTGTGCATAATGTTTTGTTGCTCTGCTGGCTGCTGGCTGCTGGTTTCACTAGTGAATGGCCCAGAGGGGTTGGCTTATTTTTCGCCAGTGGCAGCTAATGGATAGAGCTGGGCTTCTGTGATCCTTTCTGTGAACCGCCCTGAGACCTCCGGGAATAGGGCGGTATAGAAATTCAATAAATAAATAATAATAATAATAAAATTTGTCAATTAGCCAGACATGGTGAAGACAATCACTAGTCTTCACTGCTCTGCCCTCAAAAGGAAAAAAAAATAGAGTTGTATCCAATGCTAAACAGAGTAGACCCATTGAAACAAATGGACCCAAGGTCATTGTGTTCATTCATTTCAATGGTCTACTCTAAGTAAGACTAGCATTGCCTCCAGCCCCACTCAGATGTAAGTCCTTTTCAATTCCATGACATTTACTCCCAGATATATGGGGTGGAGGATTGCAGCCTAAAACTGGTCGCTCTAATTCCAGCACAATCATACTTGGGAAAATGGGGAATGCACAATGATGTTGTGCATGTCAGGGAGAAAGTGCCCAAACTTTGAGCCCAGCAACCCTTATGGAGAGCCACAGGTTCCCCATCCCTGAAATAATACTTGTTTCTGCATATAAATGCATGGGGATGTGCTGTTGCACCCACTCTCTTGATGGTTCTGTGTTTTATCTATGCTAGCCAGTGTGATGGTGGAGAGGTGGAGACTTATACCATGCCCTGAAGCAGCAGCACCCCTTCACTATTGGAAGCCTTGCTGAGCTGCCAGATGGCTTCTGATGTTTCTCCAGGCATTACTCACAAACTCATATTTGCATGTCTGTAGGGGCTACGAAGTTGCTTGAAACGTAAAGCATTTAGGCCTGATCTTGCAAGGCAGGGCCTGTCTTGTTGGGAAGCACAACTCCACCCACATCCTTCCTTTGACAGTTTCACTCCTCTTTTGCTGACCTTGCAAGGACCCCTCTTGCGGTCAGGAGTCATGGCACAGACCATGCCGGGCCGAGCTGGGCTGACGATCCTCCTGTTGCGTAGGTTGCTGTAGATGCAGTTGCAGGTGTCGCTGGTCAGCAGGTCTACAGTCATCTCCTGGAGGTTCATGGGTTTCGGCAGGGTGACTGGAGGGGAGCAAGGGGCACAGTTAGAATATTATTAGGTGGTCCCAGGCAGCTGGGCAGAAGATGATTATAGCAACCCCTGATCATGTTGGTTGGCCCCTAATCACAGGTCTCTCACACACACTGCCAAAGATCTGATGAAACCACCATTCAATCTTATACGGAGGCAGACCATGGCTCCATCTGTCTCAGTATTGTCCACACTGACTGGCAGCAGCTGTCCAGGGATTTCCCCAGGGGACATCCCCAGCCCTACTGGGAGATGCCATAGAGTGAACCTGGGACCTTTTGCATGTGAAGCAGATGCTCTGCTGATGAACTATGGCCCTTCCCATAAGGCCTGGTGAAGCCAGCACCTGAATCAGGAATGCAAAAAGCTACCTGCCTTATGTAGAACCCTCAGTCCACCTAGGCTAGTATTGCTTCCTCTGACTGGCAGTGGCTCTCAGGGATGGGCCCTTTTCCATCACCAGGCAGTCTAGGGATGGAAGAATCTGTCATTTCTCCATTCTCTCAGCTTCTTATTTCCACAGTCTTAAATTCACTTCTCTACATTTCTGCATCAATTTGTGAATTTCTCCTTTTAAAAATCCTCCTGAAAATTCTTCAGCATCTCAGTGTGAATTTATCCCAACACACACATTTTTGTATGCAGTTTTGTCTCATTTTTTGCAAGCAATTTCTCCTAACGTCGTGCACTTTTGCACGTTCTTTTCACCAATATATTCCCGTTTTATTGCACATCCCCCCCCCGAACACACGCATTTCGGTAAAGGTTCTATGGTTGCGCAACCATATTGCAAAGTCTGGATAAGCACACGTTTCAAAGGATGGCTGCGGTTTTGGTTCCCGTATAGTTTCAGAAAGCATGGGTTTGATAGATGTGAGCTGAATCGAACTCCTTCTCCCAGGCCTACCTGCTGCCTGATCCTTTTAAGCAGAGCTGGTAGGGCCAATCCTGGAACCTTCTGCACCCCCAGCTCAACCACAGAAGCAAGACCCATGTGCTCCTCCCCCTCTGACCAGAGAGACCCCCGTTCCTCACTCACCGTTATTGGCGACTTCTCCCCAGCCGCTCAGCCAGCACTGCGTCCCGAAGGCAAATCGGTGGTTGGCATACGGCAGGCAGATGGGAGCGATGTCCCGGCTGTAGCTCACAGGCTCGCTGAGGCGCACCAGGGCGATGTCATCGCCTTTGTCGTAATTGACGTAGTCCTTGTGAGGGATGATGTCAGAGACGTTGCGTTCCAGCCCCCTTTGAGACCTGCCTGTCAGTCTCACGCGGCCCAGCACCACTTTCCAGTCAGATGCGCAGATTTTGATTCCCAGCCTGGAGGAAAAGAGAAAGAGCCGTGTTTGAGAATCTCTCGCAGTGCACTCTTGAATCTGCAGAATGGGCGCATGGGCCCCTTGCTTGCTTTGTTCACGAGCTGATGCAATGACCCCCTTCCTACCCGCCAGTCTCTTTTTGTCTCAACTTCTGCCGTGTGTTGTAACTTGGAAGCTCCAGCGGAGGTTTAAACCTCACCTCAGCTGCAAGTTAATAAGGGAAGAGCCATGGCTGAGAGGCAGAACATGGGGTCTGCGTGCAAAAGGGCCGAGTTTCAAACCTTGGCATTTCCAGGTAGGTCTGGAAAAGACTCCCTGGCTGAAACCTTTGGGAGAGGTGCTGGAACTCACCACAAACACCTCCTTAAAGGTAAAGGTAAAGGAGCCCCTGACCATTAGGTCCAGTCATGGCCGACTGTGGGGTTGCAGCGCTCATCTCGCTTTACTGGCTGAGGGACCCAGCTTCCGGGTCATGTGGCCAGCATGACTAAGCCGCTTCTGGCGAACCAGAGCAGCGCATGGAAATGCTGTTTACCTTCCTGCCGGAGCAGTACCTATTTATCTACTTGCACTTTGACGTGCTTTCGAACTGCTAGGTTGGCAGGAGCAGGGACCGAGCAACGGGAGCTCACCCCATTGCAGGGATTCAAACCACCGACCTTCTGATCAACAAGTCCTAGGCTCTGTGGTTTAACCCACAGCGCCACCCACGTCCCCTTAGTTCTCTTATAATGGCAATGGCGTCCACCTGAGGTGTGCTGGAACTGAGTTCCAGCTGGAAAAAAGCCCTGCTTCTTACTTTCCTTAATGAGGTAGCCTCAGCAATTCCCCTCTCTCTGTTTCAGCTTCCCATCCATGTTGTGGGGATATTACAACGCCTTAAAAGTATTTGTATATAGCAATAACCTCGCTTTGGATACGGTAGCTTAAAACCACGGAAAACACTGATAATGATGACAGATCTATAAATATTAGGGTTGCCGTGTTTTGTCGATCAGTTTGTTTAATAGGCTAAAACTATTTTTTTATAAAAAAAAAGAATTCTGCAGGGTGTTTCAATGAAGGCACTTTTTAAAGCAATCAAAACATTTTTGTTTTGTTTGTTTTCTAACACAAGTACAATCATATCTTGGATCCTGAATGCCTTGTGACTCAAAAGTTTTGGCTCCTGAATGCCACAAATCTGGAAGTGAGTGTTTCAGTTTGCGAACGTTCTTTGGAACACGAACGTCTGACGCGGCTGACACGGCTTCCGATGGAGTGCAGGAAGCTCCTGCAGCCAATCGGAAGCTGTGCCTTGGTTGTCGAACATTTTCGGAAGTCGGACAGACTTCTGGAACGGATTCCGTGCGACAACCAAGGTACGACTGTACTTGGAAAAATTGCAGGTGGTTACAGACTCCCTCCAATCGGAGACATAAGGGTAAAAATGCTGGATGCCTTTTAGGATGCAGTTCCCGTGGGTACCAAGAGGGGGCACTCCATCTTGACTTACTCATAGAAGCAGTGGGCCGCAGTCAGGACCCATCTCTCGTTAATGAGGCTTCCGCCGCAAAAGTGCTCTCCGCGGTACTGGAGGCTGACTTGCCATGGCCACTCGCCACGCCGGGCATCCAGTCCACCTGCTAGCCGGATAACGGGCTTTTGAATGCCACATTTTAGTGCTGGGGGGAAAGCAGAGAGCAAGGTGACTCACACACACCATATAGACATACCTGTCGTGACAGCAGATCTATAGCTAGCGACTCACAATGCAACCCTACGCATGAATTAGCCAGAGGTTAAGTCCCACTGCATTAAGTGAAGCTTGCTCCTTAGTAAGAGCGTTTAGAATAGCAGTTTTAAGTGGATCTTATAGCTGTTGCCTCTTCTCAGGGAATAATGTTTATGTGAAGATTCCCTGACAAAGAACCATCCCTCCCATCACTTCTCAAACTACAGCTCCTAGGGTTCTTTTGGAGAACTGAAAGTGGTACAAGTTTGCATGGCAGATTTGCCCTTTTGCGCATCGTTTATAATCCATCTTTTTTGCAAAACCATTGGTCCAACCAACAGGGGTTGTGCGGCCCCCAGGCCCGAGGTTTCCCAACCCTGTTCTAACCCCCTTAGTCAACTTCCTGAATAGCTCTGAAGCCACACAGAAGTGTGACTCCCTTTGCTCAGATTCATCTCTTGTGAATCATTTAAGATATTTTCAGCCCGTTATGTAATCAAATTGCCAAATAAGAAGGACAAGTTTCATCTCTCCAGAGCTGCTGATTGCAAGCTCCTTCGGACAACCACCTGTTGTCTTTCTTTTCTTCTGAGACTCTAAAAAACATATTATGATCTTTAACAGGGCTAGTTACAGTGGAATTTTAAAACAAATAAAATAAAAAAGAACAGAACAGAATAAGGAAAAGTTCTAAGTTCAGGGCACATACCTTGGGCAGATGATCCTTGCTGAAGACCTGGTGGAAAGAGAAAAATGGTTGAGGGTTTTTTTTATGTTTTCCCCCTGCGGTCCATCACTGTCCATTATGCAAAGCCAGCAAGAATGCAGAGCAGCCTTCACAAATCTGGTGATTTCCAGATGTTTCAGCTTGCAATTCCCATCAGAACCAGCTAGCACAGCTGATGAGGATGATGGGAGTGGTAATCCGAAACTCCAGCAGGGCAGGGAGAGACACTATTCTTTTAAAAACAGGTTTCTGCTTTTTGTGGTTTTTCGCAAATATTTTTATTTCACTCCCAGGCATGGTTCTGGCATGGATCCCCTTTGCTGGTGCCTTGTCCACTTAGCTTTGTCCACCTGATCACTAACTGGCAGCTGAATGAGTGAGTTTATTCCAACGGCCGTCAAGGCAACATGAATGGTGATAAGCCACAAGCCATCTGTTAGCCAGCCATCAGAAGGGCTGCACATTTTTGCAACCGTCAGTTTCCAGTATCTTGCAATGTTAGCGGATGGGCTACAATTTCACAAGACTGATTCTGCAAGAGGGGACTTCCTGACCTTTCCTAAAACATCCATGGGGGAACTGGCTCTTTGCTTTGGCTTTCCGATCCTTCAGCTGCCCTCTTTAGTGGCATGCATGTTAAATAAGGGGTAAGCACCCCTCTTTACAAAGTACAGTTTTCTGTCTGGAAGGGCTACCAGAGGACTATCCCCTGTTGGAAGGTGCCCTCTGATTGAGGGCTGTCCAGTCCAAGTCTGCTTTAAAGGCAAGAAACCATCAAAAGGGAGATCAGGAGCCTTGAAGTTGCCCAACAACAGTTAAGAACACCTGGTCACCAGACTGAGCAAGCACACAAAGACGTATCTATCACCAAGATACAACAAGTAATTATTTCTAAACGTGCATACAAATTACCACATGCAAATTCAGTGCAGATTGGTTCCCCCTTCCCCCTTTAGCGCAAGGCATAACTGGCCTCAAACAGCCACAAATGATCTGCAGCAATTAGCAATATTTGTCTCCATCCATTATTTTGCCACCCTGCTCCCTTAACATCTCAGCCACTACTGAGCTTCTTTCTGCACAGGGGCCCACCTAGCCAGGCTGAAGCCCTCAAGAGCTGAGATGGAGAACTTGTGACTCTTCGGATATTGCAGGACTCCAGCTCCCTCCGTCTCTGACCATTGGCCATGCTGGCTGCGGCTGATGGGACCTGGGAGTCCAACCACACACCTGGAGGACCACCGGCTCCCCATCCCTGCTTAGAAATTCTTCCAGGCCTGGTAGGACCTGCATGATGGTTTCCACCACAGCTTCCTTTTCACGCTTTGCTACTTCAATGCTGGGAACAGTCCTAGAAATGAGTGACAGTCCATGCAGTCCATGCCTGCGTCTCCTCTGGTCTCTAAAGCTGTTGAAGATCCAGGAGACTGTGGCTGATGAGATTATGACAGTCCTTATCTCATTCCAGTGCACTGTTTCCTGGCCCTTCATGAGTCAGATGCACTCTCATGAGAGAAAGCAAAGCTCTCTAGCAAACAGTGATTCAGCCAGCGCCTAATGCCCAGGGTCAATTTCCTGAAGCAACACTGTCCCCGGTCGAAAATTTTCCCCAGGAAAGAGGAAACGGCAATCTCCCTCCAATTTTGAATGAGCAGTGTTTGTTTATGTAGTTTGCCACATAACACAAGGTCAACATCCTTCACCCAGATTAGGACCATTTCCTGGTTTTTTAATCCAGGCTGGTTGACGCATGTAGTTATATGAGATCTGATATGGTACAGTGGATTGCTCTTTGCTTGTGAGGAGCTGGGGTCAAGCGTGCTTTTAAAATACTCTCCCATATGCCTTTGTTTTTAAAGCCAACACCCCCTATGCAGGTTAAAATTTAGCGACTGAGGGAGGCAGGTTCCATCTAGCCTGCTATGCTTGATTTCCCTTTGCAGGGCATTTGGATTTTTTAATTTATTTTTTAACTATTTCCCCTATCTAGAACTTCAAGTGGCACCTTTTCGCTCCCTCCAGACTGCCACCATTTTGCAGGAGGGAATCAAGTGCATCCTGTAGCTTTAGGTTTGACAATTCCAGGAGTGAAAGGTCTCTCTTGACTTAGCCTATCACTATAACACATTTAAAAACAACAATACACACAACTGTGATGAGAAAAGTGTGGGATCAACGATTGATTAATGGGAAGATGCGCAAGCAAATAATGATGAATGCCAATTTTGTGCGAGTGTTTCCCAATTTTATTTAAATTTTGCTGGCAAGGGACACCTGCAGCAGCTGCCTGGAACTGAACTGGATCTGAGCAGGCCTGGGAAGACCGCCCAAGAGTGAGGTAAACAACACTTCTCCTCTGCCGAATTGTTTTGTACAGCTGTGTGCCAGGCATTTCCTTGGAATGGAGGAGGGAAGAGGCAAGGAAAGAAAGGAAAGAAGCCACCCTGTTCCTTATCACAACAATTTGGAACACAGCTATTTATAATGTACCAGCTTATCATAATTAGGCTTTGCACAAGAGGCCAGACTGTTGGCGCCTTTAGCCCCACCTCAGCTGTCATTCTGTTCTTGGGAACTGGGATTGCTACGAGTACCCAGTGACTTCAGAGGAACACTTTGATCCACCACAGAAATCAAGGGGATCCAGGAACTATTCTCTCTGTCTGCACACCATACATCTAAAGCACCTCCACAAAAGAATCCTGGGAATTGTAGTTTATCCCCACTGAGCTGTATTTCCCAGTACCCTGAACAAAATACCAGTCCCAGGACTCTTTGGGGGGGTGGGAGAGTAATGCACTTTAAATGTCTGGTGCACAGGGGATCTGGGGGCCAGGGCAAAAGACTTGGGGTTTAGGCCTCCTGGGCAACCCCCAACAATGCCCCTGCTCTCTGTGCAAGGCAACCTTTGACTTTTGAGCTGAAATATTAAAATACAGAGAGCCCTTTTAATCTAATACCAGATTTGGGTGGAGAATGATGATATGGAAGTGTACAGGGATGATGCTTTTTTATCTTAGCTGCAGGTTTGACCTCTGGAATTTAAAAACAGGTTATACAGCTAGCAAACTGTGTGTGTCTGTGTTTGAGATCCTTCTTGGTTACCTGACCTTTCCCAGGGAGAAAGGCTGGACTCTCTTTTAAAAAACAGGGTTGACCACATTATTTTGGCACAAAGCCACATGTTATCTATTTGGGTTTGTTCTCATCTTCAGACATTTTCCAACAAATAGCTTCTGGGGCTTTGAGGGGCAAAGGAGAACTTCCTGCAGAGAAAGAGGAGGCTGGGTGACCAGTCTTGCATCAACTGACCTGGATGAGGCTGAGATCTTGTTTTTCCTGACATGGGTTCTGTGGTTTTAATGACTCCATGGCAGGCCAAAATTCAACAGGGAACAAACTTCCCCAAACTCTGTGCAGGGAGATGTTGAACATGCCCATGACACAGCTTTTAAAGGCAAAGTGTGGCCACCCCAACAGTATCAATAGCCAGGAATGAAAAATCTATGGTTCTCCAACAACATCTAGAAAGGTCGCAGGTTCATCACCTGCAATTGCTAGGCCAAAATGAGGTGGCACAGCCTGACTCCCTCCTTTGGCAATCCTAACAGAACTCTAGCCCAATGGTTGCCATTAATCTGATTGGAATTAATTTTATAATGAAATGATTTTAGAATGTTGTATCATTTTACTATTGTTAGCCGCTCTGAGCCCGGCTTCGGCTGGAGAGGGCGGGATATAAATAAAATTTATTATTATTATTATTATTATTATTATTATTCCATCTTGTCTTCATATATACCCATCGAACCAACTAACCAACTAGTCCTTAGTCACACTGAGATCCCACTGAAATCAATGTGAGAAGTTTGTCATGATTTTAATCTTTAGCTGGAAGCCGCCCAGAGTAGCTAGGGAAACCCAGCCAGATGGGCGGGGTATAAATAAATGATGATGATGATGATGATGATGATGAGTAACTGAATGGCCATCCTTGACCAAAGGAGCTTCAAAGGGGAAACTCCGGCAGGAAGCTGCTGAATTGCAACTTATCAACAAGTTCGATCCTATCTGAGTCTCAGTAGAGGCAATAGTTCCCTGTCCTACTACAGATGTTAAATTGCTTAGTAATGCAAATATGGCAGTGTTATCACCAGTTACAACTCTTAAGAAGGACAGCTGTGCTTATTTCATGTACATTTTAGCTCTAGCTGACATATTTCACAGGCTGTGTCCTTTTTGCACTCCATTGCCATTTAACTCCTGTTTCTGCACCCCCATGTTCTACGCCCCTATGTGTATAAACTTTCATGGTCCTCGGCTGTCTAACAGACTTTGACATATTTCCTTTTTCGCTGAGGATTACGGTCCATGCATCTGTTGAAGTCAGGTATAGCTCGTGAAAGCTTACAATTCTTTTATTTTTATTTAATTGGTATCCTGCCCTTCATCCAAAGATCTCAGGGCGGTTCACAGCAATAAGCAATAACTAGAAAGATTCTTGGTTGCTTTAAACTTCTGTCGCTTTCAGTGGCATCTCACCCCTCGTGTCTGGAACTGGGGCAGCAGCCCCTGCCCAAATTGAAGACTGCAGTTTCCCCCCATCACTGTGCCTCCATGCTGGAGAAAGCTTTATTGGCCAAATCTCTTCATTTCAGGCAAAGCAGCTCTGACGAGTGGCTTGTTGCAGGTATTGCCACCAGTGGCTTAGATGCCAGCACTTTGGTGGCAATGCAAGGAATAATGAAGGAAGGCTTGCTGCCCAGCTGTCACAAGGAGCAGGAGATCAGTCACAATAAGGGGAAGGGGAAGTGCAACCCAACCTCCCACCAACCCCCAATCTTTGTCTTCCTGAGCCCTTTGCCTTAAGTTCATCTGTGAATCAGAGGAGGGGAAAGCTCCTCGCCACCACAACCACCACAACCACCACCATCACTGCCACCATTGCCCCACTTACGTTGCAACACAGTGAATGGAGGAAGTCTTTCCTTCCTCAAAACCTCTGCAGAGTTGCCAATAATTATTTTTTCGTAAAATATAACTCCTCTCCACGCCTTGCGCCATTAACAGAAGATTGATCGACAGCAGCGGTGAGGGAATCGTTTCCAGCCAGAGGGCCACCTTCCCTCACTGGCAGCCTTCCAAGGGCCACAGGTGATTACTTTTGTACAGCAGGGTCCACTCCAGCCACACACAAACCAGAGGTTTCTATACTGCCTTGCTGCACCATCCTCTACCCAAGCAAAAGCATTTAAGGAAGGCACACCGCAGGGCTGCTGAGAGGTGTAGCCAGCTGTGAGGTGGCCCAAGGGCCACATGGAGAGGTCTGGAGGGCCGCATTCGGCCCCCTAAGTCCGAGTTTCTCCCCTCCTGACCTGTAGTATGGTTAGGAAACCAGTAGCCCTTCAGATATTGTGCTCCAGTTCTCGTCAGCTCCAGCCAGCGTGGGTTGCCAACCACCTTAGGTATTGTATCCGTTGACCTTCCCATCCATTCATCTTGCCTATATCTTGCCCATCATCTGCCTGCCTATTTAAAGCAGGGCAGCTCTTATTATCTCTTGCCAGGCTTGCAGCAAAAACAACAGAATGTCTCATGACACTGAAAGTGCTTAAGGATTTATTGTGGGAGCAGCTATTCCTGGGACTACTGCCCACTTTCAGCCAGCTGGTTTCCATCCTGGTTTTGGCTCCCGGGCTGAGCATCCTTCCCTGTGGTGCCCTGCTGCCCTTTTCATCCCTCCGTCCTCGGAGGCACTTATCCTGCCATCCCATTCTGCCCACCCCAACAAGCCTGCCTATGTGCCCGTCTGTGTGCACCATTCCGTTCTCACCCAACTCTCTGCTGCACACGCCAGAGGCTGTGCCCAGGAACTCACCCGTCAGGACCAACAGCAAAAGCAGCCCAGCGCTGGCAGAGCTTCTTGTCTGTCCTCTCATCTTTGCAGATCTTCTCGTCGTATCTGTCCGCTCCCTGCACATTCTGGGATTTATATGCGCCATGGGGCCCTTGCAGGAGGAGGCAGTCTGGGTCTCCCCGCCCCACCACACCTCATTAGTCTTGCACAATGTGGCATTTCTCTGCATGTGTAAGAAGCACATTTAGTCATCTTTATTTCCCTGGAACTCTCTATGCTTTTAGCAGCATATTGATAGCACTGGTCTTGCTGACCTGACTGAAAGAGGAAAACAAACTGATGACAGTCTCAGTGGCTGAACGGTGGTTTGGCAAGAGATAGGTTTCTTTTTTCACGTGGAAAAGGCTAAGACACTAACAAGAGAAGGGTTACTGACATGCATTGTCCGTTTATTGTAATAATCAATCATTATTATTAGAATCGATAATTGATAGCAACAATAATAAATGTTTGTTAAATTCAGTGGTACGGCAACAACAAAACCATCATCAACAGTTGTTGTTGTTGTTGTTGTTGTTGTTACTATTAATTCTCAGAACATTGGCAATTTACAAATAACTAAGCATTCCTTCAATAAAAAAAAATATTTTTATTTAAAGATTTTCCATAAGTAGCAAGAGTACATTCAATGTCTCTGTTTTCAAATCATACAGCTCAATTACAGTCCTTCTGAGACATTTTTTGTTGTAGGCAATGTGGGGTTGAGGGGGAGTGAGAAGGGAGAAAATAGAGAAAGAGAAAAATAGGAGGGAGTGAATGCCTCTCTGTTGTTCTTTGCTTCTCACTTTCTGAGTGAGCAGCTTGTGAACACAAGACCAGTTCAGTTCCGTCTACACTGAGTAGCAGGAGCTGTCGAATACTTCAGAGGGGTCTCTTGAAGTTGTCGGGGCTGGAGCCTGGGTCCTTCAGCAAGCAAAGGAGATGCTCTACTTACTACCACCCATGCCTAACTTAAGTTCATTTATATCAGTGATTTCAGTGAAGTCAGCCGCGGCCCAATATACCAGAAGGAGCGTCTCCACCCACATCGGCAGCCCGGAACTGAGGTCCAGCTCTGAGGGACTTCTGGTGGTTCCCTCCCTGCGAGAAGTGAAGTTACAGGGAACCAGGCAGAGGGCCTTCTCGGTAGTGGCGCCTGCCCTATAGAATGCCCTCCCATCAGATGTCAAGGAAATAAGCAACTATTTGACTTTTAGAAGACATCTGAAGGCAACCTTGTTTAGGGAAGTTTTTAATGTTTGATGGCTTTATCGTGTTTTTAATATACTGTTGGGAGCCGCCCAGAGTGGCTGGGGAAACCCAGCCAGATGGGCAGGGTATAAATAATAAATTATTACTATTATTATTATGACTTCATCAGATGCCACCTGTAATAAAGAAATCACTTTAAAACCTGACACATCATAGCAGGATATAAGAAGGATAAAGCACCAATAAAACATTGAAACAAAACAGCAACAATAAAGCACCATTTTAACATACAGAATGAAATTAGAAAATAATAAGTATTCGCCAGCTGCTGGAAACATATAACAGAAGATGACAGGAACAGAGAGCCGGAGAGAGTATTCCAGAAATGGGATTTCACCACAGAAAGAGCCCTGTTCTCTATTCCCCATCAACTGGATTGCACAAAATCCCAAACATTGTGTGTGATAGTTAGGTATGTAATATGTAAGTGAACATAATCTGTATGCTGTGCTCCATCATTCATATGCTCTGCAATGGTGAAGACCTTGCAGCTAGAAAGCACCAGCTTTCTACCAAATCCTGGCAGTGGTGGGGTTGTTTTTGTGCCATAACAAAACTTCCAGACAGATGGAGACACGTGAGGAGGGGCTGCCGTGGGACTGAGGAAGCTGCCCACATGCCACAGAGAGGCAGGGATGCTTCTGGCTGCCATTGGTGGAACAGCTGGGACCAGGGGCCAATGGGCTTATCTGGAACTATCAGTTTGGCTCACTGGCCAGGGATGATGGAAGCCGAGGTCCAGCAACACTTGGAGTGGAACAGCTTCTCCATCCTTGGGCTAGGAAATGACAGCTGAGACAAGGCAGAGTGAGCTGCCCAGAGGAATGTGGGGAAGAGAAGGCCAGACACAAAAGTCGGAGACATAAAGGAAAAAGAATGAGAATGGGCAGAAGGAAAGGGGGGTGGGTGGTCAGGAAAGAAGGGAGCAGGCTTTGATTTCAGAAAACAAGCCAGTTCTTTGGCTCAGCCTTTCCCAACCTGGCGTGGTTGGACTCCGACACCCATCGGCCCCTGCGTGAATGGCCAGTAGCAAGGGATGATGGGGACTGTAGTCCAAAGACATCAGGAGGCCACTGGTTGGGGGACGTTGCTTTACCGAAGGGCTTTTTGCCCTGATAGAATGCTTTATTCCTAATATGGACCTGGGCACCGCTGGCATAGTTCATGCCAGGGTTCATCAGGCCTCAAAAGCAGGCGGCAAGTCAAAGTTTGCTAGGATCAAACACGTAAGGAGCGTAGTCACCTTTCAGCCAAGGCCTCTCCCTTGTGATATATCATTTATTTATGTCATTTTCTTTATCATACATGCCGATTGCATGCGTGTTTGAACTCCCCCTTTGCCTCAGGAGGTCACGAGGAGGCAAGATTCCCAGCTGAATTTGCATTTCGCCTGCCAGGCTAGATGGTATCGCCAGATCCATCCATTTGAGACTGAGCGGCGGCTGTCAATTAAGGCAACTTGACTGGGATTTGGGCAAGGAGAGGGAGGAACCCCACGTGCATGAGTAGGATGAGGACTATGTGAATTGTTCCCCAGGGGCAAAGGAGACGAGGAAAATGCCTGCCTTGGCTTGCAGAGCCCCTGGGAATTCTATGCATACAGCATGATGCAAGAGCAGCTGAATGCCAAAGCCAGAGATCACCATGCAGCTGAGATATGAAACAGAGAGATTGACCCTCAGCAGGCAGAAGGTCCCAGGTTTGAGTCCTGGCATCTCTAGGCAGGGGCTGGGAATGCCATCCCAGCCTGAAACTCAGGTGAGTCACTGCTAGTCAGAGCAGGCCGTACTGAGCTAGATGGATTGTATGTCTGACTTTGCATGGCAGCTTCCTATGCCTCCATTTCTGGTGGCCTTCAGAAAAAGCTGAAGTTCCCAACTAGATCACTGAAATCTGCGTGTTCCGTGTTCATCTCTACCTAGTTCCATCCTTATTTCAGACGTCACGATCACAATTTCAGACAGCATGACGTACATCGCAATGTCTAGCGGTGATTTTTTGTGAGGTTGAAAACCAGATTATCGCCCAGCCCTAGTTCCTGTTTACTGCTGATGGAGGGATACTGAGATCAAACAGAGGATGCTCAGGTCCAGCCTTTGACAATGAGAGATTCCAGTTTGGGGGCTGTCTATCAAGCTTCATCTCAGGGTAATAATGTCATTACACTCCAGGAGATTGATGGGCGGGGTTGTGTGCGTGTGAAGCCTGTCATAGTCGCTAGGCAACCATAGGGTGTGCTCCCATAATCAGATCTTGGGATAGCCCCATGTGCTAGAAGTAACTGCAGGTCCGTCTTGGTGATCCAGGATAATCTGGCTTGGGTGTTGTGGATCAATACAGTCCAGTGTGTCCTTCAGTGTCCACCCAGACAGAATCATATAGCTCCACCCACAATTTTAGTTCTGCAACTAGAAGTGTTAGATGCAGAGCCAAAAACATAAATGAATAAAGCCAGGGGTGCCATTTTTGTTGTTCATGTGCATATGCAATATGTGATAAATGCACTTGATTCCACCACATGGGGCTGCATGAGAGGCAGCATGCAGAGAGTAGGGTGTGTGTGTGTGGGTGTGAAATCAGAGGTTTATAATTTTATCCATCCCTTACTCATCTCTCCCCCCTAAACTAAACAGCCTCCAAACTTCCCCATCTCTCCTCCTAGGCAAAGAGCTCTCACCCCCTTGTCATTGTCAATTGCTATTTTTCTATGTCCTGACCTTTTACAATATTTGTTTTGAGACGGGGTGGCCACCACAAAATTGTAGAGTTGAAAGGGACCACAAGAATCACCTAGTCGAACCTCCTGCCGTACAGGAATCTTTTGCCCAACATTGTTGTTGCAAAGCATCTGGTTATTAAGGGGCAACATCCAAATCCTTTATGTTTTATTTGAGGGATTGCTGGGTCCAATCAAGACCAGAGAATGACAAAAGGGGAGGTGCAACTGATTGACGTGACTGAGACTACCTTCTAAAAGAGAGCCCCTTCATCACAGTTTGAGTGACAGCAAGTTGCAGGTGGTCACATTTATCTCCATGCTGTGAAAAGTCTTACTTGCTGAATTGTTCTTATTTACCCTCTGTTAGAGACGCGGGTGGCACTGTGGGTTAAACCACAGAGCCTAGGACTTGCCGATCAGAAGGTCGGTGATTCGAATCCCCACGACGGGGTGAGCTCCCATTGCTCGGTCCCTACTCCTGCCAACCTAGCAGTTCGAAAGCACGTCAAAGTGCAAGTAGATAAATAGGTATCGCTCCTGCAGGAAGGTAAACAGCGTTTCCGTGCACTGCTCTGGTTTGCCAGAAGCGGCTTAGTCATGCTGGCCACATGACCTGGAAGCTGTATACCGGCTCCCTCGGCCAATAAAGCGAGATGAGCGCTGCAACCCCAGAATCGGCCATGACTGGACCTAATGGTCAGGGGTCCCTTTACCTTTACCCTCTGTTAAAGGGTCATATATTAGGCCAAAGGACTTTTGGACGTGGGTAGTCACTTCTTTAAAATGTGGCAGACCTGTGGAGCCTAGTTCAAAAAAGGTCTAGGTTTCTGGCTTCCCTTTTTCTTTCTGTGGAAGAGAGCTGGGTAAGTTCTTGCTAACTTCCAGGGAATAGGGTGGAGCAAGGCTACAAAGGTTTGGGTGTTGTTAATGGCGTGGTGGGGTATTCTCAAACAAGCTCCTAATATTGCACACGCAAGCACACACCCACCCAAAACCTCCTTCTTTCCTTCCCGCAGTATTTCCTTTTGAGAGTTCAAATAATAAATGGGTGGGGTAGTCTTTTCATGAGTAGTTTTTGAAAGCAGGTGTGTGTGTAAAAAGTATACGCATTTCCG